ATTTAAGAAGTAGGCGCGTCTAGTTACTAGCTACTACTCTTTATTATCTTTATAGGTAAGGTACTTATTAACGTCTAGGTTAAGAACCTACCTACTAACTAAGTTCTTAAAGTTAGTCCTAATAGCTAGATAAATAGCTAGCTTACTCTTACGTAGCTAAAGTACTTTAATACTTACATAAAGAGGTATACTATAAGTAAGTATTATCTACTTATTATTAATAGCTATAAGAGCTACTACTTCGTTAATTTTTAAGATCTTTATAAGAAGAAGAATATTATACTTCTCTATAAACCTATATATTTATCTTACCTATTATAGCCTCTTAACGTCGTCTACTTCTTACTATTAAAGCGTAAGTACGGCGACGCTATTTTAGACTTTATACGCAACCGCACTAACTATATTAGTAAGGAGACCTTCCTACTAGCCTTTAAGGCTACTTTTAAGTAGTTAATTATAAAGAAGAATATCTAAGCTACCTTTAGAGGTGCTATTCTAGTTCTATACAACCTATAGGTTATACTTTTAAAGCTTAATATAGTAGTATAAACGCTAAAATAATTACTATAATAGGTAGCTACCTAGAAGGCGTAGATACTACGTAACGCGCGCGAAGTTAAGGCTTAAAGTACTCTTATTTAATAGAGAGTAAAAAACGGTCTTAGGTCTTCTATAAACTCTTAAGATAAAAAGATTACGTAGCTTAGTAAAGGTACGTAATAAATAGTATATAAGAGAGTATTACTATATAAGAAAGTAGGTAGCCTTAAAGTAGCTCTAGATATACAGAGGGGTAACATAAAAAAAACGTGTTCCTAAAAGTTATAGTTTTTAAACTAGTATAACTAAATGTATATTAGAGCTATTCTTTATCGGGCTAGCTAATTTTACAGCTAAGAAGTCCTAGTTCTACCTAGATAGTCTTCTTGTCTGCTTAGTTCGCACAGCTAAGGTATTAACTTACTTTAAAGTAGAGATATAAAAAATCTCTAACTTTAAGTTTAAAAATCTCTTTATTAGACGTATAAAAATGCCTAGAAAGGAATTATATTATTAAATAATATGTATTCATTATATGAATTAATTTTTAGCTATAGTTTATTAGTTATCTAATAAAATAACAAATTAAGAAAAATTTAGAGTAAGCTTAGGTATGTAGAATTACTTATCTAGCGTAGTAAGCTTAGAGTATATATTCTTATCTTTCTAGAAATGAATTCTAAAGCTCCAAATTCTCAAAATGGCCACAATATTCTCAACTTTCGAAGCTGAAGTTAATTATTTGTTAAACGCATATATTTCTTCTAAAGATATCATTACTATATTAAATAAACCTTCTAAGTCTATTTATGATGCTATTAGTCGAGTGAAGAAAAAAAAACGGCTAAACAACCCGCTAGAAATAGTAAAAAAAGCTAAGGTTTTTAAGGTAACTTCTAGGGTTAAAAGAGCTATTAATAGAGACTTAACTAGAAGCCCTAAAAAACAAAACAAGGAATTATTAGCTAAAAACAATCTAGATATATTTGTTAGAAGCGTGCAACGGCTTTTAATAGCGGAAGGTTATTATCATAACGTTGCTCAAAAAAAGCTATTTTAAACGATTTTAAAGCTAACACTCTTCTAAAATACGCTAAAGAAAGAGGTAAAGAGCTAGAAAATATTAATTAAAGTAAAATTATATTTTCTGATATGTTAGCAATATAACGTAGCCATGGTTCTAAGAGTGAATTTATAAGAACAAGGCAAAAACTCAACCTAGGCAAGAAACATGTTTCTACAGCTAATAAAAGTAAGTTTAAAAGAAATCCTAATAGGCTAATGTATTCTTTTAAATATACAGTTCTTTTCTATAATTTTAGATTTTTTTTTTCTAGCTTACTAATAAAGATATACACCTCGATATTACGATTCAAGTTTAGGGAGCTATTTGGATAGGTGGTAGATCCGATTTAATAGTTATTAAAACGATAGAAATAACTTTTAATTAGAATAATTATCGTTATCTAAGAAAAGCTCTAATACCGTAAGTTAAACTAAATATTAAACGTGGTTAGTTGAATTATTAATTTCTTTCACTTAACTAATTTTTAGTTAAATAACGAAAATAGTTATTGATATTCTAATTTATAAAAGTTATAATAGATACTAATAGCTATCTAGGTTAGCAATATTAGTAAGATAACTCTAAAATCCATAAAACTACAAACGTTTTAAGCTAATTTAAAAGAAAGAAAATTAAGCTTTATCCACACCCGCCCTATAGCCCGGACTTAAACCTGATAGAAAACGTTTAAAGTATACTTAAAGACCGTTTAAATAAAAGAAAAATTAGTTCTTTAGGTATTAAAAATAATGCTGAAAGTATTACAGCTTTGAAATAAGTAATTTTAGAAGAGTGGCAAGCTATACTACAACAATTACTAGATAACTGTATTTTACTTTTACCTATCCGTTATCGGCAGGTAATAGAAGCTAAAGGCTGGTACACTAAGTATTAGTTGCTAATACTACTTAGTTATTAATAGAAAACAGTTTATATTAATATTAGCTTTTTATTTTTTATCTTTTGAAAAAATTACTTAAAACTCTAGATTATTAATAATAAGCTTCTATTTTATATTATATATAAGTTTTAAAGAAAAAGATACTCTAATTAAAGAGATTCTTGAACATAAAGTTAGAGTTTTTTTATATCTCTACTTTGAAGTGAACTAATACCTTAGTCGTGTTAACTAAGCAGACACTAAGCCTATTTAGATAAAACTAGGACTTCTTGGCTTTAAAATGAGCTAGCCCGATAAAGAATAGCTCTAATATACATTTAGTTATACTAGTTTAAAAACTATAACTTTTAGAAACACGTTGTTTTATGTCACCCCTCTGTAGTAATAAAGCGTAAGAGCTATAAGCGGCGATACGTACAGATAGAAGAGACTCTTACTATTAGTAAGATATAAGAAGTACTAGCTAAATAAGTAGGTAGTAGCCGTAGTAGTAATAAGAGTGCGTTAAAGAGAGTATAAAGAGAGAGGCGATACAGGCGTTATAAGCAGACTAGATATAACGCTCGTACCTACGTAGTTAAGATAGATAGTGTAAGTAATAGTAGTAATTGTAATAATCAATTTTGTATATTATAATAGTTTATTAACTAAAATAAAAGACTATAATAATATATTAACGTTAACGCGCTAGTAGGATATAATTAGCTCGCTTAGGTGATTAGCTCGCTTATAAACTACGTTATTTAAAAATAATATAAAAATCTATTTAAGAACCCTCTAGAGAGTTTTAAAGGCCTAATGTTTAATAGTAAATATCTATAGTTAAAACAGATATTAAATACTTTTAGAGCTAAAATAAGACTAGCTTACGCTAAGAATATACTTAAAGAGTATACTAATCAAAGTATCACTAAGATAGTATTCTTTAACAAGAGTCGGGTGCAACCTAAACAAGGATCTAGAATATAATATATAAGAAAATATAGAAATTAGAAGATTAACTAGAATTTAGTTTCTACTAATAACAAAAGTATAATAAAGATACTTTCTTATATGCTATTTCCCTATATCTTTTACCTCAAATATATCTTAAATTCTTATTTAGCTATATCTAGCTAACTAATTATATTATAGCTTATAATAGTACTATCTAGATATCAGTAGCTGTTTAGATAGATAGAAGATTAGATATAGTAGTTATTTAAACGCCTAACTCTACTAGAAGCTATCGAAGCTTCTATTACATTCAAAAATATCTTATACTATATAAAAATTTATATATAATAAGAGGTAAGACAAATTTATCATTCTTAGCTATATTTCTAAAAATATCTTTTTAATTCTATTAATAGTTAAATATCTAACTAAGTAAAAGTATTTTACTAACATAAATATATCTAGGATAGAGTTTCTAGTAAGATAACGCTAAGATCTACGTTGCTAGAAATATTCTAGACTAGTTTAAAAGAAATCGTATTAAGCTTTATAAGTACTTACTCTATAACCTAGATATAAACTCTATAGAATACGTATAGAGCTTACTAAAATATTAGCTTACTAATTAGTCTAGTAGCTTTCTTAGCGCTAAAAGCACTAGTAAGAGTATTAATACTTTTACTAGTACTATTCTTAAGGAGTAAGTAGATATACTATAAAAAGATATAGATAACTATGTTTTAAGACTTAAAAATAAATATAATAGAGTAGTAGAAGTAAATAGCTAGTATACCAAGTATTAGTTTGTTAGTATATAATATAAACCTTATATATTATAAAAAACTAGATTTTAAGATATACTAATATTCATATAGAAGATATATATTATAGAGTAACGTATTTTGCTACCGAGCGGCTCACTCTACTAAGCGGCCTACTTCTCTATACTATTACACCTTTATAATAGTATTACGTAATACTACCATAATTTTTATAATTAAGTAGAATAAGATATTATTTTTTAGACGTGTCGCTATCCTCTATATTCTCTAATTCTACTTAGTAAGTGCGAAAGTTATGTCTATTTTACCTATAACGCCTATAGCGCCATTTATTACGTACTCTCTTCGTAGGCGTTATACTATTATTATACCTATTACTCTCTACCTTAGCGATCTAATTAGCTATCTAGCTAACTATCTAGGACCCCTCTACCTATACGTAGCGCCTCTTATACGTTTTTTACTTTATTAAAGCTTTAATAGCGTCTTGTAGGTAACTTATTTCCTTCTATATTAATACTATGTTATAAGCTATCTACTTAGCTCTCTTACTTAACTACTATATCTACTCTTTAAGAGAACTTATAGAAGACCCTTACTAGATTTATATATAGTTTTAAATAAGCGTAGTCTACTCCTCTATTTCGCGCGCGTTACGCGGCGTTTTTAGCTTCTATATAGTAGTTTCTTACGCTAGTAGAGTTAGCGTACGTAGTACGACGTTAAGCTATAATAAAACAACGTTATCATCGTGCGGTAAAAGTCTAGCACCTTAAAACTCTCTATAAATATTATCTAGTATGATAGCCTTATAATAGGCCTTTTTAAACGCTAGTAGATAGGTTTCTTTACTAATATAGTAGATACGATTACATACTAAAACTAAGATAGTATTACTATACGCGCGCTTTAACGGTAAGAAGTAGCCTTTATTAAGTAGCTATAAGAGATATAATAAGTAAGAAGGTATATAGAAGAGATTTATCTTTATCTCTTTGCAGAGATCTTAGAAAGCTACTAAGTAGTAGCTCTTATAGCTATTAATACTAAGTAGCCTATACGTCCCTATAGGCTGTATATAAGAATTAAAGTAATAAAGCTAGTTAAGCGCTAGATTATTATTTATCTAGCTAGTAGGACTAACTTAGATTACCTAGTCGTGTAGTAGATTCTCTATACACTAGGTAGAGATTAGAACCTTACCTATAAAGATAAGAAACGCTAGAATATAAGTACCTATTACACTAATACTCTAGATTAGCGTAACCTACTTACGATTGCCTAGCTAGATCTTCTTTATTCTTCTTAGTTTTTCTAAGCCTATAATAACTAACTATAATAAAATCTTACCTATAATAAAGCTAGTCTTATTAAAGTTATAAATATCTTTATCTATAATACTATACTTTACCTTTATATTCTGAACTAGCTTAAACTAGCTCTTAATAAGCGCTAAATCTTTATAGAGAGCTTACTAGTAATTATATAGACAGCTTTAACGTATACGCAGCTTAGAATTACGCTAGACGAACCTATTAACTTAGTTCTTACTAACCTCCTCTCTACTGCGCTCTTAGAGTAGTCTATTAGCTATATCTTATACGTCGTCTCTTTTTTAGGGTAGTTCTCACTTAGCCTTAACTATTATACGTTATATAATAGCCTCCTCTTTTAGTTTTATTAGATGCTTATAGTTAGGCGCGTAGTTACGTTAAGAGTACTTCCTATTACGTCGTTAACGTATTATTGTTTTAGGAACGTTATAGACCTTTTTAGCCTATTAAATACTTTAAATTTAGTTTCTAGTAAGCTTAGATATTACTATTTATACGTTAGCTTTAGTATAGCTCTTTTAAAGTTATTATTGTTGTAACATTTTATAATATTCTTATTAAGGCGAGTTGCGGTGTGATAGTGGGCCGCTTAGTAGAGTGGGCCGCTCGGTAGTAAAACACGTTATATATAATCTATATTAGATATAATCGTTAGTATCTAAAGTATTAAACATATGTATATATTCCTTATAATTAAGAAAAATTAGACTAAAATTTAATTTTTCTAATACCCTTATTGTTGCGATATATATAGTCGGCTAGATGCTTACTAACTAGCCTATATTATACCTCCATTCAAGACCCTAATCTTAGCGATTTAATTATCTAACTCGCTTAGGTATAGCTACTCTATAAGCTAAGTTATATTAATTTTACAAATAGAACTATTTTAAGTAACATTTTTTTATATTACTCTACTGTGATAAAATACTATAAGAAGATATATTCTACCTTTATTATAATGTTATATAAAGCGTTGTTATCGTAATATTATAGTAGTTATATAGAGCGTTAAATATAGTTTAGTAGAGTAGACTACTAATAAATACATCCTAGTTACTAATCTAACACGTGACTAATTATTACCTTTTAATATAGCGCTGAAAGGTCTCTTAATAATAGCTCGTATCTAGGTGAAATTCTTCGCTATTACTTATAATGTTACTACGTTGAACAATCTTATTCTAATATAGACTTAGTTTAGAGAAATGGCGTCTAACTTTTTATAATATAACTATCCTTCTATAGGTAACTTAAGAGCTCCTAGATATCTATCTCTACTACTATTTCTTTTTTAGTAGGAGACTAGCTCTTAGTAGGAGGCTAGATTACCTAACTCGCGCCTTAGGATAATTATTACTTTCTAATAAGTACTTAGTCCTTAATACCGTATCCTTATCTAGCTAATAATCCTTGTTATCACTTGAAATACTATAAGGCTTTAATAATATCAACTTAATAATCTATGCCCGCCGCCCACAGTCTGGTGCAAATTAACAGAAAGTAACTTAGTTTATCGATTAATAGTATTAGATTCTGCACCGCTAATGTTAAATTACTTATAAGGCTAGATATGCCTTATTCCCTGTTCTAAGAGTTGACTGTCGTCTAGACTTGACTGAGTGACGATGTGAGATGCCTGCTTGCTGTCTCCAAAGCTCGATATTGCTATGTCGTGCAACTGTTGGGCGAAGTGGCATCCGTGGGTCCTCCATCTCCGGAAGGTTTCGGGAGAGACACCGGAAGGGGGATGCCTTACCGGCCGAATAATACCCCATTGTATTAGAATGTTATGAACTGGCGCCTTAAGGTAAGGCAGGTTAGCGGCAATGACGCCTAGGAATAACTGCAGGGTGGTACAGATATCTAGCCGAAAGTTCCATAGGGCGTTGTAACAGACTCCAAAGCATTTAATAAGAACAATAAGAAAGATAAAGGCTGCTGCTGTTGCTGCTAGACCGGCGCCCATCAAACCACAAAGAAGTATTTTTTCGTAAAGAGACCGATGCATCCCGTAGATAAACGTAACGGGCATGAGAGAGATCATCAGATCAATAAAAATGTGGAAAGCTATGACCTTGTTAGTAGATGTGTTGCATAGGCTCTCCTAAGTTTCCTTCCCACGTACAGTAATGTATAATCCAATAATATTTGAAAACAACTATCGGGATACACCGAGCTTCGGGAGTCGGAGTCCATAAGGCGGATAGAGGCCGGCAAAGAACCATCTGTACACATGTGGCGAGGATGATAAGACATACTTGGACGATGATGAGGCTTCGTAATACCAGTTTCCACGCTCTCTCGTACTTGAGGCGGTGCAACATCAAGCACATAGAGATACGTATAAAGTTCAGAGCCCAGAAGAATATAAGGCCCGCCGCCGTTTCAATGGGCCCAGAGAAGGAGGGGTCGCGAGGGTAGTTCTCGATGACCCGACCGCCCTTGATATCGTCGGAGACCAGCAAGGAGAACCAAGTAGCTGTGAGAGTCTGCAGTATCGGGTGGTTAGTTCATGTGTGGCACACAGGCGAAGCATGTATTTTCCCGCCCGCAACTGCACCCTGGGAACGCTCACTCTCTTCGCTAGTACTTACAAAAGCAAAAATCAGCGTATAGTCGTCCCAAGCGAGACGCCATTGTGGGCGAATACGGGAATAAATACGGGCCATGGTGCTGATAATAACGATGGCCATAAGGACGCTAAAGGGTACTAGGTAGGTGGCACTATGGTCCGGACCAAGGGCGATGGGTTCTGATGTGGGCGCCGGCCTATCTGTTGCATTCGTCATAGTGAGGGCGAATTCGTCTCTCCAGAATTGAAAATCAAGCTGTACAAGTTTGAAAGATGATAAACACAACCTGACATGATTTCCTGGCTATATAATGGGCGCAATTATAAAGTTTCATTACTGCCTGAGAGAGTTTGCGAAGCTAATTATGTTGCGCAGTCACAGGGCGTCCGCTGCGCAAGATAGCGTCCGAGTAGGCAGATACGGTACCCTGAGTGCTGAAGAGAGTCCCATGGCTATGTGGTTAAGAGCTGGTAAGGGGCCTTTCGTGGTAGGTGCTAGAGTGTTCCTAAGTTAATCGGGAACTTCCAACGAGTCGGAATAGGCCCCGGTTTGCGCGATACTTGCGAGAAGAAACACAGGGGGTGCTTGAACAGACGGCCAGTGGGCTGATTCTTTCGCGTATTTCCACATATCTCCCATTTGCAGTTCGTTCATTAGGCACATTGCATATGGCAGGTTCCGCAATGGCGTATATTAAGTTCCGCCATAGCGTATGGCAAGTTCCGCAATACTGTATTAGGGCCTGTTTGGTTGCTGATTTCAACTTCAGGTTCAGCTCCAGCCGTGGCGCTTTTAGTCGATTGTGGTGTCTAGTCAAACTATAGTTACTAAATTTGTTTAGGAACCTAAGAGGCTAGTTAGCATCTAAATTTCTAGTTTTAGTTCGCTAGTAGGTTAACATTATCTTGTTATATTATATCGTGCTCGATATAACGTAAAGGTCACCTGCTAGTCAAGTAACTAGTCTAGTAGAATACCTAACTAAGCGCGCATAGCTACTATCGTGACTTCTTAGCATGGTGTTGAGTTTCTATCTACTACTACCACCTACTACTCAACCCTCCACCACCATTACTCTATCTACTACTACCCCTAACTAGTCGCGATCAGACTTTATACTACCTATAAGGAGAAAAACTAACTCCCACTAGACGTCGTGAGGTCCTATAGGTCTTCGCGTAGTCTAATAGGTCTTATTATCTACTTATAGGAAAAGATATACTAATTATGCACTAGACAAGGTTTAAACCTACTACGTTAACGCTAATAAGCTAGACTAAGATTTAATGGAGCTAAAGCTGAAATCTTCTAAACAGCCTGCTAGTTACAGCTTTAGGGGCATTCACTAACTACTTATAGAAGCTAAACTAGTAGCTAAAGCTAAACTCTTAGGCTCTACTAGATATGCCGCCGCAGATCGCCTTCGATAGCGTAGTCAAGATCTATCTAAACGGTGTTCAGCCTATTATAATAGATATTACCTTAGTACTAGGTCCCCTTTTCTCGCCGATTGTAAATACTCTAGCCAACGATCTTTCTCTAAACTATGCTTAACTAACTATTACAACCTCTGTGCTTAGATATAAGCTAATTACTAACATTAGTATATTAGCTTACTTCATAACCTATATATGTCTCTTTAGTTAGTTGCGGGGAAGTACGGAATATTTACTTTATCTCTTAAGTTAGTAAGAGTACTCGCGGGCTATATTAATAGAGTTAATTAATACATAGCGCCTCTTAACACTTGAAAGGCGAATAAGGTTAGCTCCTATAGTATCTAAGCACGTTTTCTAAGCACTGCTTAGACGTTATATAGATTCTTAGTGCTCTATATAGTATCTAGATTCTAGAGGTAAGATAGTATTATATTAAGTACCTATCTAAAAGACGTTTAGTCTATTATAGTAAACTTATATATAATATAAAAAGATATTAGAGAGAATTTGTACGAAATATATTTTAAGCTTTGTAAGTAAAGATTATACTTTGAATTATAATAAGATTATATTATATATAAAGTGTAAAATTTACTATATTTACTAGTTTAGCAGTAACATACTACACTAGCTAAACTAAGTATAAATCAAGGCAAGAGAAGACCGTATTAGAGTTAATTATCTACTTATCTAGCGATAGACTTAGAGGTAGCGAATTAATAGGTTCTAAGTAGAAAAGAAAAAATACTATGGGAGAGAACTTGAGGAATTTAATTAATTAGATCTTTGCTTATTATCCGCTCTAATAATATGCTCTTATAATCTACTCTAGTTTGTATCTACTAGCTATTCTACTACTATGTATATTAGCTATACTAAATTCTAGAAGAATCTATCCAGTAGTAGATTACGTAGTAATAGACGTAATAGATAGATATAAATCAAAAGTAGCGTAATAGCTTCTAGTAATCGATTAATTAGATTCTATTAGATATTAGCTAAGAAGCTTAGATCTCTAACAGAATCTAGTATAGCTAATATATATAGTAGTAGAATAGCTAGTAGATAGAAACTAGAGAAGATTATAAGAGCACATTATTAGAGCGGATAATAAGCAAAGATCTAATTAATTAAATTCCTCAAGTTCTCTCCCCTAGTATTTTTTCTTTTCTACTTAGAACCTATTAATTCGCTACCTCTAAGTCTATCGCTAGATAAGTAGATAACTCTACCTCTAAGCTAGCTATAGAATTAGTAGCACCTCTTCTATTTTAACAAAGAATATATAATATAATTACGTGTTTTACTTACGAGCGTAAACTATTTCAACTTAAAGCTACTATATTAAGATAGACTCTTACTATAGCTTACTAATATTATTAGCTCGTAATAATTAAATAGAATAAAATACAATCCACGATATCCAAGACTAAGCTATTAATATAAAGAGAGAGTAGTATATTAACTCTATAAATTACGCGATTTTCTTCTAAGTAGAATTTAAACCCGAGTTTAACCTAGGCCTTATAGAAACACTACTTATAAAAATACATTATCTCTTCTATAGTTTTTAAATAGATTTATTAGCATTGTTTACATAAGACCTTTAGATATTTAATTATATCTTCTAGATTATCTCTATCCTACGCATTCTTATATACCCCTAAATAACCTTAGAGCTAAAATTTATCTTATTATCCTTTCTTACGCTACTATAATAATAGCTATACTTTTCTTACTATATTCTTTAAAATTATAGGTTAATATATGCTTATTTAAATACCTCTTCGCTCTTTACACTAGGTTTGAAACTATTCAATTAGATTCTTATCGTAATTATCTTCTATATATTCTTATGCACCTCCAAGTAGTCTTATAACTAAAACATATTTATTAGTTCATATCTACGCTGGTATAGTTTATAGATTAATGTATGAGTTTTAATAAATTGGGCTAATAATAAGTATACGTACTTACTAATTAAATTGTCTTTATTACATACTTACTAGTCCTGATAATCTAAGAGTTTTTTTGTCAAGTCGATAGATCTTAGAAGACCGAAGCAATGAGGGTTATAGCATAGACGTAAGGTAGAGGCTGCGTAGACACTAACGGGGCTTAACGTCTAGTACATAGATGCACTATTTAGTGCAAATTTGTATAACTAGAGGTGTAGGCCCGGTGACTCGCTTCAAGATTATGGAACAAGATTATTACATATTAAGCGTCAGAACTTGGCTTTACCTAGCTCCGCTTGACTATTAGAGTCACCTGCAACAGGCTTCGACTTGAGTGTTCTACCTCCACCGTATTCTGGCCGCCAGTTCGTTCCTTTTTCATTCATATCTTTGACTTGGGGTCCTGCGTCACCCAGATTTCCATGTAGAGACCTTTGAATACTCATCTGCAAAAAATCGCCGGATACCTTCTGAATTGACTCGTCGCTGAGATGACCACCAAGTTGTTTGATAAGGTCCCCGTATCCACGGTTCTTTCCATGTATTGTCTTTTGACTGTTTGATACCAGAAATTGAACGGCTTCGTCGCCTGTAGCGTAGTTGTCGATAACACTTACGTTCTCTTTCAAGTGCTGGTCTGCTTGGAAACAAATATCCCTACATTTACGAGCGCTTGACCATTCTTCGCGCAATCTTGCAAGGTATCTTGTATCTTCTTGTGGCATTGTTACACTCGAGCTGGCCATGATTCGATCTAAAATATCCTGCATGTGACTTTCCAACCTTGCAGTTGTTTGCTCCATGCTAATTCTGCATTCTCGTATGCCATCGCTCGTGATCCTCTCGGGTATTTTGTCTGAGTTTTGTAGAAGGTCTTTTGCTGATGATAATTGGAGCTGCTGGATATGCTTGGAGAACTCAGCACATATCAGGAGACACTTTTGTGTGCTTGAGCGCTCGTCCTTCAAGCTTTCAAGTTCTGACGTTGCTGAGCTTGACGTAGTACGCTCTACTAAAGATTGGAGCTTTCCATCAATGGTTTCGAGTCGCGCCTCGAGATCGCTTGTTGCAGTTGTGATAAGATCTTTGTAGTCTCCAAGACGCCCAAGAGTAACAGAAGACTTGCGACTAAAGAAAAAGGTCAGTTACTTCTATCGTATGAGATTAGGCATAGAGCTATGGGACTTACAGCTGCATGTCTGTGAGCGCGATATTGATTGTTGACTTGTATGCTGCTAGTGAATCCGTAAAATCATCAATGTCGTCACCCATGTATCTCAGCTTGGCCCAGTCCCGGAAGCTTTGTCGATCGCCCCCAGATCGCGAGCAGCACTTTTGGAGCTCCTGTAAAAACTCGCCGCAAGCGCTGCCACATCTTCGCAGAGGTAGATCAAGTGCAGAGATATCTATATCTGTGTGCAGCTTCATCGTATCGCTTAGTGATTCCAAAACGCCAATGAGAGCCTCTAGCTCTTCGATGAGATTGCGCACTCGTTTAGGATGGGTTTTGAAGCTCTGTATTGTTTTGTAAAGCGTAAGGCAAGATTGGTGAGCAAAAATGACTAACGTCAAAACGCCAGACGCAAGGCCTATAGGCTCGGCCATCGCAATGATAGGTCTGGCGATTAATTGAATGTATTGGACGATGATATATGGGACCGAAGTTAGGTTAAATAGGCTTTTGATCAAGTGCATCGCGTCACGAGGCGTACGAGCTGCGTAATCAATTGGTCCGCGTTGCCGGTTGAATAAGCGCTGCTAGTTTCGTTTAGGACGGTCGGCGGTTATTTTGACATGCCAAGGAAGCCATGTAACAAACTGCTCGCATTGCTTCGCGGTAAAGGCGGCATTCAACTGTGGCTGCTCGCTCTATCTGTAGTTACTGGCGGAACTCTTTTATCGTTAACTACTTCTCTAACCTTTATAGAAAGCTAATCAGCTTGTCTTCGTTGTGAAAGCATTGCATTCCCTATAGCTATGCACTCTTATGTTGCCTTTCCTAGTAATTAAACGATGCTAGACATCAGGAGACGATGCATTGTCTTCCTGCTATAAAGGGTTCTGTTTCGAAGTGACATAACTTTGACGCTGCCCAATTGCCTGAAGCGTGGAATTGCACATTTCCCCAAAATTGGGAAAGTCAAAGAAGGAAAATTGACCAATCAGCAAAATATATTTCATTGAAAGCGAACGGATCCACCTAGATGGTCATTGACATTAGCAACAATAGAAGTATCATTTTGGTTGTAGCGTGTAGTCCTGATTGGAATGGACATTTGATTGTAGATGTAGTTCTGGGATCGAAGTGCTATTTCCTAGTGCACCCAACCGACGTTGGTCCATTTCTGAGCTAGGAATCTTTGTCCTTGTCGAAACAAGGCGGGCTAAGTTTCCGAGATCTCTGACAAAAGCAAATGTGACAACGGAATCCGTCGCACGATCTAGATAGCCAAAGTATCTAGCAGCCAGATCGAGAAGTCCAATGTCCCTAGTAGGCGATTCCGCCAATGGATTTTTAAGAACATGAACTAACAAATCCATCATGCCGATCATTAGGAAATAGAAGATCAAACTAAAGATCGTCAGCCTATTAATGGAACGTACATTTGCTCTCCGTGTGGGTGAACTACCAAGGAAGAGTTGTTGAATCAATCAAAATAGATCTACTAAGTAATATGATGCTTCTTGATGCTTCCGCTATCCTATTATTGCTGAGATTAATTCGATCTTGCAGGACTGCGTCGGTTTGTTCTGACAGAGTATTGATATTCCATGGATGCCCAATTATACAATGCACTATGGGAAGAACACGGTGGTACGATAGTTCAATATACATTAGATGGTTGTCGTGCAAGCCCAAGGGGGTCTGCGCGCGAAGATCACCGCCAGTTTTGGTTTTGAACACGAAGGTAACATTGACATACCACGTTCGCAACTGCTGATCGTACTGGTGCACTGCCTTCGCGATTTGTTGTAGAGGCTGTCGCCGAGCTTTGGTAGTCATCAAGCCTTTGAGAATGACCGAGGAAATATGAGCATGCTAATCGCGCACCGAATGAAAGCCGGAATGTTGCAATTTCCACCAGGTGCTACGGTGGGAAGTTCGCAATCTATGTCATCGTCATCAATTGCCTGTCAGTAAGTCAGTCAGGTTTTGCAGTATCCGTGGAACCTGTGACGTACGGATGGTCGACCTGATCGCAATGCGAGGTGTTTTTCGAAACACTAAAGGGGCCAGAATAGCCAATGGCGTCTTTCATCGTCTTCTCATGTTGATGCGGGATTTCTAGAGCGAAGACACAGTCCTCTAGTCTGGGCAACTCGCAAAGCACAGCAAATGAGCATAAGTTCCAGCTTCTGACCAACAGCGCCCTCGGCAAACAATGCCTATTGGTGATTAGCTTTTAGGTGGGACAGATAGACAAATGATAAAGGTCGTACCATGAATAAGAGAGTTTGTATTAATGCTAGGGCATGTGCACGGTAGATTAGGTCTGTTTCCACCGAGAGGGCATTTTTAAAATATTTGACTGACTGCGCCTGCGTATCACTCCACGTGCAGGACTCGTGTGCCGCATTCTTGCCTCCGCTTGCATGCACAATGTTTCTTAGGGCATACCATACATGATCTTCCTCTTGCTCCTCACCATTTGCAGGCAGATTTTCATAATGTCTTTTCAGGCGATCTTCAACGCTTGGCAGGTTAATGGTGAAGCGACTGCTCTTTAGGGTTCTCTCAGAGTAAGCTATTTTTTGAGCAAATCGTGGTCAGTGACGTAAATATCATGACAAGAGACATCGGAAATCCTACCATAGGTGTAAAGTAAAGATAAATCTGGAGAAGGACCGGGAACCCTAGTCTTGTTGATGTTGTTTTTCAGTTTCAATTTTTGATTGTTGGCACTAATCATTGAAACTGCGTTGCTCTGGTAAGTGGAGTCCCCGATCCGATTGGTGATCCAACTCAAACCTGGGTCAGAACATGGTGAAAGATAAGAGGCTGGACCTGCTTCGTTCAGCTGATCAATCTTGTAGAACCTCGAGGATTGACTGACCATGGTTTTTATCGCGACTAGCCTGGACCGTATGGTTAGTTGAAAAATATCTGGATACCAAGACAGTTTGTCATAACTACCGCTTGTTCCATGCTACGAATCCCATCCGTCTGATCCAAGCTATGTGCAGAACCATGTTGAATTGGGTCGAACGTCGCGCTGGGTCGCGCGGATGAACTATAAGGAGAGAATGGGAACTGCACAGCGACTGACTCTGTACTCATGCCGATGTGCTCGTGAGGATGAGGGTGAGGGTGTTTGGAGAAGGTATCATAGCGGGAATTAGTGTGGTTGCTTCCAGGTTGGTTGTCATCAAGTGGTAGATTGGGCCGGGGTAGTTGATATCTGGAACGGCGGGGGTAGTCAACGTGCCTGGTACTACGGAGTTCATCCGACTGGCGTCTTCTGCTTCAACATTCGATAGGGAGCGAGGGGATAGGTGGTGCTAGTGAAAGGGCGAGGGCGGCTCTTGGGCGATGTCGGAAGCTTGGAGAAGATGATTGGCTTGGTCTAACTGTTGCTGAAGCTGCTGCACTTTGTCTTTGGCCGACCGACGAGGTCTGGGATTCTTAGCAGCGGCGAAGCGGCAATTGGCGCGTCTGTTCTGTTGCCGTAGGCGTCAGTAGGTGTGCTCCATCAGGTGCGGCGGGGGGTTCTAGTACTAGGCAGCTCCTGCAGGGCCGGTTGCCGTCACACTTGATCTTCTTCAGCCTGCAGCTGTCGCAGGCCATGGCAGACTTTGTCATGGGCCTCTTCCCGCGACGTGATTCCGGGCCAGAATCGTGCTCTTACTGCTTTCGGAATGCTTGGTTGCGGTCCATTCTCAGAGCCTGTGGCCTCGTTGGCCTACTGACAGCTCATGAGCTCAGCGTGCGGGCAAGGGCACAGTTCCAGTTTCGAAGATACTACTTAGTATGCCGATGGTGATGCGATGTGTGGTCGCCAGCACTGCACACACTCGTCGAGGGAAGTTCACTAGGTCATACACAGCCGTACTTACTGCCTGCACTTGCACTGGCAACGCCCCGCTACTACTCCGGATTCCTCCCCCCCGCACTCTGCTTGCTGGTTCATAACGCTAGCGGACCCTGGGTGCGCAGCCCTGAGTACTACTGGATCCCGTTATCCTTCTTGAGCACCCTACACTCCCAATTTACCTCTTCACCATGTCCGGCCAAAGCACCAAAGTAATCAGCCCGGCAACGCTTGCCCATGTGGTGCTTCGCACAGCCAACTTCAAACAAATGCTAGACTACTACAAAACCTTCCTTGGCGCAGGGGCAAGCTACGAGAATGAAATGCTGTCCTTCCTAACCTACGACGAGGAGCACCATCGCATCGCCATCATGGGCGTGCCCGGCACAGGCGATAAGAAACCTGGTACTGCTGGGTTGAAGCACATCGCTTTTACCTCCAAAACCCTCGATGATCTTGTTTTGGCATATACATAACGCAAGGAGCATAACATACTCCTCACCGTATGCATCAACCATGGCCCTACAACCAGCATATATTACATAGATCCCGATGGCAACATGATCGAAACACAGGTAGACAACTTTGACACAGCTCAAGAAGCTACAGGCTTCAATCCAGAAGGCCTTATCCGCCGGACCGAGAGAGGCGAGTTTGTCGAATGATTTGGCAGATCCATGCTGGTTTCCCGATCGTTGAGGCGTCTGCCAAAAGCGCGAAGATACGTTGCCGAAAGTGTAGCCCACAATGCAGGAAAGCGCTTCTGCTGGGTCCTTGACATTTTTGTAGTCCTTTCTGATGATAATACACAGCTCTGCCTACATCGTGTGGTCAACTCCCTTGAAGCGTCATGCGTTTGGCAATGCTCTCATTGTTGCCTTGGAACCGTACCTCGTAGTCCATCATCTTGCATGCATCATTAATCGGGATATTGTCATAAGGACCGGCCAATGCATCAGATACGTTCTTGGCTTGTTGTCAAGGAACTCGACTTATCAATCACTTACCGGGCGGTTTGGTAAATATGACAGGATAGCCTCCTGCGGAAAGCTGCCAACAGCTTAGTCAACTATGCTGTGTGAGTGATGAAGATTCTTTACCCCAGTTTCGCCTGTGTGCGTCTTGTAATTGATTCCGACACACTGAAAATTATGTGTTGCTGGTACTGAGCTTAAAACCTGGCAGTTGTCAATTAGTCCGACAGACCTTAGACACACTCGTTCAGACTGCCTCTTGGATTGTTTTGACCATTCCATCTCGGTTAAAGGGTTTGTCATCTAGTATTGATATTGCCCCATATACGGGAACTTCAAGTCCCATGAGGTTGTCACGTACAGTCTCTATTTCGGTTCCGAGCTCGCCATAGAACCTATCTCCGCTTGGTGACTTGAATCGTACCAGGCGCTGGAGGTTGGGACCCATTGCCGGTACCGCGAATTTCTTAGAAGTAGCTATAGGCTTTCAGTATTCGGAGGGTTACGTTGGGTTTGTACTCTAGACTTAAAGCTCGACTGCCTGTTTAGTTCGGGTTCATGCGCGGAGCTAATGCATCCAATTCCGGGTCTATATGGAGAAGACACCTCTCCGAGGACAACGTGGTAACAAGGCTGTGCGGAATCATCTCTTGCTAGAATATATCTGAAGCCCTTGTGGCTACAAGACCAAATGACTTGTTGGCAACGAACCATCCGAATTTGCTCATTCCTAATTTCGAAGGCTTGGAAAGACGTTGAGTCGGCATGTTTCTTCGTTGGCTGAGTTCGGAGCTAGACATTCCCGGCTCGTATCGGTAGTAATACGGCCGGAAGACACTACGCTAGTGTAAATGGCACTTTGAAAGCAGTATCTCGCTAAGGTGCGTCCCTAGGTTAAGAGACATCTCCATTACGAGACAGGCTTAAGTTTCGGGCTGTCGGCGCCTTCATTCCGAGAATTTATATATCTGCTACTTTTAAAATCGCTCTATGTCAATTGTCAACTGTAAACGACTACATACTTCTGGTATAAATGCAAGATACTTAGTATAAAAAAGTTGTATTTTAAGTATATAGTATAGAGTACTCTAAGAATGTGAATTAAAAAAAATATGAATAGAGAGATAGGAAGAGAATGCGTGCCTAGGTACAAGCGTGAACGTTGTAAGCAAAGACCTATTCTCTACCACTACCATAAGTAATAGCATCATCAACATACTATACTACACGTTGTAGTAGTAGTGTGTATTTAGATGTGGATCGGGTTGCAGCCGATGTTGACAACACCCTATGATGTCAATGTCAGCAAAGATGAAGAAAAATATTAGAGAGATTGTATTACCGTCTGCTCAGTCTTGTTACAGCAAACTGCCTGCTGAGAGCACATCCTGTTGAGCGGAACAAGGTTGCGGAAAACAGCAACAGTGACATCGTTGCACTGTCCAAGAAGGTTCTGCAGGTCGGCAATGTCGGCATCGATAGGAAAAACAGACTTTGGCTTGACTGCCTTCTCGGCGGTCTCGTTGTTGCAGCAGTAGACTTCGGCATCGCCACCACACTGGTTTTTGATGGTCTCTGCATCGTTCTTGTGGGGGGCGTTCCTCGGGGCAGCGGCGGCGACAGCCACGAGAGTGAGGAAGATAACCTTGGCGAGCATCTTGAAAGTGATTTGATGGGTTGGTACTGGAGGAAAGACGAAAACAGAAATAAGTTTGTAGTATTGATTCGAGTACGAAAGTGGTTGTAGTTGTGGCTGTAGTTGTGATTGATGGAGAAGATGTTGATGATGGGATGTTCGTGTTTAGGCAGCTGGAACTGGAGATATATATACGCAATTTAGAGAAGCAAGATCCAAATCAGATACGACACAATCGGTCGATGGGACTCAGGAGCTTTCAATCAAACGGAAGCTAGTCAGCAAGACTACAGTACAGCAAGAGAGTGCTGACCAAACAAAGTAAGTCAAAGGGACATTAGCCAAGAGTTCAGGACTGAGCGTGCTGCAGGTGTTCTTGGGGCCTGTGGATCATGGAAACATACTTTTTAGCTAGTACAATCCACTAAGTTATGGTTGTAGTCGCTAGGATTTCTAGGACATACAATGCATGAAATGCTATTTACGCGCACCTCGCTCTAGATTTGTTCATCTCATGTGACACCTGACTAAGCGTTCAAACGGGAGACTGTCTTCGATGGCTAACCGTAGTACAATTTCGGAAACGTGACCTAGTAAGGGAGCGTTGTAACGAGATGTTAGTTCATTGTCTCGCCGCGGTGGATTGATCGTGATCTATGCTAGCGAGCGCTATGGCTCTTTGATTGCTATTCACGCGTTGCACCTAATTGGGACACACTGGTAAGCCAAAACTCCATTCCGCATCACGCCAAGCTTTGCACGAAAGCTCCACCACGCCAGAAGAAAATAAAATACTCAACAGAGCGTTGAATCTGATCGCCAAAACGTCGGTTCCTGTACGCATTAGGTAGTTGGGGTAGACAGTGTGCGTCATAGGAATCTGTGCACACCCTGCCTGGCCACGGCCGTACCGAGCATGTACCACTTCTCAACAGTATCATGGACACGCCTGCGCTGCCATCATGCATTCGGAATTCAAGCGGCTCCTCCTGCAGAGGCGTTTTCCGAGCAATTTACTTTCAACCCGGTCAAATGGAAAAGCACATTTCGACTGTGAAAGTAATCTGTCACTGCGTAGTTTACGTTCCGTCGCAGTTGTCAAGTTCGCTCATGGCTGGTAGCCATTTGCAGTCCAGCCTTAGCCACGACCATACACGTGCCACCACTGTAACAATTTTGGGCAACAGCATTGCTGTACAACCTACGCAATGCTCCAATGCCTTACACCTACAAAATTAAATGTATATATGCATTTCCAGACTGGTCGCCATACCGGTGAACAGGAGCTAGCCGGTTTTCCAGAAAAGAAAAAGCAGACAAAAAAGCAATGCCAACGAAAAGAAGCAATTAACAGGCGAACAGAACATAGAAAATAAGCATAAGCCGTTAGCGCAATCAGTTGCTGGCTTTGGCCTGATGGCAAGGTCCTTTGCTTGGGTATCACCATGCAACTTATAGTCACGATATTGCAGCTATTCCTGACGCAGAAAACGTGTCTAGAAGCAAGGTTAGAGAACAAGAATGATGAAGATTCATTAGAAACCCCAAAACCTGTCATCCATCGGCTCCTATGATAGTAGTTACTGTTATATATCATTGGAATCTAGAAGCAAATGCCATGATACGGCCATGCCCTCCATCTTGAACCTAGCTAAGCCTCTCCCGTTCCGCTCCCCGGAGGGACGTCCAAGTGCATATATTCTAAGCTCATTGAGTAGGCCCAAAAAGTAAAGAAATGCAATGTAATAAAGGTACATACTTTTGGACCGCGGAGGTAGTGCCTGACAGCTGTCAGCGAATAAGGAAAAACAGATAAGGATTGGGAAGAGCTGATACACGAGATACTAAAAAGAGTAGATTGCATGATAAGATGAAATCAAGCTTCACTTCCGTCGCTTACTAACGACCTAAATTGGGAATCATAATCGTGAAATGGGTCTTCAGTTATTGGTCCTTTCAGGCACTTGAATAGCAAGAATAACGGAAATTAGTGTGCCTGTGAAGTATGAGCGAGCCGATAGGTGTCTTGAAAACACATGGACACATGTAGAATGCATAAGTGTAGCCAGCGGTGCAGCAATACGTGTACAATGAGTTGGCTAAGCAAGCAAAGGTGGAGCCCAACGCGCTTGCTATATGCGCATCTAACAATAGGCCGACATACAGCAAGCTGGGTATGTTGTCGAGTAGGTTGGCAGACCGCTTAGTGCCGTTCAGGGTTAAGCGCGAAGAGGTAATGCGACTTTGGTTCGGAAAGTTGACACATGTGATGTTAGTTATGCTGGTTGTTCTCAAGGTTGTTGGGGCGTTTGTAGTAACTGCTCCACTGCCAGCTCCCTACGCTTCTCCAAAGGCTATGTCTATGATACGTTGGGAAGTGCCGATATACCTTGGAGAGTGATGTTCAAGCATAGGGCAGTGGCGATGAGCTGGAGAGGCAACGGGGGAGCCTTCAATATCAACGCTATAGACGGTAATTATGCAAATCCCTCTTCCTCCACTGCCCCTCAACTTTACCCTCGATCTGATCGTATGTCTTGAGATGATAGTTCAACAAAAGCAGTAAGTTAATCTTGTGGATTTGGATAGAAGGCCGAGCAGTGTCCTAACGATCAATAGATATAGGAGAACAGAGTGCTCAGTCCGCGGCGACTGTGGCCTTTGCAGCCAGATTTGCTTTGATGATTTAGTAATGGAAAGATGGAGAGGTGGCAGGGGTTGTCTAATATATCACGTGCACTCATGACTCGTGCACTCTGGTATAAATTACTAATGATTGCACTGCCGCGCGTCATTGGCAGCCAGAGCTCTGCTTACACTGAGCTGCCGCATGCTTGCGCGCAGCACGCCTTACACCTGACTTTGTGACACAGCCCACTCGGTTGCCCTAAAGTCACAGCGCACCAGCTACATGGCAGTTCCTTTTATCTCTCAACTAACTCATCCCCTAACTACAGCCTGGTGCAGTTCATCATGAGCCGATGGACCGACATGGACAGTGTAAGCCACCAGCAAGCCCCTCTAGCATTCCACTGTCACCCCACAACTGACAACTAGACAGGACGCTGAGCGCCTCCCCTCTGGCTTTGAGCGCTTAGGCTATGACGCCGACACGCAAACCTACACCTTTCGCGACGCAGACGGTATCATGTACGAGTCAGAACCTGGAAATCGTTACAGCAAACTGCATCGTGTCGATTCGCAATCATCGTCGCGATCTTCGCGGTCCGCGTCTATCCACCTTCTCGACAACCGCAACGGGCGGCCCTCGCGCACTTTTGATGAAATGTTCAACGATCATCAAGACGTGATAAGCAAGGACAATAGGGAAGCGGTGCGTATGATGTTGCCATTTGCGCTCATAATCTTGGTCTTCTTGATCCTGGTGTTCAAGCTCTTGTATGCAGGTGATGCCGAGTCGCTAACTCCTGCCAAAGAGTCACTCGATTGTCATCAAGGCAGCCATGAAGTTCCGATTAAACAAGGAGATACGTGCTGGGCTATTGCCCAAACTAGCCACGTCACTGTGGAAGAATTGCTAGAGTTGCAGGGCAACGCGCATGTGGATTGCGATCGATTGGTGCCAGGCAAAGGCATTTGCGTGCCTGCCTAGAGAGATGATATCGTAGCAAATCTTTCTTAATTTATACAGTCTTATCGCATTAGGGTCAATGAAAAACAGAGTCAACACTAGGGTGCCAAAACTGATACATCTGTACGTGTACTGCGCTGCATTGAAGTCGAGATGCGTATGTGCTGTTGCACATTTTGTAACCGAGATAAATGCGTTTGGGATTCGTTTATCGTGGGCATTGCCACTATAAAGCGTATCCCGTAGCTCTTGCCGTCATGCTCACTCAAAGGCGTGACCCCATCTCATTATGGAGCTGAGGATGAGTAGATGAAATGCCACACTTGGAACTAATCAGGCGTCCAGCACAGCCACTGGCACCCTGTATCTCAACATAAGGTGACCTAGCCTCGTCGCCGGTCGTCACATCAATCCAGCTGCTTACATCCACCCGCGCGCTGTTTGTATCTTGTTCATAGCAACGCAAAGAACGCAACGAGAGATACATTGCAATCTCACCACATTGGAGCGTCATCTCAAGATGCTGCCACCAAAAGGGAAGAACAAAGCAGCTAGCATCTGGTCCGTTGACTCGGGCTATGCATCAAATACTCTGGACGAGGAACATGGTAGCTATGTACTTATTCCAGAGTCGACATATCCCTACCAAGCAGTTGCTGACACTACTAGATGGACTTTGTCGCGAGTCCTACAATCAGCAAACCATCATCATCCTCGTCTCAGAAAAGCTTTAGCTTGGAATTTGGTGATCTCTTCAAGGTCCACGTTGAAGATCAGCTCCGCCTGCGAAAATCAGATTCTCCATCGGCTCCTGTGACCACGAAGCTTAATGTGTTTACGACAAATATGAGAGCAAGCCACGATCTCCAATCACAGACGGCTGGCGTCAATGAAGATTGCGTTTTATGCGCACTTTGGGATATTACAAATCCTGGAGAAAACCTGAAATGCGATGGATGTAATCGAAAGCTGACAGCCGAGTTCGGTGCTACTGGAAGATCAGGGCTTCTGCAAAGTTTAGCAGTCGAACAGGAATCAATGTATATTTCACCCCAAGTGGAGGAACTTGCCGCATTGCAACTACATCATCTACCCAACAAAGTTGAGGAAGGGCAACATTCAACATGTAGTATCTTGGAGCCTATTAGTTACGACCAGACTACCATACCTTCTTCCTACAGTCCCGATACAGGCACTTCTTACCCAGGATCTCCAAATGTCAGTTGCGAAGCTAAACGCTCTTCCATTCATCGGCCTCCTACAAAGCTTGAGTCACATGCTTTGCGGCGCCTGAAATCATGGATAAGAGACAACAGCAGCAATCCGTATCCTGATGCTGACACTAAACGTGCATTGGCTCAAGAGTGTGGAATCACAGAGAAGCAGGTGAATACATGGTTCACAAACGCTAGAGCACGACAAAGATTTCTACGTCATGCGGATAGTTCGCGTCTACAGTCAAAAGGAGAAAGAGATCCAACAAAGCGCCTCTCAAAGGTCAAAGTGTCGCCAATACCTGAAGGCTACCGAAGTCTGGAGGAGATCCATCATTCCGATCACGAATACGACCCAAAACGTCCAATAGCGGCTAGGCGAGGCAAAAAGAAAGACTATAGTCATTTAAGTACAATATCTCCAGTCGCAAAGGTAATCCCAACCACGACTTGTACCCAAGCACAAGCAACGACCAAAGTCAAAGACAGTACACCAAATATGTGGCAATGCACATTTTGTTATCAAATTGTAGCGCCAAAATCCTGGCGTCGTCACGAGGAGACTCAGCACCGACCGAAACGGAAGTGGACCTGTTTACACACTGGCCCGAGCTTGGCCACTTCTTCCTATCCCATTACATCCACAACGTGTGTTTTCTGCATGCTACAGAATCCTAACAAAGAGCATCTTCTCCATTCTCACCGTATCAGTGAATGTATTGCCAAGGCCGAGGAAGACAGAACATTCTTGCGACCAGATCACCTACGGCAGCATGTGAAGAATTTTCACCAAGCATCTCTGACTGATGCTGTGAGAGACCTGTGGAGAACAGATGGAGTGCGCAAAGATGGCCCAGAAAGTTGGACCTGCGGTTTCTGTGCTCTTGAGATGACAGCATGGGATGCGAGACAGACTCACATCGCGGCACATTTCAAAGATGGATTGACAATGGCAGACTGGAAACCACTTCCTCAGCCTGAAAACACAACTTATACCAGCAAGAAGCGGCCAATATCAGGTGAAGGACGACCAAATATGTTTTCTAAATTTGCCAGGAACTTTACGGGTCTGAACGCGCGACAAGAGGGGCAAAACATGTCCCAGAGCGGACTCGTACCAACTTTCGAGTACACCACTGAGTACGTACAGCCAGAAGTACCAGTGGCACCTCTATTGCCAGATTTAACCTTCGACGACTTTACAACAGCTGTGCATAACAGTGAGTTCAATTTTGGCAGCGCGAGTATGACGGATTCGTCTGAAGAAGAGACCGCATCAAAGGATTCAGATATACTGTACCCTGTTAGTGATAACGATCTGTGGCTTAATCATGACTACCTGGGCAGTCTTTTGTGCAAAGACGAGTACGTTGATTTTCTCGATCTTTGGTAGCGATATATCCGCTGCCTGGCAACATGTACGAGCTTATTCTTTGTGTGTATATACATGACCCGTATTCAGACGCCTAATCATGAGATATTTGCAGTGAGCTGAGGCATCACATTTCTGTCAGAAGACGTAATATCACGCAGGTGGCTGATTGACGAGATAAAGTTGCAAGGTGTCGAGACTGTAGCTACGTCTTGGCTGCTAACCTTACGGGTGATGGTGCAGTTAAATATGCGGTACTTGCCGAAAACTGGGGCTGTACTTAGAGCGCGTTGTCGCTTACTAGTACGTACACTCCTGATACTACAGCCGGCCCCATCACTCTCGCTCAGCTGCCTCTCACAATCATCCTCTACTCAATCTGCCAACACAAATCACGCTACCCAACAAGAAAAGAAACACTACAGCCATGATTAATACAGAGATAGACCAAAAGGATGGCCTGTGTCCGGCATGCAAAGCGCTTGACGAGAAATTCAGTACTCCTCAATCTGGAGATGCGCAGGTCATGTCCTTTCTCAAGGACTCCTTACACCAAGACTGTGTGTCCTGCAAGACACTGTCTGATTGCTTCCATTCCGATAGGCTTGTAGTAGCTCTTTTTCACGATGAGCGAGAGGATGAAGAAACGCAATCAGAGTCTTCAGAAGGATCGATTGAGTCATGCGCTGAGCCGACAAACAAGAAACCTTTGCAACAGATCCTTGTGTGGGACTCGGTTGATCCAATGCATGACCATACATTCATCCCGGCGGAAAACCATATTTCAAGGCCTGGAAAACATGCTTCAGCGGACCTGATCAGAGCTAAGCAATGGCTCGAGAGTTGTAGATCAAACCATGCTTCTGATGACGCAAGTGGAAGGACATGTACAGTCCAGCCAGTGAGGATGAAGACACCGCTGAGAATTATTGACTGCAGTACATTGCGTGTAAGAGAATTGATGCCTGGCGAGTCTTATGCATGCCTGAGCTATGTCTGGGGTAATGTAGCTCCAGCAAAGGTTGCAGTCGACTCGCAAATAGACCCTGGAAGTATTTCGAAGACTATTTCCGACGCCATATATGTGGCTGAGAAGCTTGGGATCCCCAGACTGTGGGTCGATCAGTAAGTAGCTCCCTCTATATCTTATTGACGTTGAACATCCACTGATCAGGTTGGATCTTTAAAGATACTGCATCGTACAAGATGAATCCATTTTGAGGAAAGAGGCGATTGCATCAATGAATCTAATCTATGGCGGGGCAGAAGTCACTATTGCAGCAGCATCTGGCATAGATGCTTCGCATGGTCTACCCGGTGTTCTGGGAACAGATCGGTCAGGCCTGATACAAACACCTGTCACTTTAGGGAGCAGACAATTTTTTGAAGAGCCTGTTCATAAACAGCTGGACGAATCGCGTTGGAACAGCCGAGGGTGGTAATCGACCATCGATCGTTCCCCTGTGAAGCAAACACTGATTTTGAAATAGGACCTTCCAAGAAGCTGTGTTGTCTGTGCGTCTCCTTGTGTTCACTGATAGACAAATGTATTTCCAATGCAACAAAGCTCATCATCTCGAGCACTACAGAACCGAAGACCCATTAAGCGGGCAACGCATATTTCTCTTTACAGGAACCGATCTTCAACCTCTAGCAACATTCACACTCCTAATAGAGTACTTTCCTAAGGAACTGTCATTCGCCAAGGATGGTCTCAAAGCTGTAGAGGGAATCTTGGAAGCCTGCGGTAAAGATCGGCCGGGGCCATATCAATTTAGACACTTTTACGGCATTCCATTGATCTATTTTACGGATGGCATCACCGATGAGATATCCTTTTCTGCGCAGGGTCTGGTTTGGTGGACTTCGCATCAGAGCGCGGACACTGGAGTGGAAGAACCCCTCGCTCCTGATGAGTCTGGATTACCTTCATGGACTTGGGCATCTCAAAAGTCAAGATCTAAATGTTCTATCGCGACACTAGATTTCTGTGACCTTGACGCATCGTGGTTGAATTTTCAAGAGCTGAAGTGCCATATTACGAACCGGGATGGGAAAACTATCGATGTTTTCGAATTTGTCACGTCATCTCTTTCAGAACATTATTTAAACTTTTTCCCTTGGATTGACGTCACTTCATGGACCGTTCGGAGTCAGATCAACGCGTCGGATCTAGGACATTCTAAGAAGACTGTCTTTGGTGGCATGGGGAATGCGAGCTTCAAATTTGACGAAGGCGTTCCACGGAATGACGAGGCTATTACGGCAATATTCATAGGTACCGGTGAAGCATGGACCCGCAGTACAGACTCAGATGGTGGTCTTGTCTTCCTTCTTATACGTCCAACTACGCCGAATACGTTTTCTCGCGTCGGAATATGGCATCTGTATGAGGAAGCCAAGGTCCTTTCCCTCGATGAGGTAATGGCAGATCCAGAGCCTACACTTCTCAAAAGATTTACGGAAGATCCGGAGAGATACTTGAACTCATGTGGGTTGAGCCATGGCGCTGTGGTAGAGAAGAGGACTGTGAGGTTAGTTTGAATAGACTTCGAGATATCTATGGGCGTCAGGAACTGAGAAAGCCTTGATCTATTACCATATCCCTTCGAAATTGATGATAGCCAAGAACAGCTCTCGACAAGCATACCTTTCAAACATGTCGGTATGGATTGGAAACGAACTTAGGGTACGGCTAAACTGTAAACAGGCTTCAGTCTTCTTGAATAGCGTCGTTGTGACTTCAGGATCTACCATGTATTTCTTTTACCACATCAAGGATATATATCATACAGGGCACAAAACCTCCGTAACGTCCTGATTGGGGTCTTCCAGATATACATCATGATGCACAAAACAAAATCAGCGAATATACGAATTTTCTAAACACAATATCCGTTGACTACAAGCTATCCCCGCAAGAGCGAGTACCCCCACGAAATAGTGGGATGAGTGCTCAAGATTTTCCGTCCATACATGCAAGAACATAGTCATCACCGGGTGAGGCCAACCAATACACGAACTGTTGAACAAATCAGAAGCACTAGGTGACCTCCCGTGCCGCATTGACGAGACAGGTATCGCGGGTCAACGATGCAGACTCACTAGTCGGGCACAATGCTACCCCTCATTGCCCCGCGTATGCATGTGCAATTGGGCAATTTGCATGTCATCAAGCTCAACAAAACCCCTCAAAGAGTGCATAAAAGGACGAAAGCATTGCTGCAGATGCTGTCTCTGAACTCAACTCTAGCATACCTTTTCCAACCATCCACAGCCACGACACCATTCTATTGGTACGATGCCACCATCGAACCAGCACCGCGACGCCCCTGGGGTCTCGCACCTCGCACCTCAGGATATTCTCTCGGTCAAGTCAAGCAGATGCCTATACTGTGCATCATCAGGTACCCATCTCAATCCATCAGAAGCAAAGCATGGCGGGTGTTCAAGCCATCAGTAATCGATACGTAGTATCGATGACTGGCAGCTTGTTCTGAGATTATACCGTTTAAACTTGATCTGGACAATTCCAGCGCGAAGGACTGTTGCTGCTTCATGATGTCCCATTTCCCACTGTTGTGTTGGGATTGCTGACTAGCGTAGAAAAACATTGTATCGGTATCCAACGTCAAGATGTCGACGGATAAGATTACCTTCTTGACTAACTGGTGGGCTCAATGTCTAGCATTACTATAGAAGAACAGGGTACTGAATAACATGTTAGGCACGCTACACCATACCATGCGCCTGTGTACCTCGCTCAAAGCAAGGGATACTTTAAAGATGAAGGCATCAAAGTCGCTCTCCTTGAGCCAAACGATCCAAGCGTACGATTAACGCCATGTACCTCATTCTAATTCTAAAATCTAACGTGAAAAACAGGACGTCACGGAAATCATCGGATCAGGAAAAGTCGATCTAGGCTTCAAAGCCATGATCCACACGCTCGCCGCCGCCGCGCGAGGTTTCCCTGTCCAATCCATCGGCTCCCTGCTCAACGAGCCCTTCACTGGAGTAGTCTATCTCACATCCTCGGGGATAACTAGTGACTTCAGCACTCTCAAAGGGAAGAAGATAGGCTACGTAGGCGAATTCGGTAAAATCCAACTCGACGAGCTGACGGCCCACTACGGCATGTCGCCCAGCGACTACCAAGCCGTGCGTGTGGGCATGAACGTGACGCGATCCATCATCACGGGCGAAATTGATGCAGGGATCGGTCTCGAGAATGTGCAAATGGTAGAGTTGGAAGAATGGCTAGTATCGCAGAACCGAGCCCGCGACGAAGTCCAGATGCTGCGTATCGACGAGCTCGCCCAACTGGGCTGCTGCTGCTTCTGCTCCATCTTGTACATTGGCAACAATGCTTTTATCGAGCGCCACCCCGATGCCGTCCGCGCTTTTCTCCGCGCATGCAAGCGCGCAACAGACTTTGTGCTTGCGCAACCGGAGCAAGCGTGGGTTGAGTTTTGTGCTGCAAAGACGGCCATGGATACGCCGACCAACCGCAAGATTTTCGAGCGCAGCTTTGCATATTTTAGCCCAGACTTGCAGAACGTACAGCGTGATTGGGAAAAGGTCACGCGATATGGGAAGAGGCTTGGTGTGCTTGATGAGGCGTTCACGCCAAACTATACGAATGAGTATTTGGCTTGGGGACTGCAGGATGAGGCCGAGGATCCTGTAGGCGACCAGAAAAAGATGGTTGAATTGCAGGAGGGCGTCAAGCAGAACGGCGGGTTCAAGCGTCTGGAGAGCATGGCTGGCAAGACGGTAGTTGGAGCCGCAGCTCAGGCAGAAGCCTGAGCAAACAAGTCGGTATTAATCCATCTGCGTTGATCTGGCGCTTCGCTCTTTTGCGTCTTTCACGGTCAGCAAGAAGATCAACGATGGTACTGCAAGTTAATCGATCGTTGCCAAAATAGTCACTCGCTTGCTTTTATTCCTTCTCAAAAAATGCTATAGTTTCACACCATCAAAAGTGTGTACCTGTTACAGTTGAACCTGCGTCCGCTTGCTTCGTGAAGTTAATCCATTGCCTCCATACCATGCACAGTAAAGACACGATGAGAAAAGATAGCAGGCAGAGATTGGGTGAAGAGACGAGACTTCAGTATTACATCTCGTCCTATATGTCCTTGGATGAGGAGTCTAGAGGACGTCCCTCTGGCACTTCTGGCTCTGGCACCTCTGGTATGTCCGACAGTGGAGTTATCATCGTGTTATCTCCTCCCTGTTGCACTTCTACTGCAGCAGCATTGTCCGCTGAGACCTCATCTTTTGCTTGGCTCGTCTCCCCTATCACGGTGTCCTCCGGTGCACTAGGATACTCCGCAATGCGTTCTTGCAAGTCCTTCTTTATCATCTCCTCACCTATATCGTCCACTGCATTGGACGCTTCGCCCAAGATCCCCGATCTCCTCATTTTTCGTGCACTCTCAGGATACCTTGGGCGCACCTGTCTAGACACGGGCGACGTCTGCGCGCTCGCATTTGTTATCAAATCGGCAATATCATAGCATCTTTTGACAAACGCCTTGACAGTTGTCTCATCACGTAACTGTATGTCACTGTGATCGTCGTAATACGCCATCAGTTCGCCACCCTTTGCGTTTAGTTTGCTCGATTGATTGGCGCTGAAGGCGATCTTTTGACCCAACAGGCTGCCCGAGACAGCCTGTCGGAACTCCACGCCAGAAAAGTGGTATTTAATCTGAGCCATGCCCTTTTCATCACTCGAGCAGCCAGGGATGGTCCACCTGGGAACATCTATGCTAAGCGGCGGTGCGGTAATGCGTCCGCCACTCGAAATGCTTTTTGCGGCGGCAGTAATCCATTTATCCAAGTTGGCATCATTGTGATCTTTGGTCATTCTCAAACTCCCGTACTGATAGAACTGAAGGTCGGCCGCTTTGTTGGGAAGTGACACGGTATGCATATGCTGCCAAAACCTCATGCTTACTCTGCGGAAATATGCTTTAGCACCGTGGCGATCTGTACCCATCTTAATTTGAAGTGTGGGAAACAATTGGTTGGAATCAAAGCCGACCTGCTCAGGGTCGGGTCGGAAGTGGTAGTATAGTGTCGGAACCTGCAGGCGTGTAGTGACGGAGATATCTGGCGATGTAAAAAGAGAAGAAAGCCCGGGGAAAGTAGACACAAAATGGGTTTGAGAAAATCGCTCGGGTGTATTGGCCACTGCCTTCGCGGGATTGGCATGTTCCAGAGGCACCAAGGATTGACCAAATTTGACATAGAGCTTTCGTAACGGTTCAGCAACCCAGCTGCCTAGCTCTTCCAAGTGAGGAAATTCTTTGGAAGCAGACCGAAGTATAGTGGCTGCAGTCCTATCTACTAGACCTTGAACCGTTGCTTTGGATGACTTGGGGACCTCGACTGACTCTTCTTTATCTTCTACAGATTCGGGCCCAGAGATTCGTGGGAGAGGCACTGATAAGCGTCCAAGCGGAGTATTACGAGTTTTGTAGCTCAACAGGCTTTCATCCACATACACAGGTACTGGGTAAATTGAAGTTGCTGCAGAGCCCAGGTTCAGCATATCCGAAGTTCGAGTGATGCTGTCCCTAAAAGGCAGAAGGTTGATCAAAGATCGCTTTGCTTCTTCGACAGATGCATTGTCGAATCCTCTGATTGTAAACTACTCAGAATTAGCAAGTGTAGACACCAATGTCAAGGGGCGGCTTGCCAAGTTCCTTGTAGTACCCGCTATGCTTGTCTTGGTGAGTGCTGAGATGACATCCCGATCTTTTTGTGAAAAGAGCGTGGTTAGATCTAGTTGTTGGTCACGTGGTATCATATCGGGCTCCAGCAGACGCATGTAATTTTTGAGGTTCATCCGTTTGACCTCTGTACGTTGCAAAGCTTCTTCCACATCATTAGCAGCGTACTCTGCTGTACTTTTGTCGGCGGTGATGCGAAGAATGTCATGGTGTTTGTAGATTTGAAGTTTGACCTTTCTGATCAGTGCGATTTCATCAAGTAAATTGTGTTCTTCAACAAGGGTTAGTAGAGATTGTGAAGGTAATACAAGCTGGAAACTAACCTCCAACAGTAAGCAGTGTCATCTGCCACGGCTTCAGAAACAGTTCGAGCTCGCCAGGCGTCTCGATTTCTTCAAGAAGCACGAGGTTCCACTGGTCGCGGAGGATGCGGTCTACGAGCAGCTGCTTGCTGACGTTCTTTCGCCATCCCATGATTTTGACATGGCGGTCGACTCCAGGCAAACGTTGTGTGATGCTTGTAGTGCCTGGTTGCCACTCAGAGCGCTCTACCGGGCGCTTGGGATCATCCTCGTCTCGCTTCAGGCTATCGATGACACCTTGGTTGACCTGCCCCCGCTTAATGTTCTTTGCAACCGAGTAGAAGGTCATCAACTGTTGTTGGGTGAAGCCGTTCATGAGGAGATTTTTCAACTTGAGAAACGTAGCCTGCTTGACATAGTGTGGCTCGTTGGGATCGCCGTGTTGCGTTGGACGTAGACTGCCAATTTGTTGATAAATTTCCTCGGGCGTGGCTGCCTTGCCCTCTTGTTGCAGCGAGGCAAAGATGTCGGGAACCTGGACAGGATCAGAAGGCTCAATGGTTTCGGGCTCTTCATCGCCTTTCTCCGCTAGTACGTCTCCAAGTTCTCTAAGCACCAGGATATCGGCATGGTCGCCCAGCTGCTTGATTCCTCCCAGGCTTGCTGTGGTCTCTTTGATAATCTTGCCCTTTCTCCTCCGGACCCGGTTGAGTGGCTCGACTACTTTAGTAATCTTGAGCTTCGGACCGTCCAACTCGGAAAGAACGTCGTTTGTTTCTGCGCCATCGTCATGCAGGCGGGCAGAGGCAGAAAAGGTGGCGCGTGGGATGCGGTAGGGCACGGCAGGGAGTCGTCGGCGGGCGATTTGCGCTTCACAGCGGAGGCATACAAATGCACTGGGAGCACGGGGTGCAGGCATGAAGAACGGCGAGGAAGGGCTGGGGTTCAATGCTTGTTGCAGCGTGTGGTGCGCAAAGTGAAATGCGTCCATCATCTTTGGCCACCGCCTAATAATTCTGCCGTCGCGCCTTCACGTGCAAGGCGCGTCATACTCGCTGTGTGCCAATGCTTCTCATCACATGTCCGTCGTTACAAAGGCAAAACAAAAAAGTTCAAGAGAAGAAATAAAATGCGCAATTACAAGAGTCTACTGTTTTCTACAATGGGACATCACGTCGGCCGATGCCAGCTGACCAGGTCTTCTCGCAGATCAAACTCATTGACTTCTTGGACCGGCCGCTGTCGTTGCCGCGCCGCCTCAGCCTTCGCCTTCAGGTGCGATGCCCGCTGTTCCAAGCTTTCCCGGCCTCGCACATTTGGCGAGCGAAGCGGTTTCATGTCCCCGGGCCGCAGCGTCTCATGCGACTTGCGACTGATGCTGCTGCCATGCATGTGCATCGATTCGTTTTCACTTACAGAGCTGCTGCCGTCGCCGGCGAAGCGCAACGACTGCTGAGCCCGTATTTGCTGCGAGTAGGACTTGTCGCCCCAGCCGTCTCCGCCAGCGAAGATGTCCTCTATGCATTCGTCCGCCTTAAGCTCGCCAGGCTGAGCCGACCAATATGCGGCCAGAGTGCGCCTGTACATATCCTGTAGCTCGCCGGCTTCACGCGATTTGTTCGCCGACGAGTATGTGGCTGTTAGAGTCAGCTGCGTTTGTGAAGGAAAAATGGGTAGGCCTGCCTCCTTGATCTTCGAGCTCAGTCTGTTCTCCGGCCATGATACCGGCAATGCCGCTGAAGACCTGGGCAGTCTTGAGTGCGGGTGCAATGTAGTTCTTGTCCCCCTCGATATGTTTCATGTATATCCCAATCTTGAGCGTGCTGTTGATTTTGCTGTCTTGCATGAGGTATCGCCGTGTGACGCCTGGCTCTTCGCCTGCCACCGTGCCCATCTCGCTTTGTTCCACATACTCTGCCAGATTGAGCTTGACAGTGCCCAGAGTTATCCTCTCGCCTCTGCCTGTTCCGTACTCTTGGATAACCTCGAACTCGACGTAGCACTCCTGCAACATGCCGTTCTTGTCCACGGTAAGCCGGACGGGGAGTGTAGCCTCATAGTCGTAGGCAACTTTATGGTCCTTCACATAGCAGCTGTCTGTACGACCGCGGTGTTCGGCGGCTGTCGAGTGCAAGAGGTGCCATTTCACGAAAGATGTACCAGATACGAGGGGAACATTGTTGAGGTCGATGATCTGCTGCTGTCAGGACATGGTCATAGGGGGCGTGATGGGCAGCGCGCACTCTCAGGTGCAGGTCAAACTTTGGCTGTGCAGCTTGTCAGCCCGTGTAACATGCGTATGTATGCTTGCGCGTCTTAGTAACTAGCTTTGCCTTACTCGTCGGTTCTTTGGCACTGAGATCGTGAGTGTGTGAGCCGCAAATGCGACGGTGCGGCGCATAGCCATTGCTCACCAAAAGCTTGCATATTGAAGAGAAGAGAAGAAGCCTGACAAAGCCACGTTCGGGGAAGTTGTAAGAAGGGTCCTAGTGGTATCGCGCGTGTGACAGGGTTCTTTTGTCGTCGAGTAGCAGGAGTGATGGACGGCCTTGGAACCGCCAAAGCATCAATCGGTTTCCGGTTTCAGCTTTCTCCGTGCCCTAACTCCGAGCCCCCCCCGGCCTGACCTAACCTGACCAGAGCCCCTCGACTCTCGCTGTCCTTTCACTGCAGACGACCAAATCAGACGACCATGGCACCAGACCCAGATGCCATCGCCCACTGCGTCCTCGATACCTTTGACAGCCTGCCCGACAAAAGAAAACCCCGACCCCGCAGCCACGGCGCACGAGAATGGGTGCCCCTTGCTGGAATCGTCTTATCTAAAGGTAATCGCTCACTGGCATGCCTACGCCGCTATACTTGCTTATGCCCATGAACTAGCGAAGGCGACAGGCTAAAATGTGTATCTTTGGGGTAAGCAGTATTCCTTTCAATATAGTTCCTTGCGCCATTTGTGAGCCATGCCGCCGCGACGTAGGTAAAATGGGGTATCGTCGACTCGTAAGCGACATGCATCAAGTAGTCTACTTACCCGAGCAGGCTATTCCCATCAGTGGCTCGGCCCCGCGTCAAGGTGCTGCGGGATTGCTAAAAGATCCATATACGATTAATACATTGGAACATGGGTCAATTTAGCGCTATCTCGCAGTGTCTAAGAAGCAATATTTGGTCATGTAATGACATGCTGACGCTCGTAGAACGGGCATGAAATGTCTTCCATCAAACAAAATCCCACTGGCAAAAGGCAACATCCTACACGATTGGCACGCTGAAGTCATTGCCATCCGAGCCTTCAACCGCTTCCTTCTGGACGAATGTGTGCGCATCTCATCGTCGCCCTATCCTGCGTCGGATTTCGTCCAATCCCGATATCCCCGAGACCAGACGACACAGCTATTTACTATCCCCGACGATGTATCAATCCACATGTATTGTTCCGAAGCACCCTGCGGTGACGCAAGCATGGAGCTCACTATGGCCGCGCAAGCAGATGCCACACCATGGACAAGCCCACCCCCAACCCTCCAGGAAGCCACTGCAGCATCGCCTCCACAGTTACCCAGCCCGCCCGGACAAACAACTGGCGACTCAGCAGAAGACATCGGACTCAGCGCCCTACGTGGTCGCTCAAACTTCTCCCACCTTGGCGTCGTCCGCGCCAAACCCTCTCGACCAGACGCACCCCCTACCCTAAGTAAATCCTGCACCGACAAACTCACCCTCAAGCAATCCCTCTCTCTCCTCTCCTCCACCACTTCTCTCCTCATCACGCCACAAAACGCCTATTTAGCCACTCTCATCCTCCCTGCCTCACAATACGTGCCCCAAGCATGCGAGCGCGCTTTTTCTCCCACTGGCCGCCTTAAAAACTTGCCTTGTTCGACGACACGTGAGTGGGGCAGAGGATACACGTTCCACCCATTCACAGTAAAGCCTACCACAAGGGAATTTACGTGGTCGAGGCGTGCACTAGCTCCAGAAGAGAACGCGGTATCAAGCAACCTCTCAGCAGTCTGGACACCATACTGGCAGGAGACGCTCATCGGCGGTGTATTACAAGGGCGAAAGCAGCTGGATCCCCGTGGCGCAAGCCGGATCTGCAGAAGAGGATTGTGGATGGAAAGTGTACGGGTGGCAGGAATGCTAGGCGGAGCAGCTGCGACGGTGCTCGGCACGAAGAAAACATATGCCGAGGTGAAGAGTACCGCTTTATTGTCGGAAAGAAGAAGAGTAAAGAGCGATATGCACAACGCGTTGAAAGGCTGGCCGAAAAACACGGGTGACGACGAGTGGACTCTCAAGTAGTGAAATCACATTGCTCCGTTTCCAACTCGATCTTATTTTACATCTACAATCCCATGTTGTCCCTCTGCGAATACCCCCCAACCTCCCATTCTCCCTCCCCATCTGTCCCCCACCACCTCCAACACCCCGACCATCTCCACCCTTCTCTTCCGCGCCATGTCCATCTTCTCATCGTAATAAATCCTTGCATCGACTTTCCGACGAGGCATCCGACTGATTAGTACCCGTATGTCACTGTACAGTCCCATCAGTCCACTAAGCCCCGGTACACCTGGTCCTATTTTATTACTCGAGAAAATAGAAGGCTGGGGTACTGGCTCCGCTTGATCTGGACCCCCGTAGCTCGCTGCGTGTGCTCGGTGCTCGGGGACCCCGCGTTTGGGAGATGCAGCCCGAGTGGTGGGGGGAGGCGTGGTGGGGATTACGAGGAGGGTGTAGAGAGAGAGTGAGTGGGTTAAGTGAGCGAGGGTTGAGAGGAGGGTGGATGTGAAGGATGTTGCTGTTATGTGAGATTTCGGGTCAGTTTCTGGTGCTTGTACAGTTGGGGAAAGTACAGAAAGACGGACCTTTGTTCATGTCGTTCTTTGATACGGGGCCAAAGACGTGGGCGAGATTATCGATTAGGATAAATTTCAGAGTGCTCGGTGTACTCTTCTTGGGGGTTATTTCTGCAGCTTGCTCTGCCGTGTCTGCATGTCCTGATTTTTCCGGTTCCGGGGCTGATATCGCGGCCGATATCGCGGCCGTGTCTTGCACTCGTGGTGCCAAATTGGGCTTGGCCTCGGATTCAAACAGCATTTCCTCTTCCTCGTCCTCATCCTCGCCCTCGCTATCCGGAACAAATGTCCTCTTAGAAGTTTCTTTCGCTTCACCCACCCGTACCTGCTCCTTTGCCAACGCCTCCTCTTTCTCTTCCGTATCTTTTCCACCTCCCCCTCTTCCCTCGAGCTCATCTCGAATCTCCCCCACTGCCTCCCTCACACCCTCGAAATCAAACACTCTCATGATTTTAACCCGATCCAGCACCTTTGCCGCTACATCTTCTGCTCGAGAATCTGATCCCAAACCCACAGATTCGCGAAGGGGCGCTAGTAGATCCTGAGATTGTTGACACGATAGTAACCGCGCAATAATCAGCGTGAACAACCTCAAGACATCAAAATTGCCTGTCGTATCCACCACCGCCGCCGTAGAATGTCGATTTATCAAAAGACAACTAACAAGCAAAGTTGTGTAAACCTAGAGAAAGAAAACTTCTTGATTAGTTCAATCTCACTCTCTCATATGTTTTGTACACCACTCAACTTGTTGTTGTTGTTTTTAGCAGGTTGGACTTTTGTTTCTTTTTCTTTTTTTTCTCTCTCTAACTAACCTCTCTGACGCCTGCACTTGCTTCACCACCAATTTCGATTACCCTTCCACTTTCCAGTCCGCCGAATAGTGCTGCATCCAAGCTCTTGACTCCAGTTCCTATGCGCTCTTTTTTGTGCTTGTGCTCTGTGATACCCGAGTTGTACACGCGGTCGATCAAGTCGTCCAGCTCGTCGTCATCGATTAGGGAAGATGCGAGAATTGGCTCTGCTGGTCCCACGGTCTCGTCCCCTTTAGTTGCAAAGGTATGAGATAGGCTTTCCATTTTTTCCATCTGATATGGTTTGGTGTGGATTGGATGGAGAGATCAGGGTGAGCATGAGGGTAATGCTTGGGGGCCCGTCGGAATGATTCCGAGTGCATCGCGCTAGTGGATGTGCACGGATGAAAGGCGCGACTGGTCAATGAGTAGGCCCAGTCTTGAAGGGTGTTTTACGTCAGATATAGAGTGACCAGAGGAAGTTGAGATTGGAAGACACAAACAGTTAGCATCTGCCACTTTTAAGAATCGCAGCTCAAGTAAGTTTCAATTTGAGACGGTCAGCTTGAGTTGCACAGACGAACTATACTCGTATTGCGCCACTTCGATTCATATGCATACATCTTGCAGCAGATTAATATGAAATGACCCAGGAACGCGGAACTTTAACCCAAGACCGAGAGTCTATCACCGCAAAAGAAAGGACATGTTGCGTCAATAGTTATGTCATGCTATTGTTTCTATGTTTACTGCCAGTTCTGCTCCTCCCATACGTATGCATTCAAATCAAATATTGGAACTCAGTATAACGATCGCTCAGGTCGTACATGAATTTTCAAACATTCCGTGTTATGGACAGGGCATGAGTCGAATGGGGCGGTCTTGTCGCATGGTAGTAGCTATGTGATACGACATTTCTAAACAATGACTATTAGTATACCAAGTTCAAGTTTTGCGGCACAGATACATAAGCTCAAGATATCGAGTATTTGAACAAAAGCTTGGATATGCAAAAAAACGTACATTTTCCGCAGGTGCAAGCACCCTGTGCGCAGCCGCAGTCGGCGCAAGTGCATCCAGAGTTTCCGCAGCCTCCCTTCATTTTGATGAGTCTTTGAAGTGTGGTGGTTTGGTGGTGGTGTAGAAGAAGATAGTTGTAGATTGGTACTTTGGTCGTTTGCTGGAGAAAAGAGAAACAGTTGGAGGGGCAGAAGCGGGGCGGCCTTTTATCTGCTCATGCCTGACCGATGACCAACTGTTTTCGGCCACGGCCGCTGTGACGCCAATAGCCGCACTTGCCAGAGTCTCTCGCACCCCAACGCGGCCGGCTTGCCGACCTGGTTCATTTAGGCGGGTCAGGGCCTCGTGGCCAGCTAATCATTGGAGCAGACGTGCTATGTGGACTGATTGGGGTGGCGAATCCAGAGGCCTGGTGAGGCAAGGGCGGCGGGAGGGTGGGGGCGGCCCGCACCATCAACTATCGTGTGGCATTGCATGCATATAACCTCCAGAACAACATGCTGTAAGCTGACCAAAGAAGTGATGAGGCCGGACTGCCAAGTTGTTTGTTCGGTCAAAAGCATGCAAGAGCGGCAGACGATGAATTATATTTGGGCCACCCTCCGTCATTGTGCTCAGAGGGATCGTCTCTCCTCGGATGGATGTCTTTACCCAGTTTCGATGTGCGCAGCGCGCTATGCCGCTCAAACGGCACAGTAACCATCTTATGTAGGATTTCTGGCGGCGACCTTGGGCATGGATATTCCATCGCGATTGGACCAGTTACCAAAATCTCTTATGTTGCTTCCAAAGATGGCTTTTACATCCCACGCAGACGCTCCGAAGACTGATGCTGAGGCGCCTTAAAGAGAGCCAAACGGAATTTAGACCACCCCTCCTTTGTTACCCATGTTTGCGAGATCGATTACTTCTTCTTCCACTTCAGGCTCTGGCACACTTTTACCCTTTGTGTTCTTAGCACTCTTTGTGCCGCTCTTGCTGCCACCAACCCCCCTCTTCCCATCCTTGATGCTACTACTATCGTCATCATCATCGCCGAACAAAAATCCTTTGCCCTTCATCCGCCTCTTCTCGTCAGATGAAAAGGTCGAATGTGCTGTACCGGAGGCAAAGTTGGAGGACGCAGAGTCTTCGCCCAGCATCCATGAAAAGCTTGAAGAGGTGAGGTGTGGCCGTGACCTCGGGGATAGAGACGAGGCGAGCTTCGATGGTGGCGACAGTGTGCTGGCAGGAGGGGATGCCGGGCGTGAACTAATTGGAGTAGGATTACTTGGCACTGCTACCAAAGGTGTGGTGGGACGAGGACTTGCCGTGGATGTAACAGGCTGGATCTTCGAACTCTGTTCGGGTCCTGTTACGGAGGGTGGGATTGGAGAAGCGAGAGTTGCTGTAGCCTGTGCAGTTGCAGCCTGCTCTGTTGCTTCATCAACAGGCAACGGGATGGATGAATCTTCCAGGTATACCTGTACAAATTGTACCTTTGCAATGGCAAGACTAAGTGCTTCAATAGCCTCTTTGCCCTTTTCATCATCTGTATTTGCTCTTTGTGCCTCGTCACGTTCGCGGTGATGCTCCCATAATTCACCGATTGCAGCCTCCAGCATCTTGGCCAGATTCTTGTTTCTACGATCGAGCTCCTCTACTTTACTCATGCTTTTGGCCGAATGTGTTCTTTCCAGGCTGGGCTGCCCATTGGCAGCGGTTGTTGGCAGGCTGGGTTTTCGAAACTCTCTTGCACCAGATCGTGGCGTTGCATTGCCTGAACTCACTCCTGACTGGTAGGCTTCGACATTCTTCTTTACTTCCCCTACGGCATCTCGTAGAGCCTTTCCTACACCCCATTGCGATCCGCGATCTAATACATTTTTGGCAGCGCCTTGAATCAATGCCTCTATGCCAGCACCTTGTTGGCTGACAAAGCTTCTTGGCGACCCCAGGTTATTCCGTGTTCGGCTTGAGGCGAACGATGGTGATGGCGAAGCATCACGAGGACTTGTTATCGTCTCAGACTCAAAAACAGGGGCTTTCTTTCCGTATCTTGTGATGATTTCTACGCCGCCCTGTCGGGTTAGGTGGTCACGCAGATACAAAGCATCTTTGATGAAGGTGTAAGGTGGGTTGGCCGGCTCCGGATATCTGAGCAGAAAAGCAAAAGCTTCGTTGGTATCAGCCTTGATCAGCTCCCACCGTATGCGCAGTAACATGGAGATGGAAATCATGTCGACTAATTCTAGTGTGGAGTCTATCGCGAACAGAGCATCCCACATGTCGAAGACAGCATCAAGAGAGAATTCTCTTCCAAAAAGAAGACGAATCCAGCGTCTGTGCTTGTTGGTTAGTTGAGGGAATCCAAGCGCACTGGTGGCTTACAGCAAGAATATTTGAGGAACAATGTCAAGCTTCACGAGATGGCCATGCAATCCTGGATCAACCCTCGACAGGTAGTCATCGAAGATCCTAGAGCTGCGAGCAAGCATTGGAGTCTCTTTGGAAGTTGAGCCAATCTCCGCTGGGGCATAAAACGACTTTGCAGTCTGCATGATGACAGAGAAAAGCATGTGGGTATCGTGCTCAATGTATGCAGAATCGAGCATATCTGCGAGCGTGCGATCTTTGGCACCGGGTTTCTGGCCCACGAGCTGAATGGCATCTCTTTCCACAACCCACAGCACAGGGGCTAGTATCTCGTGTATGCCCTGCCGATAGCCAATGTTGGGATGCATTTTACACCACACAAACAAAATGTCCAGCATCATGTTTTGGGTGGCGGGCTGGCGAAAGTATACATTATCGGGCATGCATCGCTCAATGTCTTGAAATATTTCGGTCCGAAGTTCCTCGTCGGCTCGTAGGGCTATCCATGGGGACTTTTAACGCTTAGCACCTGTCAATAAGCGACATGTTTTGGGCGCGTGCGACCGGGCGACGAGACATACGCACCTCTGATAGCTCGCTCAGGGGATCGACGGTAGATTCGAACTCATTTGGGTTCTGTATGGCACGGAGGTAGTGAGTACGGAGGGATTCGTATGTCTTGCGCGCCTGGCTGAGGTGGGTGGGCCATGACGAACGATCGAGAGTCTTGAAGACTAGAAAGATCTGGTTGTGAGATGATGAGCAATGGCAAATGCACGAGAGAGTGAAGGGAATCGCACTTTCCAGCAGACGGATCGGAGGCCTGCAGTAATTTGGGGCTCCTTGTGGGAGGATACGTGAATCTTGAGATCGGTCAAGGAATGGAAGTTGTCGAGCAAGCGCCAGTGCTTCCTACATCACGTCAGAGTTTGTCAAGAGCATTTGTGTAGAGGACGCATGGGCATACTCGGCTTCGGATACGGAGCGCATGGTGCCAAAGTTTGACAGTGAGGGGGGGCGTGAGTACTGTGTCGGCAACCAAGTACCCTGTTGGTAGCTCAGCTCACAAGACTGGGGGGGGGGGGTGCCGCGCCCTCGCAGCGATCGCGCGACGCGGGGCAGCTTTGGCCGAGCCATGATGTCACGTGCAGTAAGCAAATGGTCCCAGCTGTGCAGTAGGCGAGGCCACTACTGGGATCCGTTGTGAGGATTGATGCATGGCATTGGCATCGCACGGCATGGCTGGGCTAGGGATGGGATTGTTTATTGTTTGTTTGGTTCACGCAGGCTGTACATGGACGACGTCACTGCAATGCGAATACGATGGATCAAATATCAAACGATAGCGCCGTGCACTATTCTAGGGCACCTGAATACGATGGCTTGCCGTTGTGACTACACACTAAGTATATTTTTGCTACGAAAGCGATCGACTATGGAGGGGAGGCCGCAGAGTACCGATCGAGCCGCCGATCTGGCGTCTCAGAACGAGGTGCTAGCAGCCGACGGCCATGGACTGCAGGCTTCATCCATGGCGCGAACCATGGGCGGGCGAGTTAAACACAGGTGTAAGGCCAAACTGAGATGAGCAGAATCGATATTTCAGCTGGTTTTGGCTGTGCTGGGGTCTAGGGCGGCAGACGGAGAGAGGCGTCGGGGGTACTTGGAGGGAGCCAGAAGGGCTAGCGACACGGCCATGATCGACTGTGTGTCTTGGCAGTGTGGCCCCACACGGGCTCAGTGCGTGTTAGCAGCAGGCACAGCGTTGCGCTGCCCTTGGATGACCAGCCTGTCAACGAGCCCAGGAGCGAGAATGTCGTGCCGAAAGCGCTCCTGCTGCAGCAGTTCGAGCGCACGGAGCGTTGGGCCGGGATGGCTGCAGGCGCATCATCATCAGTAAGCTGGGTGGCGTCATGGAGAAGCTGTTGGGCGCAGTGTAGTGTAGTAGAGTACAGGGCTGAAAGGGGGGAACCTACTGTAGGAATTTGGCGTACTTGGGTTCCTTGAAGTACTGCAGGTACGCCAGGTACGCCACGAAATCGGGCTTATCGAGCGTTTTCTGCTGGGCCAGGAAGTTGAGATAAACGGGATTGGCAAGGCATTGGACAAACTAGGTTCGTGTTAATGAAGACAAAACAGGGGCTAATGACGTTGCGGTCGACGGGAATTGCGGACCTCTAGTTCGAGCTCAAAACGCGAGTAGCCGCCCAGGCCGGGCACGTCTGGCATGGGCATTGCTGCCAGTGTCTGACAAGTGCGGTGCGGTGCGGTGCTGTGCAGTGAATGGCAAAGGTCGCAATCGAGGCAGCGCGTGGAGTGTGTCAAGGGCCAGGCCGGCTGAGGCTGAAAGAAGAATAGAGGAATGGATTCAGGGTCTTTTTTTCCCCGCAATGTCCAGGCTGCGCAAAGTCGGCAGCTAATCCACTTGGGTAGATTGAGGCGGGCTAACGAGTCTGCCCTTGCACAATCAGCTGCGCGTGGGCAGGGCAGGACAGGACAGGCGAGGAAGAGCGAGTGCGAGATGGAGATGGAGGGAGGGAGGGGGGGGGGGAAGGATGCCTCGACCGGGGGGGTGGGTGGGCGAGCAGTCTGCGTGTGCTTGGTATGTAGGCACAGTACTATGGGACCATGTACGTAGTGGTATTCGTCTATACTACTGCCACTACTGCTGCTGCTACTCAAGGGAGGGGGTTGGCAGAGCATCGAGCATCGGCATCAGGAGGGCGTGAATGTGTGGGCGTAGCAGAGTCAGGCGGGCGCAACGCTATGCCCGTCTGGCCAGCGACCCAAAAACCCCACAGGCGCGTGTCCATGTGGGTGTCGCGCAGCGCTGCTCTCTGGCGGGCATCGGCCTCATGGTGGCTTTTTGCTCCCTCTCCTCCTCAGGCTCGTGACCAGCGGCCCAGATGACGGCCGGTCCTACCGAACGCCGCAGCGTCCCAGGTCCCCCAGCTCCAGCTCCAGCTCCAGCTCGCCGCTCTCCGCTGGCCAGAGAAGACCTAGGCCGCTCTTGCTCCAGCCGGCTACTAAATAGTCGTAACTACTTTTAGTCCTCATCGTGCCTCTCTACCTCCGCCTCCGCCTCTCCTTTGCCTTCTTTTACATAAACCCACCCGCCTGCCGCCTCTGCCCTCCGCCCCTCTCCCTTTCCCTGCCCCCTCTCCCTCACTCGCTCGCTCACTGGCCCATCCAATTCCACTCCCACTTCCATATACTACACACATACCCCCCCGCGGCCTCCTGCGCTGCCTGCACCACCACGGCCGTCGCCTGGGCACTCGACATCACTAGCCGTTGCATAGACTACTAACGGGCCTTCAAACACAAGCCTATCTGCACTCGCCCCGCCCACTTGCACCCACCGCCGCCGCCAGCCAGCCAACGGGGCCCGTCCTATCCTCAGCGCGAAACACTGCAGCATTGGTATCGCCAGTCTTAAATTACGCCCCCCTTTTTGCTTCTGCTGCCCTACCCAGCAACGGAGCCCGCTGCACCACGAAGCTTACCCGCACTGCGCGTCACCAGCCAACAGTCGCACAGCGCTCGCCTCCCGCCTCCTGCAACGCCAGTGTTTGATTGGGCCGCACCGCAGGGTTGTCGACAACAGACGGCATTATGTTTGCAGAGCCGTCAATGCCAGGTATTTACCCCCTCCCCCTTCGATCGCCCGTTTCACCCTTTTCTTGGGCCCTCCGCTCCAATTTGCTGCCCTCGCTCATCACCCCTTCTTATCTACAGAACGCCGGCCCTCGCCAGGCCTGCAGCTCAACCTTTCCTCAAACAACCCCTTCCGCAGAGCTGCCTCACCCGGTTATCCCTCGCCCGCATTTCCTTCTCCCGCAAGTGCCACCAACCGCTCCAGCTCCGGCAGCAGACCAATGTCGCGAAATCCCTTCATATCGACCTTTGAGGCCGAGTTTAATAAGGAAGCTTCGCGTGACCTTATTGACATGTCTGTAAACATGAAGGAATCACCCAAGAAACCCACTTTTGGCTCTGCCACCGAGGATATCTTTGTACGTTTACCTTGCCCTCTGCCACCATAATTGCCCGTGAACCCGACGGCTTCGTGCACTCTGTTGCTGCAACAGCTGTCCGCTCAAATTTCCTCCCTCCTCCCTTCCGGTGTACAAGCATGTTTTCGCTCCTTGCACATACACTGTGTGCATCATAGGCTGCTTCAAACGCTTTGCTTGCCACTTTACTGACCACCGCCTCCCTACATACAGAAGAGCCTATCCATCGATGACAGCGATAAGAAGCCAGCTCCTCCCTCACGCCCAGCCCCTAACCGAAGCGGCACCGATCCCCGTGCAGCCCATCGCCCGTCACGCTCTGATGAGGAGAGGCGGGCACGGGACGCTCCCCGTGGCCCTCCTCGACCACGTGGTCCCCCAGGCTCGTCGCGTCCTCCCCACCCAAATAGCCCTGAACGCCGTGAGACGACTCGGCGCCCCCGTCGTAACTCAGAATCCTCGATAATCGACCGAGGCTCTTTGGATCCGCGCGACGACCGTAGGCGCAGGGAGCGCCGCAAGGAGCGTGAAGAGAGTTCCAAGGATGCAAAGGATCCCAAGACGGGCAAGCGAGTCCGCAAACCCCAAGGCCTTGATTTGATCGACAAGCTCGACGTCACCGGCATCTACGGACCCAGCATGATACACCATGACGGCCCTTACGACGCTGTACAGCCACACCGAAACCGGAAGAAGGACACACGCGCGCCAATGGAGGCTTTCCCGGTCGGATCCGCCAACAACACGCTAGGGGGTGCTGGGCCGCTAAACAACAAGATCGATTTGGACAGGATCCACGGCCGAGGCGCCGAGGGTTTCGAAGACTTTAGTACCGCCGAATCCGAGTGGAAGAAGCCTGTAACTACAGAGTACAGCGCTAAGAGCCGAAATGACATCGTCCATGGCGAGCAGAGCCACGGTCTTGGAACTTCGACATTCCTTGAAGGTGCTCCAGCATCCCGCAAGGCCATCCAAGAGGACAGCGATGCTCAGAGGCAAAAGCAGCTTGCTGAGAATGGCCTTGGCCGCAAGAAGTCGATTGCCCAGCGATTCCGCGGTATCTCGCAGCCCCGGCGTTATGGAGACAATCCTCGCATCACTTCACCCGAAGCGCGTTACGGAGCCGCTACTAGCCCAAACGGCCATAATGGGTCCTACAGTACTGGGTCCCTCTCACAGACCAAGGCTAACGAAAAGAACCCCTTCTTCAATGACGACTACGATAAGGCCTATGATGCCAAGGGAGCGTCCATTAGGACCGGTGACACCGATGGCAGGATGGGAGCTTCACCACCTCGTGGCGCCGCTTTGCAACGATCCATTACTACTGACAGCGCCTCATCTCCTACTGCCGAAACGAAGCCACCTGGTGGTGGTTTCCTCAACCGCGTCAAGTCTCTCAAGGGTGGGCGCCGTCGCCCAGCTTGAGCCGGTCATGGACACGGTTGAATCATCTCATCTACTGCCTTTTGAGGTCATTTGTGGCATCTTGGAATCTTATACTACGATAACCACAGCGCTGCAGCTATACTCCGGTGCAATACGGCGCTTGTTCATTCTATTGGCACGCACACACTTCTGTTAAACGATGAACCCTTTTTCTCCTTTTCTACTGGCGTTGGCGTAATTGGGACATTGCCAAACCACGAGCTCTGGATACCACTCATGTGTAGTAGAATAAGGCCACTTTGGGAACATTTTAACGGATAGCATTGGTTGCTTCTTTTTCTTCTCCTTTCATTATTGGACCAACAAACGCTTAATGCGCCTTTTCTAATACAACGGACGTCTGGGACAAATTTGTATGGCATATTCAGACGACCAGGTTGCAATTGCGGTAATAGTGGTAGTAGCAACAAGTCTAGGGGATAAACGCGAGGCGTAGGGTGATTGTGTAGCTCATATCAAAAATGCATTGGGAATACAATTGTCCGCCTTGATATATTTGTGCTGGAAATTATTTACCATTGTGATTGTGTATTCGATTGTGTGTAAATGAATAAATCACAGGTTAGTTTGCACAAGCAGCAAAACAACATGGTTATTATGCACATGTTCACAATTGCAATTCCAGACTTAAACCCCCAACCCCACAAGCATATTGTCAAAGTCACGCGTTCTTTTTTTTTTGATCAACCTGATGTTCAGGGGCAGTAGGTGGGTGGGTGGGGTTACGTACATACCTTACTCCTTATGGGAGTTTTTTATGCACGAAATCGGGAACATCGTTTGTCCCTCATTCCACCTTGCCTCACACATTCCCCCCATGACATCCTTTCCCCTCGGAAATCTTACGAGAATTCAACAAACGCATATCCCAGACCGGGTGGGCATCAGGGGTAAAACGATGACGGGGCTACTGTACCCGCTAGAGTACTTGGGCTAGGTTGTGTTTTCTTCAGGTACGTCGTGGTCGTGGTCGTGGCGGCGACGCGTGGCTGATGCCCCATAGTGCGTGCGTGCATGTACGTATGTAGTTTGTGCGTGTGTGGGTGGGGCTAGTAGTTGCTTGGGGGGGGGGGGGGGGGGGGATTGACCACAGGGGGTGAAGAGAGTGAGAGAGAGGGAGGTTTGCCTGTATATATGTCCTCTGTGTTATTATTACAAGGACTTTTATCTTGTCATGTTTTTGAGTTACTTTGGATGGGAGAGAGACAAAGAGAGAGGGGAGTGCATTGTTCATGGTGAAATATTACATTCAAGTCAGTGTATATCATACGGATCTGCCCATTGTTGTTTTGCAGGTCCTTCTCCAAATCCCATGCTTATCGTATCTGGGTCGAGCGATAACCTCGCATCACGCTTGTTTTACTTTCCTATGTTTTGTTTCTTTTCTTTTTTTTCATTGAACTTTCGTGAGGGCCATGTGCGACGTCATTGTTGGATCATTGATGTTCGAAGCAGAACTGCATGTTGAATACGTATGTAATTTACCGGGTTCAGCAAGAACTGGGTTTTCTTGGATCAGACTTTCTTGTTTTATTTTTTAGGTGCATAGACTGGTAATACCTGTCTCGCAATGTGGTTTTCGGGAATGATTACATGTGTAGAGGCATAGCGCTAAGGTGCGTGCGTGCATGTCAACAAACCTGGGTTTCGCCAAGACGATGTCATCATGTTGATAACAGGACATGGATGGATATGGGAGATACAGGTTGGAAGAATATGTTGGTATTACTAGTCGTCATTCGTAACAAGTGGACATCGCGAGATCAACGCGCTTGAAGCCACGTGAACTGATTATTTCATCTTTAAGGTATGATTCTTGCCATTACTATCGCGAATGTTGCATGAGCTGTAGTAGTCCTTCTGCAGCATCGCCTTGTACCCCAATGCTATTTAAAAGGCCCTCTCCCGTATATTGCTCCTGCTTCAGACGTTGCAGTCTTTCTCGTGCAGACTCGCCTGCCCTATACCCGTCATTTCGCATCCCCGATCCAGCAATCATCTGGTAGTGGTCTCCTTGGCGAACTGGTGACATGAGTTGTTCTGGTGTAGCGGATTTAGGCAGCTCAACAGCAGGAGGTGAGGAGGTGATTTCATATTGTTGCAAAGTACGCGACGAGCTCATACCGCTGGGCGGCAGTGCAAATTGGACTGGGGCAGGTCCGAGTTTACTGATGGCTCGAAATGGGTCGAGATTCGCCTTCACGAAGACTGGTCCTTGGTCGCGTTGCGGAGAGGATATAGTAATGTTGGGAACACAGCCAGTGCCTTGAGATTCGCTAGAGTATGTCGTGGCTGTTGACTTCGACGCGTTGATCGTATTGGACGAATATAGGGCGCTGGCCTCGTATGGGGCAATGATATCCACGTCGCGCTTGTTGACCTGATTCGTCTTGACCTTGTATAGGCCAAACTTGAGGCGCGTGCGCAACTGTTCCGCCCGTGACTTAGTCTTTGTCTCTGTAACTGGCGGGGCAGGCGCTAATGCAGCTGGACGTTCTTGTTCTTTGCCTGGGTCGCTCCTTTGGCTGGCGCACATTTCATAGTTGAGAAAGTCGGAGAAGGACTGGTTGCTCTTTTGAGATGCTTGGATTAGTCCAGGCTCAGGCTCAGGCTCGGGTGAAGGTGATGGAGTGGCGCGTTCGGTAGGTGATCCGGGATCTGCGAGTCCAATTGGGTTGTTTTCCTATGAGAATTGTCAGTTACATGAAGAGGCGCAGAGTGTGGTGTACTGACAGTGTGTTTTTGTATCGCGTCAGCAGTTAAGCGCGCGCCGGTGTTTGAGGGACTGTCGTCGCGTGCGTGAGCAAGCATCTTTGCACTTCCAACCGTCTCGGCACCGTCGACTTCTTCTATGCCCCGCTTCTTGCTCTTGACGGTCGCATTGGGCGTTGTCAGGTTCTCTTTGTCGACAAAGTGGGTTGGCGTGTTTGGGGTAACATGCTTCAGCGGGCTTTCGGCTCGTGAGGCTTGTGATGCTTCATATGCCTTTGTCTGAGTTTGGGGCGTATTCAAGGCCTTTGGAGTGATATTGCCCAGCACACGTCGCGAGGGTGTCTGCGAAGGCGTGTGGTAAGCGGCCATGGTCGGTCTGTGTGGCGTTGTGGCGCTCATGCTGTTGCTGCTGCAGTCTTCCGTATCCTGCGACGCGTTGATATACCAAGGCAGATGACGCGTGGGGTTGCAATATGATGGTCTCTGAATGGGACGACTGGACGTGACTGAGGAACGGCTTGTACTGTATCCCAACTACCGATAGAAACGAATCAAAACAAACAATGTGTTTCCCGATGGCAGTGCGGTAGTAGGCGCGTCGGGGTTGGGGAGGGCATATCACGGACACGAGCCGACGCGATTGGGGGAGGGGGCATGTCCGGGTTCAGTCCAGCTTGGCGGGATGGCAGCCTGGCCCAACTCTCTCTCTCTCTCTCTCGTCTCCGTCTCTTCTTCATCGCCGTCTCCCTCCTTATCGTGTGTTTGTTAAACGCAGTTCTGTTTTCCAAGCAAAGCTCCACACAGCTGTTGATCGCAAGAACAAAATACCGGGTTGGATCGTTCCCAATGGTGCTACGATGGTCCCAAAGCTAATCCTGAGTAATACTTGAAACATGCAACCATTAGGCTATCAGATGCCTACACAGGACCAACCCTACCATGGGCAATTACTCTCAGATCCGATCAATCTCGCAAACAAAAGAATATCTACTGTGTAGACACTGTTCTAGGATGTCAAGTCAGCCAAGCAAAAAGTAGTCATTCCCCACATCGTAGTAACAGGGGGGACAACTTGCCGAACAATGGCCCTTCGCGATAAGATACGTAGGGCTCTTAGTAGTCCCAATGCACCTGCACATGTAGAACGCGCCAGCTTACGGGTCTCCAACTCTCCACCTTACGTCATCTCCAGCACACCAACGCGGTTACTCGGCACCACCATGTCTCGGTTCCATGCACCTACATACCAAATCTATAGTCCTATCCAACTGACACTTCCGTCAGAAATTGCCTGATATTCTGCATCCCAATACAAAGCCTACAGCTGCTACGATCGTCTTACTTGAAGCAAAGCAAGCTTGATGATCCTTGTATGCATACTATCTAACAATTGCTCCACTTTTTCACAATGAGAGGCTTCTTGCAGAAAGCCAAGTCCGAGTTCAAAAACCTGACCCAGAACGATGCCGAGTCTGGTAATTCACATTACCAACATCAGACACAATGTCCTCCTGCACAGCACTTCAATGGGCATGGGGTTGGTGATCAAAAGCAGGGTATCACCGATCCTACCCCACTAGACATCCTCCGTTATCGCTACCACCATGGCACAAACCTCGGTTCTGTCTATGTCATTGAGCGCTGGCTCCAGCACTCTCGGTTTCCTGAAGGCGCAGAGGGCTCCAGTGAGCTTGCAGCAGTCAAGGCATGGGTTGACAGGATAGGCATCGATGAGACGAGAAAGAAGTTTGAGGAGCATTGGGCCAATGTCGTTTCCGAAAATGCCATTGGATGGCTCGCTAATGTAGCCAAATGTACCACCGTCCGTTTACCCATCGGCTACTACGACTTGCCTGGTGCAGTCTTCACACAAGGCACACCCTTTGAACCTTATGCTGATATCTATACTGGAGCATGGGACAGCATTCGCAATCTCATTCAAAGGTTACGTAAGCGCTCGATTGGAGTTCTGATCGATCTACATGCCCTTCCAGGAGGCGCAAATGCGCAGGAGCATTCTGGGACAAACAGTGGATGTGCCGAACTTTGGGGCAACCCTTTCAACCGCTCTCTAGGGGTTCGTTGCTGCCAGTTAATTGCCGAAAACACAAAGGCTGGAGCGGAAATTGCTGGAATACAGCTTGTCAACGAGGCTGAGTGGGAGTGTGAACGTATGTACGAGTGGTACGATGATTGCATACACGCTATATCTGCCATTGATCCCGAAATGCCTGTCATCATATCCGATGGCTGGAATCTCACAAAAGCTATCGATTGGTGTCTCCAAAAGAACTCAATCTACTCTTATCCGCAGTGCCCAGTCGTCGTTGATACGCACTATTACTGGGCCTTTACAGACGACGACAAAGCCAAGTCGCCACAGCAAATCATTCAAGAGGCCAGCACCAAAATGGGAGAGCTAGACGGCAAAGAAGGCGCTGTCCATGATCGTGGCGCTGTTCAGGTCATTGTTGGTGAGTACTCATGTGTCATGACTGAGGACTCATGGGCCAAGGGTGGTGAAGTGCCAAAGGAGGAACTAGTGAAACAGTTTGGTCAAGCACAAGGTAAGAGATATCAGGAGAAAGCTGGTGGTAGCTACTTTTGGACATGGAAAATGGACTGGATGCCGGGTGGTGAATGGGGTTTCAAAGCTAAAACTGAAGATGGAAGTGTCGTACCGCCAAATTACACTGCCATGCCCACTGATCAGAGGCATGAGGCGATTGAAAAGGCTCGACACGAAAGAGCAGGACTTTTTCAAAACGCTTTCCAACAACACGTGGCGTATTGGACTGGCGTAGATCCAAATGGCCAGTATGAACACGAAAAGTACGAATATGGCTGGCAGGTTGGGTTCCAAGACGCGCTTACATTTTTTGAGGGGAGAGACACACGTGGTGACAAAATCGGTATGCTCGAACTTTGGATTTTGAAGCGTATCAGAGAGAGCGGATATAGGGGCGGCTTCACATGGCTATTTGAGCAGGGTTTGAGGAAAGGTGTGCAAGACTGCCAATTCACGCTCGGCATCTGAGATCATGGTGCACAGGCCTCCATTCACTCTCACTCTTAGTTCCCTTAGAAGCGATATTGATCATACGGTATGATATAGGCAATCGATATCATGACCATTAGTGAAACAGTTATGGTAGTAATACGCGCACATGGAGATAAATGGTCCTGTGTTGACCTTCGGGTGTATCGTAACATCAACTCTATTCAGCAACCTTCACTATCCCCTTTGTCTTTATTATCATTTGAAAAGCCCCACAAGTCATGGATCCCGATAAGCCCATGTACATTGATACGAATACAACTACACTGAGTGAGGCATTATCTGTGCTTCGCGATACACCAGAAATCCGGCCATGCCAAGCATACTGCGACACGGAGATTTCATCATGTCCACCAAGTCCAGAGAATCTTGCCCCAAGTCCGTTACGGGTGAGGAAGGTCTATCTAAAGCAGATCGATATGAGTGCGCAAGCCTCAATCGTCGACGCCTCTGAACAAGTCTCCCTCACTCGAGTTGTGACGTCCAGTTCTGACAAGCAAGTCGACTTGCCGAGACCAGTTCCACCGGAAAATGATACTAGGGAACAGGACCAAGAGATGAGTCAAAGGAGTTTCCTTGGAAGTGTTTCGTCAGTAACTCCGGATCATACTACACAACCTATCAACCCACGCGGCAGTCATTCACTAGGTGACCATGAGGTGACAGCGTACGACTTTGACCCGGCAATTACACGGGTGGAACCACTGAAACATACTGATGGTGTGACGGGACGTACTATACCAGGTAAGCCTGTTCCTGAGTATCGTGGAGCATTGGGGACAATTTATCGTCCGTTACCTCAGGTACCGTTGGAAAAGATCAAGCTCGAAAGTCACGACCGACCAAAACCGATATACGAACATGGGTGTGTACAATGTCCACCACAGACAATGGACCCAGAAGACGAAATACTGGAGGAAAGAGACGGCGAAACATCTCTCAGATGCTGCCAAGGTGTCGACGATGTCCAACCCATGCCATCCCCGGATCCGCCGAGCTACGATGAATTTTCCGCAGCCATTTTGCGCCTCTTACCAGGAGACTTGTTATTATCTGCCCCAACATCGCCATCATACAATTCACGTGTTCGGAATTGTAGACGAACTGCACAAGCAGAATTTGGTGATACCCACACTCGACGTTTTCTGTCAACTGAGCCGGGTAATTCTCAAAGGAATGCGCATGATATAGACGAGGCCACTGCCGGCATCCCGGATCAATTCGAAGAGATAGATCCCGAACCCCCAAACGCCCAGCTACCACCTCGAAGTCCAGAAACCACCTTCCAGAGACGCTTTCACCAAGACGGCATTGCACCTCTCCGGCAAGACCGAACACATCCGCGACTATACCCCGCACCCTCCTTATATTCATCAATATATCTCCAAAATGGCCCGCGCCCACCCCTCTGGGGTTCTTACGACAACCTCGCCCTGCAGCGCCGCCAACGCAATGAATGCAGAGAACGGGCACAGAACACCCCGAGAAACGTGGTGCAGGAAACCACACTGACGTATCAACAGGCGTTGTCTGTTGGAGGTCCGGGTGAAGGGCTATCGAGGGAGGTGAATGAGTATAGAGAGCAGATACTCAGTGTGTATCCTGATATGGCGTTTGATGGGAATGCGCGGGGAGATGAGCGGGAGTGGGTGTGTTGTTTGGTTATGTAAGGGAGAGTTGGAGAAAAGCTGTGTTTGTCTAGAGTAAGAAGGGGCGCTGGTTGTGGATTTGAGTGGTGGAGAGGATGGAGGTTATGGTGGTGTGGAAGGAGTTGTGTGCTACTTCTTTCCTTATGATCTGTGCATACCGATAGTATAACTTCTTAAATACGAAGAAGGAAAACGCAATTTGCGTGGTCATATGTTTGTTTGATATATAGACGTTTAAATTTAGTTTCAAGGCTAAGGATAGTCCACGTAAGTACAGATCATGTCTCTTTACCAAGAATTGACGCACCTTAAATGTATTTACATGCTGAGCAAATAATAAGAGCTTGCACAACTATCCAGTCAGTGCCTAATGATACTGGCTCGTGATTCCAAGCAAATATACAGCATTCCCTGCACGTGATACTGTCACAAACACAATTCTTACAGCAAGGATTGCGCGTTTTCATATATACATTCTCAGCAAGCCATATAAATCGTAGCACGTCGCACATACCCGCTCCACGTGCTGCAAAAAGCCACACAATGACGTATATCGTGTAACAGTGTTATATTTCTCTTCAGGAAGAAACTTCACGCTCGAGGTTTCATATGCAACAGATTGTTTACTGGGCGTCCTGATAGGAATGCTGCCAGTCATGTTCCATCGGTGATTACAGCATTGAAAAATCACTTTTCTGCAATGATGAGAGTAACACGAGCTTAGACACCTTCATTTAGACGAGGCCAATTCGAATTTAATTAGAAAAAGATAAGAAAGCGGGGTTACAAAAAAACAGTTCCGGCACCGCATTCACTCATGTTCTAATTTGCGCGCAAACGCTTCCGTTTGCTCTTATATCATTGGACGTAAGATACTCATTGCAACCAACCCATAGCTGCTCAGTCTCTTGGCTTCGAAATTCGACACGCCTTGCCACAAAACTCTGGATATACTACTCTCTAATATTTCTCAGATCCAACGAACGACGGCATCATGTCTACACATTTCCATCCGCGTACGTCTACTTCTGCACCGCAGAGCCCTGTTTGCCCTGGATCTGGTCGCCCGACAATCCGTGCCATTACGCCTTCGCCACCGCATGGCTTGAACAAACCCATGAGCAAAAGTTGCAGTGAGTTAGAGAAGCCGAGTCACGCGTCGCAAGCAGCGGCAGAGCACCTCTTCATGCGGCCCAAGAGCGTGGAGATTTTACAAAAGCACGCTGAGACAAGGCACGCACAACAAGGCTTTCAACATAGAGAAGCGGACGCCAACATGCCTGCACTGCGGCGAGGCGGCGCAGTGGCAGGTAGAAAATCACCCGTCAAGCGCAAACAATACAGTAAGAGTCAGAGAAGCAGACCATACAGTACGCCACCAGCAACATCTTTGCGAGGTAAGATGCCGATTGGAGATCGAAAAGACGACAAAAACGAAGAAAGCTGCGCCATCAAGCAGGATGCAAGCAAGCAAACCGAACACCACGACAACAATGACATGGACATATTTGCCGCCTGTCCGGATACACCCACACCAATGACAGCGTCACAAAAGCGATTCGCATATGTCCCTCTCGGCACACCAACTCCAGCTGTACATTCCCAATTCGCTTCCAAACCGCGCTCCAGAACCAACGCCGCACCTCCGCGTACCAAGTCAGCCCCGATCCTAGTCTCAGATCGTAACCGGCACACTTCCAACGTTGGACTCGGAAAACCACAGCCCATCCATAAAGCTCAAACACTGAATCCACACGGCCCACGCGCAGTCCAGCACAACGAGTCAAAAGTCTCGTCAAAAACCTCACACTCACACCAATCCCTCCATATTATACAGCAGCCTAACCAGCCATCCGCACCAGCCCCAGCAACCCAACGTGCCAGAGCACCCGCTCCCGCTCCCACTGTACCCTTACCGCGCAAACCCCTGTCCGCTACCTCCAACATCTCCATTCGCACCGCGCACTCGCACCGCAGCGTCTTCAGTACACTGGGCCGCGATGAGTTGGAGCGGAAAAAGGCGTGTGTGGAGGAAGACGAGGGGCCGTTTGGTGCGGCGAAGAGTGTTGCAGAGTTAGACGAAAAAAAGCAAAGTATTAAGAGTGGGAAGGATGGAGGTGAGAAAGGGGGGATGTGTGGGGGTAGGGCGTGTTGTGATGTCATGTGAGAATTCCTTTTGTGGGTTGGTGATGGGGGAAGGGGGTATCGTGATGGATGGAGGAGAACTGGTGGTGTGGGAGGAGAGGCTGGTGGGGTGAAATTTTGTGGATGTCTGGATAGAGGGAATGAGAATGGGGAATAGGCTGGACGGGCTGGGGTTGCGTGTAGAGTGTATGTATTACATAGTTATTGTAGTTAATGAAATAATAGATAGAGAGCCATGAGTATCATGATACTGCGGGAGAAGTATGTAAGAAAGAAGTACAACTTCACTCAATTGCTACATCGCGCTATAGGTATGTATTTTTTCCTAAATTGATTCATTGGATGGAAACACTTATGGGAGCTATGCAATACCTCAAATTAAACTCGTGGCAGCATGACTGTCGCATTCAGGCGACTACAAACCCCTATATGATGGATGTCTTGAATACAAATACGGAACCTGCTCTGGTGGTAGACCATTAAAAGATTAGACGTGAAAACATCACCCCTTGGCCTTGTGCCAGGTACCAGTTGTTCACTGAGCCTTTTGGGTTGCCAACCAGAGTAATTCTAGTACACGTGACTAACCAATGTAGGACAATGCAGTCTTTCCCATAGATGTGAGGCTCCAACGGACTGTCGGAGAACTAGATAATATTTGTTGTGGTGTTTGAAAGGGGTTCTTTCCACCTATTGACGATGCTACTGTAAGCGCCGAGAGACGACGAGCACATCTCAAAGATTCATTCACAATGGTCGAAACCTCACAGTCACTTGCAAGGTGTTGAAAAAGATGAAGAATCAAATGTCAGGCGTAAAACCAGTGTGCTGCAAACTAATTCCGCTTCTTGGATGAGGGGTCGGAAGCATAGTCGAGAGCGGTAATAATGTCGGTACCAAAAACAGTGACCATGTATGCAGGGAAAATGATCCAAAGGCCACTATGGAAATGATCAGCGTCATATGGGGGATGATATCCTGGGTAGAAAAGTAGAGACTCACTTCATAATAATGTATAAAAAGGTGAGTGTGAACCAGTCATTGTGACGGATGTTGGCGAAGTCGGAGAAGTACTCATTGCAGTCTGTTTCTGTTAGAATGAAATATCCTAAATCATAAGTCCTGTATACATACAATACAATAATGTCTTGCTCAGCGTCATGACGGCAGCGGCGAAGCCAATGAGGACGGCGCGGTTACCAGACTTGCCTCGCACCTTGATACCGCCGGCGAAGAAACCGCCTTTGTCCTTGCTCACCTCCACACCAGTACCTCCAACAGCTGGCTGACCGTGATTGTACACGGTCAGGGCATAAATTCCATATAGAATGAGTTCGACAGCATTGAGCACGCCCTGTGCTGCGCCGAATCCATCATGGTTTTCCCATCCGGGCCATCCGTATACGTAATCAATGGCCGCGTAAGTTTCATAGGGTTTCCACAGTGGCCATTGAAGCGCGCCTCCAGCCATAGTGTGTGGGCGCAACAGGATGTATAGAGTATCCCAAAGCACAAGGGGCCATGATACAGACAGCCAGACGAGGGTCACTTTTGAGGCTGTATGGCACCATGTTGGCTCGTCAATTGCGGCGGGAGCAGGAGGGCTGATTTCGTCGAAAGCATTCGAGACTGCGCGTTTGGCCAGAGAAGCTGCGCCAGATGGAGACACGCCGAAGTCTGGTGGCGCAGGTGACGCGGTCGAGTTGCGTGATCGTGGCGTCTTCTTGGTAGGCGATGGTTCCGCGGTGGGGAAGTCGCCTTGCGGGCGTGAGCGCGTCGTCACCATTCTGTTTTTGGCGGTGCAAAGTTGCGAAAACGGGACCAAAAGAGGGAGTTACAGTTCTTGAAAGGGTAAAAGCAGTGCAATGGCAAGTAGGGCAGGAGGAATGAGGTGTCGCGATGATGCTACATATCTGTATAGCCAGCACCGAGCCAATGAGGGGTCGGGTCCGCGCTACCCGGTGGGCTAATTCGTAACCTGGGAGAGTCACCCACCCTTCCAGCCAATACAATGCGACACATGGTCTCTAGCGTCTTAGCACAAATCTTAATTCTGCATCTTGTTACGCTTACTGTTGCGACTTGTAGGTGAGGGACTGCTTTTTAACGCCCACTTCAATAGCTGATCTTTGAGATGACAGAATGGCAAGGCAAACTAAGAAGAGAGACAACTTATTCTTTGAACTAGGCTATGTCTGGTTCACAGCAACTAATATTGACCATGCCGATTTCGAATTACTTACACAATGCCCGGTCCTCTGCGGCCCGTCTCTCTTCTCTCCGCGAAGTCGTGAGGGCAATTCCCTGCGGAAGTAAAACCCGACATACATTGATCCCATTAGGTTGCGTAGGTGCGACCACGCAGCATCTCCGCCTCGTCGGCTGTGACAGTCATTAGACCCGAGCCAGCCTCATCCAGCTTCTTCTTCAGTGACTGAACCGCACGCTTCTCCCGCTCAATGCGCGCACGTTTCTCGGCCTCATTCTGCTGACGGCGCTGACGGCGCTCACTCTCGCGGGCATCTGCAAGCCTCTTTGCATAGCCTGCAAAGAATGCATCAGCGGTTTCCATTGCCGTTTTGAGGCGATCATGTGTCTCTAAGAACTCCTCAAACCCATGCGCATCGGGGATGAGGCCTTTGAAGCGTTCGTGACAGAGATGATTAACCATGGTAGTCCATAGCGGATCCTTGTCTGACGTGGCATTCTGCTCAATGATAACAATCTCTTCATAGCTTGGAAGTTCGCTCTTTAGGTAGGTGATGTAAGCACCTAGGATATGCGGGCAGTACCTCTCCATACCTAACAAGCGAGCCGCACGTAGAACAGCAACATCCTCGAAAAAGGTCTTCTGATATGGTACAGCATGAGCCTCGAATTCGTTGCAAGCTTCACGCATCCACTTGATAAGCAGTAGGCGAACGGCACCGGGGTGGATCTGGCCGCGCGAGAACCGGTACTCTGATGAGTTTGGGTGGTTAGTGAAGTGGCGGTGTAAAACAGAAGATGCAGCCATCGCAGAGCGCTTGTAGATGTCTGCGACAGATGTGTTGCCAATGTGGATGGTTATGCGCGGACCTGTGAGGAGAGCTTGACGCTGAGGACGGATCATCTCTAGAAGATTGTCATAGCACTGGTCGACAATGGCAGTAGACGAACCCTCAGAGCATGACGGGTCGCTGGACGCTTTAAGCGCTGAGACGGTCGATGTCAATAAATCCGATTCCTTGTGAGAGAGCGGAGGAGAAGGCAGTGTAGAAGAGTCCAAGGACAGAGCCACCGCCTTTGGCACTCCAGCTTCTAAGTCAAGCAATCCAGCAGACGTGACTGATTGAGCATCCGGATGAGCGGCCTTTTCAGCTACGATCTCCACCTTGGCATCTTTTCCGTGCGATGCCTTTCTAGTCTTCTTCCTGGATTTTAACAACTTCGCAGTGGCGGCTGCCTGCTCTTGAACTTGGTTGTCTCCGGGCTGAGTGGCTTTGATATTTGGACGCTCAACATTCTTCGTAGCCTTGTGCCGACTGGTCTTTGTAGCTATATGAGGAGCCTGACCTAGGTAAATGGGTAACGCAACTCTACATAAATATGAGTAAGTATCATGTTACACCGTAATGCACTGAGCAAACTTACTTATCTTTGGGAACGGAGGTATGCATGACTCGGTTGATCGGAATTCCGTATCCTAAGAGACGAGTGGAGTCTTCAATGATTGGTGACTCGACAGTAGAGCTGCTGTTTGTTTGTGTACAGTGACCTGTGTGGTGAGTCGCCGAATATGATCCAATGCATGGCGTGGGCCAAAAACTTACGGTGCAAAGGAATAAGTGTATTAGGGAATCGTGTCAATTTGACAAGAGTAACTAGTAGTCAAGGTTCAAATTTGTGAGTTACTCAGGCAGAGTGTGGTGACGGGCCAGCGAGTACGACCTTTTCTAAGTGTGCAAACAGGAAGGAGCATGGAATGCACGTGACCATGCGGCTACCCAGAGTACTAAGCAAACGACTGCAGAGGGGACCCTCTAATGGAAGTGAATGAGGATTTATAGCTTGTGGAGTGTTTCTGTGTAGCAATACGGTTTTTCAGTCCCCAACTCTAACTGGCGAGGTAGTTACTACTTAATAATACTGCATAACTCATTTTACCATTAAGCAGTCCGGTGAGTGATCTGAAATGGTAATCCTGGATTTCGCCTGCCTGTATTATTATTATTATTATTTTGGTTTTACGTCCTGTCTCAGCCGGTGGGCTATATAAGACGTGCAGGCTAGGCCCGCAAGTATCTACGTAGTGCTATCACTTTGGTGTAGGTGGGGGAGGGGGCTATCTAAATCGAGGTGAGGCTCGTAGCCTAGTCTAGAGGGAGGTAGAAGGGGGTCTTGCGGGTAAAAGAGAGAGGTAGGGTGGGTGTAGGGCGAGGCCACCTAGTATAGGTGTTGCCCTAGTTCTCGAGGTTTCCTTTGTGCCAGGCCTGTGTTGCAGCCCTAGTTTCTTCAATAAAGGCAATAGTAGCCTGTATGCCTACGCTCGTGTTTAGCAGGAAGGCTAGCGATAGGGGGTCCTTGCTCGCCTCCTGCATCTTTATCCTAGCCTCCTTATATAGCGTACAGCTAAGGAGGATATGGGTAGGATCTTGAGTAGCTCTATAGTTGCAGGGGCAAACTTTAGAGTCTACTTTGTCTCGCGTAAAGAGAAAGTCTCTTAGGTAACAGTGGCCTAGCTTAAGTTGAAAGAAGGCGCTAGAGACTTCTCTACTAGTAAGAGGAGGAGTGGCAATCTGCTTCCTAGTCTTCCACTTATACCTTGCAGCATAAGTAGTAGAGTTGAGGGCAATAGCCTTCCTCCTATATTGTTCTAGATAGCTGAGCCACTCTCGCTCGCCTAGCTGTTTTATTCGTGTGCCTATTACAGCTAGACTCGTCCTACTAGAGCTAGGATCTAGCTTTGTCGCCTCCTTTGCTAGCGCGTCTGCTTTCTCGTTTCCTATAATATCCTGGTGGCCAGGCACCCAGTGGATCGCGGGTGTTAGGCCTTTTTTCTTAAGTTTCTTAGCTGCTCTTATCTCGCCTGCCTGTATATTCGAGCGAAAGTTTGACCTTCTTGATTATCAAGCCTCATCAGAAAACTCGAACACACACTGCTAGAGTTTAGCATCCTAGAGTACACTTTCCTGCGCACGTCGAAAAGATACGGCGCTCCCGCGACTTGAGCGCAAAAAACAAACTAGTCTTGACTTTGAGAAGGAAAATACGCTGCACAGGGTGAACAACAAACAAAAGCAAGTCGCCCAACGTCCTGCAGGTGTCCATCAACGCGTCTCGGGCCTCTGCCGCATGTGCGCATCCGCACAGACATGTGTTTTTCTCCCAAGTACTTTGTTTTGATCTCATTATCTGTTCTATACAACGTTGCTCGGTTTTATGCAACCGTTGAGCTTAGGTTTCTTGCTCAGGGTACACCATCTTCCTACCCACACCCCCATCCACCACAATCTCCTGCCCCGTCACAAACTCATTTCCAACAGCATACTCAACCGCTTTAGCAACATCCTCCACCTTACCTACTCTACCTGCAGGATGCCACGCAGTATCTTCCTCAGTCAATCCCTCTTCCCACTGTTCACGTTTCTCGTCAGCAGCTTTACTCTCATTGACGACATGGATCCACCCGGGGATGATTGCGTTAACCCTGATCTTATGTCGGTGACCCAGCGATATGCACATTGCCTGTGTTAGGCCGAGCAGCCCTGCTTTGACTGCGGAGTATGCCTCGTGATCGGGCTCGGCTTGGTAGGCGCGGGTTGAGGATACGTTGATGATTGTGCCGGGGGAGTTGGGCGTTGAGTTTCCTTTTGCTAGGAGAGGGACGCATAAGCGGCTGAGTAGGAATGGTGCTGTAAGTCCGATTGCAAGTTTCAGGTCCCATTCTTTTTCTATGTCTTCTCCTTGGGCTTCCATGGTGCGGTCTTCTGAGATACTGAGGTCTGTGGGGAATGCGTTGTTGATGAGGACGTCGAGCGTGCCGTTGAATTTTTGAGCCACTTCGTTTACAGCTGCTTTAAGCTGAGCGCGCGAGCTGAGATCGCAATGAAGGGCGTGCCAGGCTTCTTTTCGCCCGTTGGACCATTCTTGCGCTCGCGTTTTCACGTGTTCTAGCTCTTCTTTATTGGAATCGATAATGATGACTTCGTGGCCGGCGGTCAGGAGATGGCGGAAGAGACCACGCCCAATGCCTCGAGCGCCGCCAGTAAGCAGCACTTTCAAGTGCTGAGGTGCTGCGTTCATTGTTGTTCTCCTACCTCTTGAATTACTGCGGTCAGTGTGTACAACTTCCATTGACGCATCTGTGCGGAAGGAGTGTATGGAATGACGTCATCATACAGATCGATCTGAACGCGATATCACATTGGTCCTTCTTACTGCTTTGTAGCTTACAGTGATAGATGGATTTCAAATGATTTGTGTCCTAGTAAGCCAGGTACGGATTACGGCTTTATCCTATTTTGTTAGTTGCACCACCTTTGAATTTTCACCAAACACTGTCCGCAACTAGGCACACATATACGGGCCACAAAAACAATACAATTATACAAAAATAAACCACCTCTCTACGAGAATCTTAAGGCCCCACCACGCTTCAGTGCAACCAAACCCCCAAAACGCATACAATGTACAAAGAAGGGTATATACTACAAATTTACAATCCCGAGTCGATCTGGTTGAGAGTAGTCGAAGCGCTGTAGACATCCCACTCATCACAAAGCCTAAACACATCCTCATCGAAATCCTGCTGGCGGATATCATCTGGCCTCTCGAGGATCTGCATGAACAAGCCACCGCTAACGTGCCACGCAAGATGGCAGTGCAGAGGCCAAGCACCTGGGTTGTCCTGCACGAACTGCAGCACCATGTACGATGGCTCGACGACTCCACTGACGTTGCGTGCGTTCTGCATCTGGTGAACGTCGCGGCGGAGTGTGTTCTCGGGGTTGGTAACAGTACCGTCCCAGTCGCCGTAGCCCTCAGCCAGGACGTGGAAGTCGTGGCCGTGGAGATGCATCGGGTGGCCGCCGATCATACCGTGGTTGACGAGGTGGATGCGGACATGCTCGGCGCCGGGGAACTGGTACACGTTCGACTCGGCCGGGAAATTGGTCTCGCCGTTGAAAGCCTTGATGAGTGTGGGGTCGTTAAAGTTACCGCGGTAAGTGCTGTTGTTGAGGTACCAGATGAAGTTTGTGCCGTTGGAGCGGAACTCAAAGTCGACGCGCTCGACGTGGTCAGGCTCTCCCAGAGGAATCTTGCACAGCGGGATGCCAAGTTCGATGGGGTCGTTCTTGCACTGCTCGAGCTGCGCTTGGGTGACATCTGAGGTAGACTGTGGGATAGCATCGGTATCGGCGTCCTCGTAGTAGACAGCTGCAAGGGCGTTTGGCGAGATACCGTCGGTAAGTGTGCAGCGGAATCCTTGAGCGAGCTGAGAGCGCATCCAGAAAGTGTCACTGGGGTTTCCAGTTGCCTCAATAATGACATCAGATCGCTGACCGACGGCAAGGGTAACAACGTTGGTAGTGTATGGCTCAATGGGGATAAAGTCAACTGCAATGACCTTCATGACGTGTCCATCGATGCTGAACTTCTGGTTTCCTTCGGCACCCGTGTTGATGAGACGTAGTAGGTGCTTCTTGCCAGACTGGAACTTGAACTTGGCCACACCAGCGTTGGGTGTGCAAGGCAAAGTTGTGTTGGCACACGGATAGTTCATGCGTCCGTTGATCAGGTTGTTGTTTGACGGAGGGAATCTTCCAGCCATGGTACCCTCAACCAATGAGTAGTAATCAGCATGGAACCAGTCCTCGAGGACGATGGGACCGATGTCAATGTCATACTCCTCATGCTTGGGGCCATAAATGACCATTGGGCCATGCGCACCGCCAGAGTACTGAGCACTGTAGTGGCCTGGAAAGGTCAGCGTGAAGTCCAAAATGTATTAGGCAGCCCTTATAAACTTACTGTGATACCACGATGTTCCGTAACGGTCGGCGCGGAACAACATCTCCTGGTAGCCACCATTCGGTACAACAGGGCATTGGGCTACTGCAGGGACACCATCATACCAACTGGTTGTTGTCTGTAAAAGACCGTGAGGGTGGAGCGTAGTGCCTTCGTCGGTAAGATCGTTGGTAACTCTCCACAGAATCCAATCACCCCTGTAAGCTGTTAGCGAGGATGCGGAGAACATCAAGGTTTATATATACCAGTTGGCTTCGATAAGCGGTCCGGGGAATTGACCATTGACAGTCAATCCATTCCTGGTCACACCATCCGGTGCGATGGTTTGGTAGGCCACGTGAAGATCGTAAGTCCTCGTCACCCCAGTGTCAGGCATGGTGGGACAAAGAGGATCTGCCACAGGGGTGGTAGTGGGTCCAGAAGTGTAGGTGTTGGTCGCGTTCGAGGAAACGTGCCCATGGCCTCCGTGTCCATGACCTCCATGCCCATGACCTCCCGCAGTAGGGTACGGAGGGCTTACAATGGACTTGGAGGTAGGGAATGGATACGAGCCGTTTGAGTGACCACCTGGGAGGCCATTGATTGGGAGATGAGGGCTATCAATCGTACCCCACTGGGAGTTTCCGCATTGCTCAACGTTTGGCAGAGCAGGGATGAGCTTGTCAGTACCCTTGGGGATCCAGCATGGTCCATCGTACGAGTCTTTTGCTGGGCCGCCGTATGGGAAAGGAGCGGAAGGCCGAGGAGGAGGATAGAGTTCACCGTGAGAAGGTGTGCCTGGCCAAATAAATGGAAGCGGCTCGTCGTTGTAAGGATTGTAGTAAGGTCCGCCATGCTCATGAGGATTGGTAGTGGGCCTTGCGGTGGCGTATTCTGTGACTGTAGCAGTCACAACATTACAAGCGGACGGGGCGCGAAATTCGGCAGGTGTAACTGCGGGATACACAGAAGAAAGGGATGCCGTTGCGGCAAGGTAAGGACTGTAGGCGACCATGGCGTAGCAATAAACAGATGGGACAAGTACAACGGCTGGGCACTTGCTCTGAGAACGACCACAGAAGAAAGGAGTGACTGTATTGGAAAGAAACTGGCCTGGTCGATCGAAGTCTTCAGGGACAACGCCATCTATAAATGATCATCTCTGAGCTGAGCTTTACCTCTACTCAATCTCCTTTGTTGGACTATAGGACTGCGTATACGGCCCGCCGAAGGCTAAGCCCGAAGGATAGAGACTTGAGACACTGGCATCGTGAATAGTTACTGGAAAAGGAAATCTAGAGATGCAGCGAGGTGCGATCTTCGCCTTGTGGACGTTATCAGCAAATCGTATCAAGAGAAAAGCGAGGTTGAATTTCTTTTTCAGCGTCCATATGGATGCCATGGAACGCCACATAGACGCTTAACCCTTTTGCAGAACACAAGATCAGCCACCCAATACCAACAACACGTATATCGGTATATGATCTGCAGAGAGTCAAGTCGTGGCTTCGCTTGTCGTTGCTCGTCACAAAAGGAATATGCGGCATAAAGTGCCGGTACCTGCATCAAGGGACAAGCGAACGTGAGGCTGAAAGTCGCCAACGTCACAAGCTCGCGTACGCATGAAGGCACAACAAGCTGTTCAAAACGAACCCAACGCGCGGGCATCGTAAAGTATATTCTGAAAATGGTCGTATAACATGACACTCCTGATCGCCAGGTCATGTCGGCTGGCGGTGACTCAATAGCCAGACAGGGCGTTTCGTATCGCTGTGAACGCGGGGCATTTCTTGGGGCGCCGGATGCTTGCGGGAATTGTCATAACGGCGGCCCGCGAAGCCTCTGCGAGAATGGATGCTTGTTCGAATTTGTGGCGATGCAGAAAGCCCAATGGCGCAGCGAGAGAAGAAAAGGGCCGAGAAGTCGTTGTTTGAGATGTGAAAACAAGCTTCGCCCAGCCGTGCACCGGACGATCATGAAAGGGGCCGGAGCCCGGCTACCCAGCATCGTTCAACTACTCTGGCGTGCCAGCGATGTCAAATTCTACCGCGGGCGATATCTCCACTCAGATAGTGCAGCTATAATGTTCTGACTGTTATGCTTTTTGTCCAATTGTCCCATCTTTTACGTATTGGAAAAACGACTTTATAGGTGAACCCCCTGCGTCTAACGCCAGGTACCAAGTACTCGGCGTGTGATATGAATGCATAAAAGCCGATGCTGACGCGCCACATATTCGCTTGCTAGTGAGGCGAGGTGTCCTAGATGCCTAGTGTACTGGTACTATATTAGCGCGTTGGGCAAAGAACTTACTACAATTCCCATACCTAATGGCTAGGCGCCAGGGCTTGTCCTCGGGTACACTACCAAACGTCAGGTCTGGCTGTAATGCATTGTACCCAAATAGCAACAGATACTTTTCGCTGCTAATTCCCCTGATACAGCGCCTCTGTATGCTTTAACTCTTAGTCTCGCCACCACAACTTCTGCCAATTCTCTGGTGGAGCGCCTCTATGTGTGTTCTAACTCTGTCTCTCGCCACCACAATTTCAGCTCATCGCCAGGCATAACTGCGTCATCTTGTCAGTTTCTGACAGTCACCGCTGTTTCACAATGCTGAGTATCGGTGAATGGCATCGGCTGTTACCGTGACCCGGCACCAGACCATCTTTGATCTGACATGTGGCCGTATGTGAAAGGTGGAGTAGGCGCGAGCCTATGACAGGTCTCGCCGTGCACTTCTCTCAAAGTATTTTTCCGCGATCTTCCCGAACTCCGACATCAGTCTGGATGGGTCTATTGCAACAAGTCACTGCATAGTAGCCAGTTGCATAGTGTCTCAGGATGTAAACCGTCGGTGCTTTGATTCAGCGAGAGAGGTTCCTGGCCAAGTACTTTATGTTTTCGGTGCGGCGGGTATCGAGAAGAGTGCGAGTCTTGTAGGGTTACTGAGAGCGGGAGGGTTTGCTTGGAGAATATCGCGATAAGATGGGGGAAGTGGCTACAAAAGCTATGAGTTAGTGGCTTGCAACGCGAAGTCAATATGGATCTATTGGCATATAATTAAACCCCCACTCTCTTCAGTTGGACACTCATGGTAGAATCGATGTGCCTTGGCGCTGACCCCTAAATCCTTCCAGTTATCATGAGAGACGACGGGAGGAGACTTGTTGGGAGCAATCTCCCACTTGCAAGATGCCAAATATAGCGTATCGGAGTAATATTTTGCCCTATTATTCGATACTAAGAGACTGCTTGCGGACCCACTTGTTCGGAGATTTCGAACTATGAAGGGATAGGTTCCTCTATACCCAAGCCAGAGGATCCTAGAGAAGACTGCTAGAGGGTTGCTTGCTTGGGGATTGAGCGATTTATCGGGTTGGCATTGATCTCGATCGAGTGGTTACCATGGGAGTGCTGGGAAAGTCATCAATTATTCAATCATATGCGGGTGGCCAGACTAGTGTAAAGGTCTGTTTATATCGTCGCAGATTTGCGGCAAGAAGCGTAATCAAGGGTTTTGGGTTTTCACAACAGTCGGTTTGTCAATACCATATTATGCGGCCGTGTTGAATAAGGCATGACTATTGCACATTCTTCTCGATAAGGGAATAAGTAGGCCTGAAATCTTAGTTGCCATTGCGATAGTAGTGCGAGAAGTGCAAAGACTAGTAAAGCCGACGACTAAAACAATATGAACGAAACAACGCTAAGCCTATGGCCATCAGAATGCGGTTGGCGTGGAATGCACTTTACCGTCCATTTTAGCCGCTATCCATGCGCTCTCATGTGAACGACATGTCGGCGCTAACAAGGGACGGAAATCCATGAAGCGATCCTGCACATGGTGTTTCGTCTAGATCCACCACGATGTTTCAGCTTGGCGCGCGCGGAACATGTATACGTCCCTTCACCCCAACTGGCGTATTCTCCTGTCAGCATTGGAATATACCTGTCGTGTATTAGTGGGAGGTAGTCTTTGCCTTTTGTATCAGACTCACAAACGGCATGCTTGCGCAGTTTGAGGTCGTGGAGCAGCTCTGTCTCTGGGATCAGGCCAGTGCATCTTGACCCGCAGTGTCACTCATGGCGCAGCCCTGTAAAATTGCATAGGATAGCCCATGATTAAAGCCACCCGCTCAACGTCATGGCATCATGGCTACGGGAAACTAGAGCCTTCACGTGGCTGGCGAAAGCTAGTTTTGGGTGCCTACCGGCTGTTACACAGTACGTAGACGTTGGATGGCTGCGACAAGCCATCCACTCTGCAGCGTCCGGGATGACACGGCAGATGCCGGAATCAGTACACATGGCGTGAAAACAGAAACTGTGTTGTAGAATCAGTAAATACATACATACCAGCAACAATTGAAAGGATGGGGAGGGAGCCCCTGCAGTGCACCGAAATCTCGCCTATAGCATCATCAAACCAAGGCTAGTCCGGATTGGCCAAGGCTGCCGGCGCTAGACCACGTCGAACATCTGTCAGTTCTCCACCACCAACCCGCCCGCCTGGTCGTGACCCGCAGACTCCTTCTTAGGGCATAGCATGTGTTCCTTTGTCAATGTTTCCCGCCCGTTGCCTCAAACACGTTGCGCCCTCCCGTGCCACTCTGGATATTGGATGCGTCGTGGACGAAACGGCTAAACACGCTTGTGCTAACTGGTTCTCGGCCTCACGGCAGAGACTGACTCCTACGCGGAGCAATATAAACCATCATGCCCTTCACCCATGGAAACTCTAACGCAGCTGCGCTGGACATTCCTTCTTTGCAAGATTCGTCATTCTCTGCTTGTTTGTTTCTTTCAGTCACTCTTTCGTCACCTAGTTGACCAGCCACTCATTCTCAACACCATCCCTACTATATATCCCCACCACCATATACAAGATGAAGACCGTCGCCACCATCGCCGCCTTGGCCGCCATGGCCAACGCCCACGCCACTTTCCAACAGCTCTGGAAGAATGGAAAAGACCTCGAGAGCACCTGCGCCAGGCTGCCTTCCACCAACAGCCCCATCGAGGACTACACCAGCAAGGCTCTTCAGTGTATGTCTTTTTTTGTCCTACCACCATCTCTCGCACTAACGCAATTTCATAGGCAACGTCAGCCCTGCTGCCGCTAAGGGAAAGTGTGCGTTTGCAGCTGGTGACACAGTTACCATTGAAATGCACCAGCAGTTCACCAGCCGTGACTGCAAGACCGAGGCCATTGGTGGTGCTCACTGGGGACCCGTCCTTGCCTATCTGTCCAAGGTTGAAGATGCCGCCACTGCCGATGGCTCCAGCGAGTTCTTCAAGATCTACGAGAACACCTGGGCCAAGAACCCAGCTGCGTCTCAGGGAGACAACGACTTCTGGGGTACCAAGGACCTCAACTACAACTGTATGTCATTCATGCTTTTACATCGAACAACTCTGACAGAAACACAGGCGGAAAGCTCGACTTCACTATCCCCAAGGACCTCGCCGCTGGTGACTACCTCCTCCGTGCTGAGGCTATTGCGCTTCACGCCGCTGGCCCTGCTGGTGGTGCTCAGCACTACGTCACTTGCTACCAGCTTACTGTTACTGGTAGCGGTACTCTCGCACCCAAGGGTGTCACATTCCCTGAGGCCTACAGCAAGACTGGCCCAGGTCTTGGCTTCTCTATCCACGCCAACCTAGACTCTTACCCTGCCCCTGGTCCTAAGCTGATTGCTGGCGGCACCACAGCCACTCCCTCGCTCCTGACCTTTGGCACGCTCTCTGGTGCTCCTGCTCCTGTTGCTGGTGCTCCTGCTGATGAGGCTCCTGTCGCTTCCGCTTCGTCTGCTGCTGCTTCCACTCCTGCCGCCTCTTCCACTCCCGCTGCCACCCCTAGCAGCTCCGTCGAGGATGCTAAGCCCTCTGCTGCCCCGACTGAGCCCTCTGCCACTCCTGCTGAGACTCCCGCCCCCGTTGTTTCCTCTCCCGCTGCCCCCTTCCCTGTCAGCAACAGCACTTCTTCTGCTGCTCTCCCTATCGCTACCTCTTCCAGCGCCATCGCCTCTACCACCTTGGCGACTGCTGTCCGCCCATCTCCTACCGGTGATGCTAGCGGCGATGCTAGCGGCTCTGTTAAAGAATTCTACCAGTGTGGTGGCATGAACTACAAGGGTGCCACTGGATGTGCCGAGGGCCTTGAGTGCAAGCAGTGGAACCCCTACTATTTCCAGTGCGTCAAGTCTGGATCCAGCAACGGTTCTCAGCCTCCGCCATCCAACAACGCTCCTTCCACTGGCGCTCCCTCCAACAATGCTCCCTCTACCGGCGCTCCATCCAACAACGGCCCCTCAAACAACACCCCAGCCCCCAAGCCCGAGCCCACCAACGTCACCCCTGAAGCCGCTCCTTCCGCCGCTCCCTCCGCCCCCGCTGCCGGCGCTGGCGAGAAGAAGTACACCCTCGAGACCTTCATTGCCTTCCTTGAGGAGGAGGCTGGTGCCGAGAAGGCGGCCAAGATCCGCCGTATGATTGAGGCTCTTTTCTAAGCCATGTATTCAATGCATGGAGAGAAAACATCTTTTGTATGTATATATAACACCTTTTAAGCCTAGATGGTGATTTCTTCGATTCTTGTAGCGATGTTTTTATCTGGAATGACGAATTCTTTTGCATATATACTTTGGACTTCTTGTGTGCATGTGTGAGTGAACTTGTGATGTTGTGTCAGTGATGAAGGGGTTATGCATGTCTTGGTGGACTTGGATAGTTGGGTGAGAAGTGGTCCTAGCATAACGGTGTGGTCGTTTAGCAATACCTATATTACGCACTTTTAAACTGTTAGAACCAATTAGATCGACGAAGCTAGACCTATTAAGAATCCTAACCCTTTTGCACAATATAGTGCTTTTTGTACTGCTGGTAGCTGCAACTTAGGCAAGTATTCAACAAGGCTTTTAATCGTACCATCTCAATCCAGCAAAAGACATGCCAATCGAAAAGGTAAGCACATATACACGAATGAGACACAAACATACAGTTACAAAGTCATCAGCATTACGATTAAAGATAAAAGCTAATCATTAACCCTACCCACCACCACCACCACCAACCGCACCCAAACTCACCCCCTAAACTTCTTCGCCACCCCATCCACGCTCCTACCACGTTTCGTCTTACTAGCCGGAACAAGATCCGAGCAATCCTGCAAATTACTCGTGTCTACACCCACAGTTGACATCTTAAACCACGCCGGGACGAAAACTTGATTCCACAAGTCCGCAGAGTTGATGAATGAGTCCCAAATATCTGCAGTCTAGATTCACATCCACGTCAATATATGTAAGGTTCTACAGCGAAGAAAAGTATTGAACAATGGCAAAAGGAGACAAAAAAAGGAGAGGGGGGGAGGGGGGGGGAAGTACACACCTCATTATAATGCGCGAGCTCAAAATCACTCTGAAGCGTATACGGAGCCGTCCGAAACTTGGTCTGATTATAATACAAGGTATCATACGTCGAGGGCGTGCTATCAAGCCCCTTCCCAGCCTGCTTCGGATCATCAAACAGCTGCACCGCCACACTATGCGTGCCTAAGAGCGCAATCATTTCCTGCGCTGAGATACCTATGGCGCGGAAGTCCGCAATTAGCTTCTCGGGGGAATCGCTGCTGTGCGGGAGGGATCCCACGGGCGCGGCTGTAGCGCTGTCGGGGCGGCCCACGAAGGCTTGCACGTGGGGGCCTAGCGGACAGGCGGCGATGGCGAGGGCGGCGCCGAATTGGATGATATCGGCTGCGCCGACGTTGAATTGGGTGCGCATGCTGCGGAGGGTGTTGCACGTGTCATTTAAGCCGCGGTTTTGAGTGGATGAGCATTCACCGGTGAGAATTATGCTGCCGTCGCAGCCGGAGTTGCAGTCGTGGAAGGCGAGGCGGATGAGGGTGTGGGCGAATTTGCCGCAGCTGGTTAGTTGTTTTTCGAACGAGGCGGCGACGTCGGTCCAGACTGCGGGACAGGTGCGTGGGAGGAGGTTGAGGGCTGAGACGGGGGTTGTTGCCGTGAGGACGGCGAGGGCTAGGGATATGGGACGCATAGTTGTGAAGAGGAGTGAGTATAGATGGAAATTAGATTCAAGTAAAAGGGAAGGGAAAAGAATGTATTTTGTGAGGAATTATTGATATTATAACATATCTTGACCGCAGTGCAACGAGGGCAAACTGTTTGATGCTAATTAAGAATGAAGTCAAAAATCGATATTTATATATCTTGACTCGAGATTGAAAACATCGTGAGTACTGATAATGACCGCGCTCCTCCGATCTACAAGGTTCGCTCTTAGTCATCTTGATGTGGATGTTTCTACGTATTGCAAGGGATGCTGACAAGAAGCATGAAATGGTAAGACGAATAGATCACAATGGCTCTTAACCCAACCTTCCTCACGGGGAATCAATTTCCCTTTATCCTAGCTGGACTCTCATGCTCCTCACAAGCTATACTTACCCCGACATAGAATTCATGTCTTTGATCCCTTTTGACTATGTCGTTTACCAAGTTCATAGACACCCTCCTTGGCGACGCGTGTCGTAGCATTGGCGAACAACCAAGGTTCATTGGTGGACGTTTACTGATATTGCAACATTCAATTGACTACCAGCGTGGAGAGTAGGACCGACCGGCTTATTCATAGAACTGGCGCTGACCTGCACTTGATCCGGAATGCACGATGTGAGATACGGCGCATCGGGCCGGTAATAGCCCGGCTTCGAGCCTTAGGACTATCAAGAAGTGGCATAGTAGAACGTTCCTATTCTAGGATCTCAGCGTAGAGAGCCTGTCGAACTTTGTAATTTCGATAGCGGCTTACTGTTTGTGCATGTGCATAGATGCACCGGCTGGGGAATTAACGTTTTGACGTGACGGAATGGGGCAGTCTCCTTTTCTGCAAAAGGTGATTGTGTTAACAACTGATATCACTCCGGTCCGGGCGTGCTGAGTGCCGATCTGTGTTTTCTAGAAGGAATTGCAATGGTCTTTCTCGCGACCATGACATTGCTTGGCGTGCTTGGTAGTCTCACTCGTCAAGTAAGAAACCCCTTGAGATGCCTGCATTACAGGCCCCCATGTTCTTTGTCTATTCTCCGATGCGAATGATCGGATATCCGAGCAGTATGATTGGGCTGTGTACAAGCGAGATTGCAGATCGATGTCGAATTAAGCTTCAACCATAAATATCATTAGCATCGTGGGGATCAAGCCCGGGAAGAGTATTGAATTTGACATTAGCACTCCTTCAGCTGAACTGGGTACATTAAAGCCATTGGGGGAGATGTCAGACCGCCGGAAGAAGCGGATCACAGTTGATGATTTGGTCGGCTAGTACAAGACTCTTGAAGTAGTCACGCTGCACGGGAGGTTTTCGCTCACTGCATGGAGTATTTCGGGACGCAGTCTGGTTCGCAGATTGCAGCCTTTGGGGATTTTTGTTGAGGTGTAGGCCGGGTTTCGTTAATGCGCGTGGTTATGATCACGGCAGGGTGCAGTAATGCAGTGGCCACCAATGGCAAGTCAATCATCAGATCGACGCTGGAAGGGTGAGCCGGGCAGCCCGGGGGAGCCGGGAAGGAGGGGACTTGACTGGACATGGCACGTTGGTGCATGATTTAGAACATTACGGCTCAAGTAGACAAATCGCACGTCTTTCCTGTGTTGCATAAACCTTACTCTTCCACGAACGGCACATTGCCAAAACGAGATTACTTCTCTTGTGTCATATAACCTATCCACATCTCTACTAGATAGACATCCAAATACTTTTTCGCCAACTGTGGTAAAATCAATGGCATAGTAGTGCTTAAGAAGCTATTGTCGCGCATATGCAATCGGTGCTTCCGCACAGATATCCGAGTGCAAATATGATTATGGCTGACGACAACACGAGGAAGTCTGTCGTGTCTATTCAGTCACGGAACTACAGGCAGTTGTCCCAGAATGATGGATGCCATTGTTTACAGCCTAGTGATTTGCTTGGACAATTTTAACTTATATCCAATCCCGTGACTCCGCGGAGCCAATCAGACGCGCTTTGATGGTCTTCATATAAGTCCCAGGTGAAGTCCGGATAACCATTAATCCGTGCCTTGATCGACAGTCTAATCCAGCGGTCCTCGCATGCAATCAGGCGGAAATACACTAATTCATGGCATACCTTTAGAGCGTCCTCAATTGGACACCACTTATCGGTTGAAAGCTGGATATGAGAAAGGACGATACATTGAAGCGATGAAGAATATGTTCGGATCAGGTCGGCCAAGTCTTTCACATGTGGTTCACAGTTTAGTACCTCGAGAGTCTCAAGACATGGTAATCGACAAGAAGTGGCTAGAGATTTGACCACGATGCCGCCAAACGAAGACGATGGCCACTTTGCGCTGACACGATCCAGACTCAGAGTCAGCTTCTTGAGGTTGGGCGCAGCAGCAATGAAACCACAAATACTTCGGGTCCACCCATCTGGGCGCGGGACATCGTAACCTGTCATGATTGATAACGTGAGCGACTGGAGATTGGAAAAGCAATGCTGCAGCGCCTGTAGAGAGGGCGGAGCTAGTTGGAAGGCCAGAAACGACAGATCGACCGGTTTGTATAAAATATTGCGGCTTTTTCTTCTGGCCATGCTGAACTCTTCCAGTTTGATCTTGCTGTGAGTAATAGCGTAGATGACGACTTCAAAACACTTGCTTCGAAATAGACTGTGAGGTGTTTCGTTGCATTCCCATATATACGATGCGGACGGCTTCATACTGAGTTTGATGGTTTTCAGTTGAGGCAGACCTTTGAGAACTTTCAGAAGCCCATCGTACAGGCGCGAGGGGCGTTCGTTGTGTAGTACGTAGGCATATGTGGCCGCCTCATCATTGACGTTGTTGTCTCTTACACCCAACACTCTAGGAAATCGCTTCGGAGGAGGAAATCGACCCACACGGCTAATTGCATTCAGATTTGCGTATTCCTCGTCATTCAGGAGCCGGATGTGGAGAGTTTTGACGGCATCCCGAAGACCTTGATGACTCGACACTTTGCTGAGGCGATCAAGTGATGATGGGCTGAGAGTGGTAACTTGTTCGGAAAAGGCGAGGCGCGCAAACTTTTCATGGACGAACTGGTAAAGCTGTTGCGAAACTAGACGGAGGCTTCGGTACTCTGGTAGACTGAAATCGGCAGCAATCATATCAAACAACTCAACAGGTAGGCTCTCTAACGGCGACTTCATGGTGGAAAGTGGAAATGAAAGTGAAGAGGACATGAGATTTCACAGCAAAAGGTATGCTGAAGTGCAATTCATCAAAGCTGCCAGGCTTTGATTGGGGTGGCGGAAGGAGGTGATGTTGTGAAGGGAAGGGGGTGATTGGCGCACAGGCCAGCAGGCTTTGCCCAAAGAATAATGACAGCGTGAACCCCGCGGGAGAGACGGCAACCAGCGAGCGACCACGTCTTTGACCCCAACGACGCTCCTTGTGAGTTTACGATATACTCTCAGTCTTTTACCTGGACCGTCACTTGTTTCCTTTTTATACACACACCCACACACACGCTCAAGCTTACTCAACCACGACAGTAACCGAGACGCTGCGAGCGGGTGCACAAGGCTTTTGCAGCTCACCTCAGCACGTCAAAGCCTTGCACAGCATCGACGACGGCAGCAGCAACACCAACTTTCACCCACAGCCATGGACTCGATGCGAAGCCTCAACACGTCGCTGCCCAAGACAAGGCGGCAGCCTGACGTGCACCAGTCGTTCCGTACCGCAGCCTTGAACGTGACCAATCTGTACAAGTCCGCCCTAGCCGACCTTGACAGGGCCCGCGCAGACGGCTACCAAGAAGCCCTCGATGACCTGCTGGCCTATCTGGACAAGGAGAACATTGGAGCAGCCGGTGGAGAGGGCAATAGAATACGGCAGTGGGCGACGGAGCGTTTGGATGGATCTCTGCCCAAGCAGTCGGGCAGCGAGAGCGAAGAAGAATACCTCGATGATAAGCGCGCCCGCAGCTCGTCACCCATCATGGAGCGAAACCTCAGCCTGGACGATCCGCACACTCTCGACCCTGTCATGGAGACAGCAGACCGCTGCGACTCTGCGCCGCCTGTCCAGATGGAAGCCACAACAACCGAGGCTGACTTGTCGCCCTTGCACCACGTTTTCCAGTTTTCCACGGCCCAGGCCTTCCCGTCCGAGACAACAAACGACAACAACGCCACGGATGTATCAGCCGCTGCTCGCCGCGCATTCCCTAATCCCCGAAGACCCTCAAACCGTTCGACTGGACGAAACCTGCAGCGATCGGCGGCTCAAAATCTGTTTCAACTCGGCACTGGCGCAGGGCAGAAGCGACGGCTCATGAACGACTTTTTCAACGTGGACGGATTCAACGACCGACGGGACGGCTCTTCCGGGGGACCTAAGCGAGGGCGCATGTCCTGAGACGGCTGGCCAGGGCAGTCTGAAGATATGGCGTCCAAGGAGGATTTGCGACGAGGAGAGCAAGCCAGTGGACAAATCACGAATCACGAGTAATTGCATCATACCCCCCGACGGCGCAGTGGGCTTGTTGACGATTGTATGCATTGGGTGGAGCAGGTTTTAATAGACGCATTCTCTGGTGTTTATCACTTTTCTGGGCATATACCTTTTCTCATTTCTTGTTTGCGCGACGGCGATTTCGTGTAATCGACTGGCGGAGTTTAGTGGAATGAGAATGGATTTGGGTGTTAATGTGATATTTTGAGCCCTCGAGAGGGAATTTGATGCTTGTTGTGCTTTTGAAATATGTTGGTAAAGGTAAAGGTGATGGTGGTGGTCGCAAGGCCAATGGGATGAATGGGCAGGTCACGTGCGTCCTAGGAAAACCAGCGATAGATGCCCAGGCCGACCATGACGGCGCTGGTGCCAGTGATGGCTATGTGTCTACTGCGCACCCCAAAAATGCTGTTGCTGGCTCGAATTGCCGCTTGGTTGGCGCGGATTTGCGAGTGGCCAGAGACATAGGTAAAGGCTCCCAGGCCCAGAAATGTTGCGCTGCCTGCAGGTTGGCATCAGCACATGGACTTGATCAGCGCAGACCTGGGAGCGAGCATACCAACGACGCGACAGGGCGTGCAGTCTTCAAACTGGGCGCGGTCCTGCTTCAAGGCTTGTTGGAACGTGGGCGTATCTGCATCTCGTTGAGACATGGTTGCAGGGAGAGGTCAATGTAGTAGGTATGTGTGCAGTACGTGGGTATGCGCATGTACGTATGTACAGTGCAGGCCTCGCCCTAGGCTGCTCAAGTTCCCCACCCTCTCACGTCGTCGCGCGCGTGCGCAGCCTCACGCCGACACTCGTCCATCATGAGCGCGATTGAGGCTCTCTACCTCTTTGACGAGCACAAGTAGCCCATCCCTTTTGCCAGCCCTCGTTGGTACCACGCGGCTAACTCACCTCCAGCACGCCGCTTCTGGAGCACATCTACGCCAACCGCCCGCCGCCCGCCAGCTCCCTCCTCCCCCTCTATCTCGCCCATCCCGCCCCACGTCCGCCCTTGATCTACCTGCCCAACACCAACCCGCCCACTCTGCTCTACTCCATTGTCCAGGACCAGCTGCTGTTTCTCTGCCCCTCTTCTGCCGACACCGATCCCCTCGCTCTCCTCACCTTCCTCCACCGTCTCACCGATGTCCTCGAAGACTTCCTCGGCTCGCCCTTGCTCGCCTCCAAGATCGAGGCAAACTACGATGTCGTCGCCCAGTTGCTCAGTGAAATGGTCGACGGCGGTATCATTGCAAACACGGAGCCCAATGCGCTGAGAGATGTCGTTGAAGCCCCCAACCTGCTCAAGAGCCTGTTGGGCGGCGTTGGATTGCCTTCGTCAACCCCCAGCTCACTAACGCCTTCTTCCACAAGCGCGTTTGGTCTTGGTGGTGGAAGGCCAAGCCCAAGACTAGGCCCCTCGCTATCCTCCAGCCAGACAGCGTCACCAGTCCCATGGCGAAGAGCAAATGTTAGGCATACGAGCAACGAAATGTACGTTGATATCGTCGAGACACTCGAAGTTACACTATCGCCCTCTGGTCGACCCTTGGCCGCAATGGCAAACGGCACCATTGCATTCACAGCAAAAGTCTCGGGCGTCCCAGATCTCATACTACAGTTGGGTTGTGCCGGCGGTATCCAAAACACCGTCTCTCTCCCCGTCTTCCATCCGTGCGTAAGGCTCAACCAGTGGAAGGCTCGACCCGGAGAACTATCCTTTGTCCCACCAGATGGTCGCTTCGTGCTAGCAGGATACGAAGTTGACTTACTAGGCTCATCCGCTCTGGACGCCTTCTCCATAGAAAAGTCTGCCAGGAACGCTATGCCCAAGCTCAGCATCCCCGCTACTGTCTCAGTCCACCCATCTCTCGGTCCAACCGGATCAGACTTTGAAGTAAAACTCCAGATCAACCCCCGCTTCGCTGGTAAATCCTCGTCGCAATCCAGCGCCGCAAAAGCCAGTCTAGCGCGCGCCTCATCCTCAACTGGCACCACGTCGGCGCCCGCCATCGAGGAAATGGTCATTCACATCCCCTTGCCTGCAACCGTCAAGAACGTAGTCGATATCCGCGTTGCTCGCGGCATGGGCGACGCCGGCTACGCGCCTGGCGACCGAGCCATCGAATGGCGCGTCAGCAGTCGCGAGGTAACAACCCTCATGTCGCAAGACCGCGGCGTAGGCATGGGCGTCATAGCCACGCTCCGCGGCACCGTCATCGGACAAGACAATCCCTCTGCTGAAGACGGCATCGATGCAGGTGGCCCTGTCTCGTTCTCCACATCAACATATGATTACGATGACGATACACACAACATTTCCTCTGCAAACTCTGGTCTCCCTGCGCCGTCTGGGCTATCTGGTAAGCCAGACTCCGACGCGAAGATTAAGCAGGCGAATAAAGTCCTTATGCCGAGTTGTGCTACGGTTAGCTTTTCCGTCAAGGGATGGCTGCCCAGCGGTATCAAGGTTGAGAGTCTGAATGTCGATCAGAGGAAGAGTAAGGGGTTGGGCAGTGGTGTTACGCCGTACAAGGGTGTCAAGTATCTTTGTGTTAGTCGTAAAGGGGTGGAGTGTAGATGTTAGATTTGATAATGACTGCTCAAAAAATTTAAACATGATGCATAATGAAAAGTCTTTTTTCTTTCAAAGGAAAGGCTGGTTTGTACTGTTTGGTGTTGAAGACACTTTGGTTTGAGTTTGCATGTTTGGTGAGGGATCAATCGATGAAAACAATTGTTATTGTTTGGAATAGTGGAAAGGTACATGTCTTATGTGCCCCCTTCCATTTTCAAATGAAGACTCAAGCATTGCTCTGTATACCCACATTGTAAACTGTATATATGAGTCCCAGCCTACAAATCAACGAACAGGAAAAAAAAAAACAGACGAAATCATTTCTCCTCAAAACTGTACCATTCCATGCTGGTACCACCCTACTTGCGCCCCCGAATAGTGCCCATCCTCCTCTCAATCTTCTCCACTTCGGCTTCCAGTGCCGGGTGCGCGGCAGCCAACTTCTCCAATACCTCCCTGCACTGCACACTGCCCGCTGCCTTTTGCATGGCGAGTTTGTTGGCGAGGCAGTCAAACACCGGGTCGTTCTCCGGATATGCAGCCTCGCATACAAGGTTCATGAACTTGTGGGAGGTGTCTTTACTACGAATCTTCTCGCACAGATGCTTCGTGAAGTGGCCGACATATGTGTTGTTGAGGCCCATTACACGAGCGGCGCGACAGATCTGTACGTTCTTCTGGTCGTTCACCGGTGCCGAATTGAGTGTGACAGAGTAGACGCGAGCCTGGTATGTCATCTCATCCATCCAGTTGAGAAGACACCTGGCGGCGTCGGCGTCGATGGAGCCTGCGGGCAAGGTCCACGAAGTCGCATCTGGGTTGGCCTCGAAGTGTTGCCATGCCTTGCCGGAACACTGTATGAGGATATACTGGGGAAGAGTCTTGAGTTCGACGTCTCCCAGCTTGACAGCGACGTCTGGACCATTGAAGTACAATACACGGCTAGCATACGACATGTGTCGTATATCAGTTGAAGGGTTGAAGTCTGGCTTCGCGTCAGTCTTGACGCGTGTGTGCTTCGGTGACTGGCCCCACGACGTAGTGTGACCTTTCTTGCCTCCCATGGAAACTGGAGATTGTCCTGAACTTTTGGGGGGCAAAGCAGCAACAGGCGTCTTGCCGTACTTGCTCAAGTCGATCGGAAAGGTAAGTATCCTAGGCTTTGGGGCAGGAGGAACCACCTTCAACGTGTCCTTCGTCACGAATGTTAGGGAATCAGTGTCGTGAGAGGATGGGCCACCAACAGTCTTCTCAGTCTGGTCGCCTTTGGTGTTCTCTGTCGCAATAGGCTCGGCAACTTTGTAGACAGACTGTTTGAGCTCGGAAGTCTGGACATTCCCGGACTTCTTTGGAGTAGTTGGAGTGGATTCTTTTGTGTTAGTTTTGACCGTCTCAATACCATTCGCATCACCGCTCTTGGTAGACAACTGAGTATCCAAGATGGATGTTTGATGAGGGTCTTGGGTAGCAGTGAATCGCTCCAGTGCGGATTTCTGACTCTGAACGCGATCATCTTTCTCGGTCGAATCTCGGTGCAACTCCTGGAGTTTGATGAATTGCGTATGGTTCTCCTTCTCCAATGTCTTCATGGTGTTTTCCTTGACTCGTATATCCTCTTCAAGATCTTCAATCTGCTTGTGGCTACCTTGTGCAGCGACCTCCAGCTCGGCAATGCGAAGATCCTTGCTGACAATGGTTGCCTCTAGTTCCTTGATCCGCTCATCTTTGACTGTGATCGTGGTCTCCAGGGAAGATGCGGTCGGGTTGTCTTTCTGGGGCGCCAACAGGGCGAGAAACTTCTCATCCTCCTCCTCATCTGCCCAAGACACCTTCTTGACACCGAGAGTGCCAAGATCAACACCGTTTCCATTGCTCAGAGTATTTTTGGTACTTGCTATGTTCCTAGTCTTGGAGACTAGCTTATTTTTCTGATGTGTGGGAGACTTGTTATTTGACTTGTTTGGTGTTTCGACAGATGAGGGAGTCGGAGAATTTGGAGTGGTAACGATGTGCTTGCCAGCAGCCCAGAAAGCTCTTCCGTTTGACATTCTGGGACAAATTGCGATGTGCGTGTATTTTGGGATACTGAAAATTTCGTTGTTCGAGAGGAAGTGACGAGTTGACGAAGAAAGCACCTGAGCAGCGAGTAGCAGAAGTGAGTTGAGGAAAGAGTGTGGTTGATGGATAGAAAAGAGGGAGAACAAGCATTGAATAAATACTGAGTAGAAAGCGGTTGTGACGCGACTGGGAGTGCGCAGATTTTCAAGTAAGTGGAAGCACAAGCTTAGGCTCCACCGTGTTGTGAATCAAGTGAAGGTAGGAAAGCGCGTCACACGACGGACCTTCCTTGCAGGAAGATTACAGTCTAGGTGTGAAAACGCCAGAATTCACGATCTACATGCATATTCACTTGAATATGCATACACCCTGGAAAGCTGAAAAACGCCTGTGATCACGCTTGAATTAAACACGAGTTATCGTGAAGGACTGACTGATGGAAATTGACTGACAGACGCATGTGCTGACATGTTCACCGTTCGACTCCCGTTGACACTTTGACCCACACTATGAAATTGAATCATGTGACAAAGAATTATCAAGTCATCCTGCTGTGGAAGAGTGGTCCATTTCCACAATTCCAATCTGACCATGGTGTTCTGACTCTTTTGCAACACTGTACCCCTGAAAGGGGTTGGCTTCGCATACTTCATTTCGCAACCATGAGAAATTCACTACAGATGCGACAGTGTAGTTGAAAACTAGGAAGTCAGGTGAAATAATGAACAATGTGCACAGTGAGGCATAGATTAAGTTCTGCTTCTTGTGAACAATAAACAACATAGTTGGAGTACTTTCTCGAAGTCAGCTCAAGTTCCAACTCGAGGTCACACGAACAGTAAACAAACAAACTACAGGCCAACACAGTCTTACTTGCGTTCATGTTACAAATTCAAACATGACGCAAATGAACAAATCAACCCTCATCCCCGCACCCGAAGTCCGAGCCGCACCAGCCAATAGACACGCGACGAAGACTACATAAACATTTATTCCCAATTGAAAGTACACAGCCTTGCGCGAAGAGAAATAGAATCAATTCCCTTCACATCACAGCACTTACTCACCTCCACCCATCCCAGACCAAACTGTCCCAAAATGTCACTCCAACCGCGCAACCTCTTCTCCCACCTCCCACCCCCCGCTGAATGCCTTGCCCTCTTCATCGCAACCCTCGAAATCCTCCCTTTTGGCCTCCTCGGCCTACGCAATCCCACCTCCTTCGCCGACGGCTACGGTCTCCCAATCACCAACACAACCCAACCACCATCCACTACCTCTTCCAAATCTACAAAGCGCACATCTACATCCACATCATCACAAATCAAACAACACGAAGACACAAAGAAAGCCCTCGTAGCAGCAATCGCAGCGCGTAATGTGCAAAATGGAGTCTTATTAGCGGTATTTGGACTTGTGCTACGGGATCGGAGGAGCTTGGGTGTCGCGGTTTTGGCGGGGTTGGTGGCGACGATTGCGGATACGGTCATTGTGCAGGGGTATGGGGTTAGGGATAAGGTTCTGGGGCATTATGTGGGGATTTTTAATAGTTTGGCGATTGGCGGGAGTTTATTGTATTGGAGGAGGAATGATCCGTTGTGGTGAGGGATGTGAGTGTTGGGGGGGAGTTGATGTGTTTGGCGCATCAAGTCGGTGCGGGCGTGGTGAAATGGGGGTTGTGAATGGGGTGAATGGAGATTAGGACTGGTGCTTTGAGTTTGATGGTTGAGGCTGTCATACACATCAGGCAATTTCTTTGGTATTCCAAGATATCTGCAATATGTGAACTGGTGTTTGTTTACCTCCGTAAACACCGTCCTTTTCATATCACGGTTTAATCAGAGTTGTCCGTGTATGTATGACTTGTTGACTTTAAACAGCCAAATATATCGATGTGTGACTTTAGAGACACTTCTCATCCTATCAGAATGGTGAACATGAAGAAATACTATTTCGGAGCATGCGGAACTAAATAGTTACCAGGCCCAAGCAATCATATGTCTAGTCTGCAGGGTTCCTGAACGAGCATACTAGCCGGCACCGCGGGGTATCAGGAACCGTCAATTGCCCCTCCAAAAGTTTACCCATCTTCGCAGCGCATCCCACATTTAACAGCCACAATCTTTGCTTTCACTCTTATCACCCCCAAACATAAGAAAAACGGTCAAAAACACCAAAAATGACAGCCCCTACGCATCTCGATCCCTCCGAATTAGGTACAAAATCCTACTGGGACGCAGCCTACACAACGGAGCGCAAAAACTTTGCCGCAAACGCCTCAGATGAAGGCACAATCTGGTTCAGCGACGCCGGCGCCGAAGAGCGCATGCTATCTTTCCTCGAAGACCTCAGCGACGAAGGCCAAATTCACAAAGAGGACAACGACGAAAACAAGGGGGCACGATTTCTAGATTTGGGCACGGGAAACGGGCACTTGCTGTTTGCGCTGCGCGAGGACGAGTGGAGTGGAGAAATGGTTGGTGTGGATTACTCAACGGAGAGCGTTACGCTTGCTACGTCGATTCGCGATGCGAAAGATGAGGCGTATGCGGATATTGCGTTTTATGAGTGGGATATCTTGTCACAGGCGCCCGGTGCGTGGCTGGGTGAGGGCTTCGATGTTGTGCTGGACAAGGGCACGTTTGATGCGATTTGCCTGTCGCAAGAACAGGATGCGCAGGGGCGCAGGATATGTGAGGGATACAAGGAAAAAGTTGAGCCGTTGGTGAAGAAGGGGGGGAGGTTTCTCATCACGAGCTGCAATTGGACAGAGGAGGAGCTGAAAGAATGGTTTGGAGGCAGAGGATTGCAATTTGATGGCAAGGTCAAATATCCGAGTTTCACGTTTGGAGGCAAGACGGGAAGCAGTGTGGTTACGCTTTGCTTCAAGAGGGTGTGAGCGGTGCTCTCTGCTATGATCGAACGGGCCGCCGTAATCGCGCAACGATGAGCCACTTTTTCCGCTCGCCCATATTCTCCAGGCCGCCATCGCGCTCCTTTTCCCACGGCCGCCGCTGTCCGTCTGCATCCATTTCGTATATCTCCTCGATCTCGAGGCCTTGCTCTGGTACAACCTCCTCAAAGAAGGGCGCGACCTTGGCACGGCCTGTGTGGAAACCCGCGATACAGTATACACGCGCGTCAGGCGTGTCCGTGAGGAAGTGTATCATCGACTTTGCGAGATTCTCATGCTCTCCAGGCATCCAGAAGCAGTCTGCTGCAAGTATGCGCGTGTAGGTATGGGCTTGCGATGATTCGAAGGCTGTGGAAGTGGACCCCCATTCGTGACCTTGGACAGTTACACGGGATTGTAGGGTAGCCGGTATGTTCTTTGCAACGTTCGCCTTGAGGGTATCGAGGATTGGAGGTGCCGGGTAATCAGTGATGACGACCTAACAGACTGTCAGTTTAGGCACACGCACAACCAGATAGATAACCACAAACCTCTTTGGCACCCGCCAATGCGCTCAACATCCCACCCAATCCTACGCCTGATCGGGCGGCGTATCATCAGCCCTCTGCTCACAGTCATGTCTTTTCAATCCAACCCACCTGCGCCCAACTCCAACACCGACTCGCCCTTGACACTCCATTTTTCCTCCTCTTCTTCACTAGTCCACCACTGGCCATTCTCCCAGCATGTGAACTCATCGTTTTCCGTCTTCTTAACAGATTCCTCTTTTCCATCCTTAGGCCGTCCAGTGACCAACTCTGCCATCATGATACCGGCATTCCACAAGTAGTGGGCAAACTTGCGCCTTTGCTCTTCGCCATTGAAGTCGGCCGTCCTCAACTCCAGCTCGCCATACTTGTGATTTTGATATAAAATGAGGGTTTCTGGGTTATCTCCGTGCTGGTTCTGCAGGTCGTCCGTGAAAATACCGCCTAGCGATGAGCCAAAGATGTCTTCTGGTGTGAGGGTCGCGTCGGCCGGGCGGCGGAGATTGATGAGCGAGGGTAGGCGCATAGGCATTGCGACGAATGTGGGACGGCAGTCTCGAAAACCAATTGATGTTAGACTGGTGTGTGCATATGCGGCTGAATGATGCGCGTGTGTGGCGGCACGACATACAGGACGGAATCTGATGGCGGGGCAGACGGACACGCAGGGGCCCCGCTTTGCAGGGATGATATGGACGCGTCCAAACCAATCGTGAGATCATCAATTGCCGAGGACGCAGAGACCGCTGTTTGAGCCTCAGGTGGGCGTCTTTGACTGTTCCTTCATACACCACAACACATTGGCTCGACGCCTACACCACTACCACATCCATACTACGACTGGGACTGCAAAACACCGCCACCATGTCACTATCGTCGTTCAAAAACCCGCCGACGTACCATTTGCTGAGGTACCTTCACTGCAACCCCACCGCCACCACTCCGTCGCATTCATGTTAACACTACACGCAGCTATGGCACTCTTCTCGGCTCCACGCTCTTCCAATCCTTCATTTCTGGCGTCGTCGCCTTCAGAGTCCTGCCCCGCTCCCAGTTCTCCCAGCTACAAAAAAACACCTTTCCCATCTACTTTTCCCTGCAGACTGCGCTCCCCGTCGCAATGCTGTTGACCTACCCCCGCGGCGGCGCTACTTCTCTTCTCCCTTCGTTCCTACAGCCTGCCTCGGCCACCAATCCCCCTCCGTCCTTTTCCTTCTTCGCGCCCGCCACTCCCGCCGCATCCACGAACAAGCTCGCTGCCTGGCTGCACGCCACCATGTTTGTGACTGCGCTGGCCAACTTGGTGTACATTGGACCCAAGACGACCGAGATTATGGGCATCAGGAAGCACCAGGAGACGCGGGATGGCAAGAAGAGCTACGACAATGGGCCCCATAGCAAGGAGATGCAGGCGCTCAACAAGCAGTTTGCTATTCTGCACGGTGTCAGCACCGTTGTCAACCTGATTGGACTTGGCGCCATGATCTGGTACGGTGCTGTTCTCGCGGATGGAATGAGCTTGTAAGATGTTGAACACTGGATTGTGTCTATGTGATAGGGTGCGATGTGGAGGTGTTTTTGACTCGCAATGCATACATGGAGCATGGAGTGTGAACAAGTAGAGAGAAGGGACGAAGAGACGATTAAGGATGACGATTGCAAGAAATCTGATGTTAATCTGCCATTAACGAGTATATATACGTGTACACCTCATGAATCTCAATATATGCCATGCTACGTGTAGGTGAAGTGAGCTTTCGTGCATGTATAAAAACGAGTACTAAGGTCAAATTTCAGTAATTCTTCGAAATTACATGTTAGAGTATGGATCGTCTCTTGGCCTATACGTTGACAAATATATACAAGGAAACAAAATGGACGGATGTACGGCGCAGGGCACCGTATACAGGATATTCGTATCCATTTGAGCCGCCCATGACTAGATATCATCCATCACTCACCTGTGGCAACTCACGGCTGAGACTACAACATACTCAATTCGCTTCCGCCGCAGGTGCACTATTGCTATGTGCATCAGCCACATTAAGAGTCCTCTGGATCCGCCTCTCGAGCTCAGTCTCATCCTCAACCTGGCCATACATCGCCCGTACAAACTGAGCAACACCATCACGACCAACCTCAACCTTGCCTCTAGGACCAACAATATAATCGATCGTTTCATCACCTGCGCCCGAAGTTTCTTTGACACGCACAATGTACCCGTCTTTAACCATGGCAGCTATTGCTTTGTCTTTACTACCCACGGGCGTAGTTTGCTCTGCGTTCATGCGCCTAAGAGCGCGGTCGAGCTTGCCTTCTGGCATCATGCCCCCGGAGATGGTAATGAGAGCGATGGTTAGAGTGTACAAGCCAACGTAGGCGTCTTCCTTGTTTATCATACCCTGTTCAAGTGGCCGTGATGGACCCACAATTTCAGGTATGCGGTACTGGCTGGGCAGGATACTTTGCAAGACCCATACGCTGGTTGACTTTGCCTGGGAGTCTGATGCTAGAGATGCGGCTGCTGCTGCTGTAGGGATGGATCAGACAAAGATAATGGTTGGCACAGGCATGGATAGGATGCATACCGCGCTTTTGCCGCAGAGTCACTCGTTCGGCCTTGGGCAGTTCGACTAGTTGCATTCCAAAAACGTCCATGAGCTGGCTGTTGGCCTGCGCAAAGACTTGTTTGAACAGCCGAGTTTGTGAGCAAAGCACTGTTGCTGTCAGCATGAGTCGTAGACACGATAACCACAGCAATCAGGCAGTGTAAGTACAGACCTTTTTCATTAATGTCTTGCCGCTTAATCGGCCGACGTGAATGCTCACACGACAATGCATATCGGACTAGGCTTTTGGCAAGGTGCTGCACGCCTTCAATCCCTGCGCCGCTGTCCCCGTCAAGGTCGTCAGGAACCTCTGAAAAGTCCATCATGTCCTCCCCGTCCTCTAGCCTGGCCCTCCGAGAAGCCATCTTGTGTAATTGAACACGTGCGTAAGTAGCTGGCGTATCAGAGGGAGGTCAGACGCTGGCGTCGACCCTCAAGACCCCCCGGCTGTAGGGCTGAACGCACGAGGCGAGGCACATCATCGAGCCGAACCATACATGGCCCAAGCGCGCCGCGGTGTTTTCGGTGTTTGCAGGTCTTAGCACGCATACGTCGGTGCATACCACTGCATAGACGGTCACTCTATGCACTCATGCACTCATTTGTACACCCACCATGAGCGCCATCCGATCCGCTGCGAGACGTCCCGTCTTCCGCTGTCTCAATGCCCTGGCGCCACTTCGATGTCGCCCCCAGGCCCGGTATAACTCGCGCTCTCCCAGCTCAGACCTGGAAGCTGTGCTGAAGCAGAATGCTCGCCCCAAAGGCCCCCGCACAGATGAGGACTTTGTCTCGATACACCGCGCAGAGGTCATTCGCCGGGCTGCTTATGTGCGTAGGCGCAATTGGCTGGCGCTCGGTGCGGCTTTGTCCATGATTGCTCCCATCTTCCTTGTGCGCTTGTGGGATGTGCAACCAGTTGATGGCGACAAGGACGGAAGCTCAAGTCGATCCGCAGCAGACCTATTACTGGGACCCCCAACCAAAACCGACGCGCCTAGGAAGGCATCTGATGAGTTTCAAGGCAAAAAGGTTGTTGTGGCAGCAGGTGACAAAGTCATTGCTGCACCAGCCGACGCAGACAATCCCCAAGCATCACATCCAGACGCCATTGAGCTCGTCGAGACTGGTACATCCTATGTTCCTTACTTTCCTCGTACAATCCGCTTGCCTACCGACACCGCGGGCCCCGAACATGTCGAAAGTGACGCCGAATACACACTGCTGGGTTTGGGCATTAGAAAGGTCTCGTTTCTACGCGTCCAAGTCTACGTCGTTGGACTATACATCAAGACAGCTGACCTATCAACCCTCCAAAACCACCTTATCAACACCGTCAATCCCACCGCCTCAGCCCTGATTCCAGATGAAAAGAAAGCTCTCCGTGACTCCCTCCTCGACGCGGACAAGAGCAACAAGATCTGGGAAGCCATTCTTGATAGCCGCGGCACAAGCGGCGTCGACATGGCATTCCGCGTTGTACCCTGCCGAGGCACAGATTTCAAGCATCTCCAAGACGGCTGGATGCGCGGTATCGCATCGCGGACCGACGAGGTGCGTCGCAAGCAGGCCGATTTGCTCAGGCAGCAGGCTGCCGAGAACAAGACCATCGCCCTCCCTAAGCCCGTTGAAGAAGGCGAGTTCCAGGACGAGGCGTTCGGTCTTGCTATGAAAGAGTTTAGGAATATATTCCAGGGCAAGGGTAAGGCGCCAAAGGGTAGCGTTATCATCTTAACACGGAACAAGAATGGGACGCTTGGTGCGTTGTACCAGCCTATAGTCAAGGTTGAGAAGAAAGAGAAGATGGGTAACCCCACGTGGCTGGGCAAGGTCGAGGATGAGAGGGTGAGTCGTCTAGTTTGGTTGTTGTATCTTGGGGGTCAGAATGTTAGTTCTGAGGATGCGAGGAAGAGTATTGTGGATGGGTGTTTGGATATTGTTGAGCGGCCGGTTGGGACCCTGGAGACTATGGTGCATTAGAGGTTAGATTCTCTTGTATGAAAAGAATATGTGTATGATATGGATGGTGAGTTGAATTGCCCATGCATTCTGGTGTGTAAGTTGTCGAGCTATGGCGAGGTTGATATGCCTTGTTAAGAGGTGTTAAGCAGTACGTAACGAAGTATGTATGTTATTTCCAATATCACATACTGCCATTATGGTAGATGGCAGTACGTCCTCGCCTCATATGTACATCTACATTCCCCAAAAATCCTCTAAACAGCATCAATCGAACCCCCTCCACACTTTTCACACCTAACTATCGCACCCACCTCTATCTCTCCTTCCATCCCAAACCCCCCCCCCCCCCACCTATCAAGCCTTCCCCACTAATTTAGCTCCCGTCCCTATCCCACCCTCTTATGATGTCAATATTCCCTCCCTGCCCCTCCGAGGAACACCTCTTTCCAATCAAGCTCACCTACTTGTCTCGTCGCCGAGAACCCCCGGTTAGATGTACGTAGTGATGCTCCGCGGCTACACCTGCGTGTGGAAGTGATAAGCTTTGGTCAAGAAGTCATGGCGTAGGCGTGGGTGTGGGATGTGCGATAAGAAGGGGAGTAGTGTGGGTGGAGATAGAGAAAAGTGAGGGTGCGATGGGTGGATTTTGTAGGGGCGATGACGGAGTGCAGAAGGTTTGGGGTCGTAGTCATAGTTTTCTTTCTCTGGGATAAAACTACGTAGGACTCGTGATATATATCTTTTTTTTTTCTCTCTAGGTTTTTTTGGCACCTGCTCAGTGAACGAGCAGAGTCATATCAGGTTTTATTCTTAACTTGTATTCCGGACCCCAAAGTCGAAATTTTTCGCAGTCCACCGAGACTATCTCACATTTTGAATAAGGGAGATATGGCAGTTATCTGGGGCCTCGACCTCCACGAGATACAATGGGCGAAATTCAAATCGGGCAATATGTGGAATTCACGGTATCACTGCCGGCGCACCAGGTTTATCGTGTATCAACTCGCAATGATATTCACGGTTGTGAGCGAGTCGCTGGGGACGGCGGCATTATCTGGTACCCTCTTTTCCCCCATCCCCATTCCCATCCCTCTACACGAACTTTCTGGGGTCTGATATGTAGACAGATTACACTACCCAGCAACGATACGTCGCACATCTCAACCCGAATGCGACGGTACACAACAACGATTTCGTAGGTATAGCTTCCTACAATATTTTCGTTGGGATTTTCGTAGCGACGATATTCGGCGCGGCGTTCTTTTTCGATCTGTTTTGGCCTGAGCGGCGCGAGTCTGCCGCAGTGAAAATGGCGTGGAGGGTTTGCTCCGTGCTAGCATGCGTGTTTACGATGTCGTGCGCACTGGCGTATACGTATGTTGTGGCTGCCAAGAGCGCGTACGTTACGGGTGCGAGTCCGGCGGAGGCGAGGAGGTTGCTGGATGCGTATGACGGGAGTCCGATGGTTTATCGGCGGAATGGTAGGGCGGTGACGAGTGTGGTGTTGCTTTGGGTGGGGATGGGGTTTACGTTTTGGAGGTAAGTTTACACCACTTCCGACGGGTGAGGCATTTTGGCATAGGGGATGAGATGATGAGGCTAACAGTGTATAGTACGTATCTACTCTGGCACTCACTTGCTCATATTGAGGCGTATGGGCCTATGTCTACACATGCAAGAGATGAGAAGATGGAAAATGGGATTGAGGAAAGAGATGGAGATGTGGAGGTTGCGCGGCCGGTGCAGGCGCATGTGGCACAGGATAGTGTGGTGTAGATGGGGCGAGGAACTTGTATTGGGTATCTCTAATCTACCTCAAAGTACTGCGGTACACCAATAGCACTGTTGCAGTTTAGAAATGGCTCGGAAAGGGCAGAGAGAAGACGCAGACACTAGAAACAGTGTCGTAATCTCGTTTCTAGCAGCGAGTATTTGAGTAATGAGCGTTGCTAAAAGTTATCCTGATACCCAATGGTAGTTGTTTAATCAAGAAATCTCCAAGTAGTTTTTCCAACGCTCGTCTATGCTATTTTCTCGAGTGACCTGGTGTTACTTCAACACACGAAGAGATGAGACTAGGGCTCATAGTTGAGATGCAAGATTAAGACCTATTCTAAGCCTAGTATCTATCCTTCTCAGTGATTAGGCACGCTAAGAAGGAAGGTCAAAACGAGTCTCTGAATGTTGGCAGGAAAGGGGGATTGGAAATCGAGGATCTGCAAAGTTGAGTGATAGAGAGATTAAGGGGAGCGATACAGATGTTGGGAGATGGGAATGATAAGCAACGAGTATTCTAGCCATTAACTAACCACATACTATTGTTCTTTCTTTGCTTTCTTTTTCTCTAGTCATCACACCTACTCTATGATATGATCGATTACCAAACTATGCTAGTAACAATCTACATCAGGGTCAAGTTTGAAAAGGAATGCAGATGCTGAGAAGGATAGTATGGGTTAGTAAAGACGAAAGATAAAGGTTGTGGTGTCTGATTGGATTGCTAAGGAGTGCTTTTTTGCAGATAGAGTAGAGTGGTTAAGACGTAATTCCTCGCGTCAACTCCACCATGTATGCAATCCCCATCCAGCCATTTCCGCCCAACACAGCCACACACGTAAACGTTGAGGGAACCATGGCAGTAGCGAGAGAATGCTTGCTTCTCTGCATCAACAGTTGCAGGTGGCGGAGGCAGGGACAGCACACCTACGTATGTAAGGGTCCCCAATCGTGCGTTTCCCCTCCAAAAGAAAACGACACCCACCCACCACGTGGGAGCCTGCAAAGAAGAACAAAGGAATAACAAAAACAGGGTATAGCGAAAATCACGCCATACCCGCATTCCGGATAACCGATCAATCTACTTTTATATATAAACATGATTATTGAACCCAATCCTTTTCTTCTTCCCACCCAACATCCATCCCACACACACCTCACACGGGAAAAGTAAATAAAAAAATCCGGGAAATTAGCGAACGTGAGTGTATCTGGCATATCAAACCTGGTTCATACCCGCCACACACATAAAAGACGGAGTCTGAGACAAAGAGGGGGGGAGGGAACAAGCGGAAGGCGGTGGCGCAGCAGCAACAACCCATACCGGAGCACCTCCAAAAAAGGAAAGAAAGCGGAAAACTAGAAACCCATTAACAAGGGACACTGAAGGAACAAGGATTCGAAAGAAAGTAAGAAGGAAAAAACGGGAAGAAAGTGGAAAAGAACACCAAAAATAAAGAACTGAAGCAACAGTTTACGTACTTGCACCTGATGCTATACACTCACGCCCAACGCAATATCGTCGGGCGAACCCCCCCTCCCCCCGGATTTTTGCCATGTGAGAAATGCGACTTACTACACTTACTTACTACCTTATTTGCATATATACACACCACTTTTAGAAATGGAGTAAGTAAGGTAAGGTAACTACGTAAGTATGTATGTATGCAACGCCCACACGCCACCCCCCCAAACAAGCACATCTCCGATAAGCGAAAGGGGGGGGTCGAGTCTCGATACCCGGGACCCGGGAATTTCTTCCTTTTTTTCCCTTGTAGGATCAAACGTGATGCATGTGTGGGCTGATGATGAGCAAAGTGGCCAGTGACATGTGTGTGTGTGTGTGTGTGTGTGTGTGTGTGTGCAGATTGGATGGATGGGGGATAGGCAAAGGGCAAAGGGTAAACTCCAACCACCACCCACCCACACCCATCCCGCCTGCCAGCCAACCAGCCAGCCAGCCAGCCAGCCCGCCGGGTCATTTGAGCTGAGACACACGCGCGCGCGCACTGGAAAAAAAATGGCCCGATCGTCATGCCGATGATGCGCCGGGGATGTGCGAAGCCAGGGTTTGAGAGCTAGCTGTCACTTGTCGCAGAAGATGGGGGGAAGGGGGGCGCGGGGGGGCAAAAAGGCATAGGAGGGGACAGAGGAAATGTAACCGACTCATGTGCGTGTGTGAGAGGGCAACCCGTGTTTGGGCAAAAAGTCAAGTTTCCAGTCTAACACGCCCATTGACTAAAAAGGGTTTTGCTGTTTGAACACACACACGCATGCACCCATGTTCAACCTTTATTTTTTTTGTTTATGCAATTTTCCCTGTTTATTTTGTGATCCCCGTGTACATGTCTACAGTAGAGTGATTTGCTTCATAGAGATGCGACGGAGGTGATTTTAACTAGAGTGATGCACTTGGGAAGGAGGGGTGGGCGGTTTTATTGAAAACATGCTCACAGCCCTATGGTGGAAACGAGAAAGAAGCCGAAATTGGCCTTCCAGAAGCCTGTTTGCGCATCGATACTTAGCCGTGACCACGATTGCCCTGCAGGCGGAAAAATTACATGGGGGCACGGCTCTCGTGGCGATGAAGCTGCGTCGGACGAGGCAAAAGCACCGTACAGTTCTTTGTAATACTTGCACATGGCTGATCGATAAGCAGAAGACGAGACGAACATGTTTACTTTTGGAGTAAAGTAGGCTTGGTCGACTTTTTACCTCGGCCGGCTGTCCGTTGTTTCAATGTCGGGGTGGGTGGTGTAGTGGAAAAAGGAAAGGAATCGACGGGCACCAGGGAGCGTGTTTCATCTCGCAACGGCGCCCAACGCAAGACTAGCGTTCATCAGGTCTTTTCCGCTTGTGGCAGCTGAAGAAGGCGCTCGGACGTAGCGCTAGTGGGCTTCGCGTGGAAGCTATGCCGCGTGGTCGAGTGTGCGGCCCCTTATGATGAAGGCGCACGCTAACATCGTGACTTCCCGTGTCCGCGAAATGAGGACTCGTCGCGTTGGGGGAGCGACGTGGCCGTGTGTCATAATAGGGCTGAAGAAGCCGTCTGCGAGGCCGGTAGAAAAGAGACGTGTCAGTGCGGCTGCATATTTCACGCATTTGTGCAGCCTACTGCATGCTTGCTATGCATCAACAACTCGACTTGCCAAACACAAATGGTGCTTGATAATTATTATTATTGTCATTTCAATGTCGACTCCAACTTTGTGCACTGTCACTTCACGCTCATACAGGGTGCATATGGCGACATGGCGGAGAGCATTGGAGAGAGCACAGCGTGTCATGCCATGTCGAACAGTTCGCATTTTGATCTTGCTCTTGACCAAGCCGAGAGTGTCTCCCTGTCAACGAGGGCTGTTGCGTCGACTAGGCTCGAGTTTAGCCGCTCGAGCTTGTCTTGTTGGAGCACATCATAAGGTGCCATCGTGGGACCACCTGTTCAGACCGTACGCCGATCAGCCATGACCCTAACAATCGAGCCAGGGCCAGCAATATCCACAAGCTACCGGCTGTTAGTGCATGGGCGTCAAACAATAGTCAGGGCGCGACAGTTTCTACCTTTTCGTGCCAACTGAGCAATACACTCATGGCCTGGCCGCCGCCTTCGCCACCGCCACGGGCGTGGATCTGGGAGAAACCCGTAGGCTGAGGCGTGATGTTGCGCGTCGTGGCCGCTGGCGTCGATTGGGCCATGCCTTTGTAGCTGTAGCAAAGACGGTCAGTTGCTGTGCCAAATGCCGTATGGGTTATGTATGTGTGTAGGTATGGATACGTGTGTGTGTGTGTGCAGTATTCCACGTACATGTACTTCATCAAGACGTCCAGCGTCTCTGTTCCGCTGGGCGAGCTGTATATCCGACTAAGGATAGGTGACATATCCGATTGTCTTATCGACTGCAGGATCTCAATGACGACGGCAAGGTAAGTCTCCTGTGCGGCAGTCAGACACATCAAATTTGCTCAATGGTGCTTGGCCCGGACATGAGAAGACCGGTGACCGCATCAGCATACATACCTTTCCCTTGTCGTCAGCCCCATATGGTGGGTTTTCTAATGCGCTCTGCAGAGCGCCCTCATTGTCTCCGCCCCGCAGCTGCTGCCGTATCTGCTGCGCATTGTTCTGCACGTCGGCTGTCGACACGGGCGCGACAGCAGGGACGAGGGAGCTCAGGTCGAAGTTGGCGGGGCTATCCGGGTCTAGGGCATCAATGTTGATGGTGCGCCAATTGACAGTGGCCATGATGGAAGCGGCAGTGTCGGAAGGGAGCCAAGGTCAGATGCGGGAGTTTTGGAGTTTGGAGTTGGAGAGACGAGTGTTGGGGGCGGGGTGAGATGGCGGTGTTTGACGATACAGCAAGATGTCGTGCTGGCTGGTGGAGCTTGCGGTGAGCTGGACGCAAATCGGGACGCCGACTTCGTGGGGTGCAGTCGCCACGTCTCCACTCTTGTGCCACGCGTGGCAGCCACCACTCAGCACAACAAGACAGCATCGGGTCCTTGACATGGTCTGCCGCTTCACTGCATGGCCAGGGAGGGTTAGGGTAAGGTAGGGGGTTCCGCTCAAGCGGGTCACATTCACACATGACAGCGCGGACAAGTCATCATTGCATGTATGGTGCGACAGGTAATTATAGTAGTAGTAGTACATTGTTGATTAGTCTAAACCGATGCCGGTAGTGTTGTGAGACACCGATACCAAAGCCCAGGCAGTCGTTCTAAATGTTAGAGAGAAAAAAACCATGGGTAGCGGCCAACACATGCCCTTCGTCAAGAGCGTTGTGGCGAAACGCAGAATCGTCGCGCAATGCAGGCAAATGCCGCAGTCCCAAACCCAACGCGCTATAGTACAATACAGTCCATGTCTACAAAATGCCATTGGAGGCAGACAATGGATATCTAACCGTGTGTATTTTGTCCTCGAAGCAGAACAAAAAGAAAAAAAAGAAAAAAATCAAGTCCGTTTTTGGTATCTATGCCTGGGCCAAACCATGTCTATAAGAACGCCGTGTGAAACAAGAGTACTTTTTTGCCGTAAGAAAGTGTCGCTGAACGTGGGAGAAGATTGAGAGGCGCTCGAAGACGCCGAACAGGAACCGAGGAAGCGGGGGTATTAGGTTGCTGTCAAGAATCGAATCGGAAGGGTTGCGGAATGATTAAAAGGGCGTAATCTCGATAAGGCTCGGAAGCAAAGGCGCTGTGAAACCAGCGAAGTGCTCGGTCGTAATGGCGTTGGCGAGCAATTGGAAGTGAGACTGGTGTGGATGTAAGCTGATGTGCGACTCGAAATTTATCGAGGCATGTGTGACGTACAGTGCGCAACGTGCTATCGGTCGGGTCTCAACAGGACCACGATGCTTGGGATGAGATTGCAGGGCGTTGATGCAAGCCATCAAAAGCAAGGAGCAATAAGGTGGGGAAAAGCATTGGTCCGTTGAGATACCATGGCGAATGTCTTATTTGGTTGGTGGTGTGGTGGTGGGCGATGGCTTGGGAGTGCCAGTCGTGTCGTAAGCACCGCGGCCCATGTTGTTGGACTCTGATTCTCTGAGGATCATGGTGTTGACGAGTGAGTCGTGTGCTTTATAGGTGTTAGCGTCTTGTTGCACAAGCCGTGGCACGTAGGCAGGGCGCAGGTGCGTGTGCAGGGCAACGTACAGATTGAGGAATACAGCTTGTCAGCGAGAGCTGAACAGTTGGCCAGTGCTAGTAAAGCCCTGGCAGATGGAGATGGGCGGGAGAAGGAGAGTCGACGAGACGGGCGAGATGCAGCAAGCGGATAGGGCTTCGAGGGTGGTGAATTAGGTAGCGTGGAGATCCAGTGGACTGGCCGGGCAGTGACTGGTCAAGGGAGAAGAATGAGTGTAGATAGCTGGAAGGGAGTGAAGGTGATGAGTGTGTAAGAAGTGAATCCACAGGGCGCCTTTAGCCTTCTATATTCGCAGCTAGAATAAGGGGGCCTGTTACTGACTTGCCAGACGTGGCCTTGGCTTGTCGGCGAGACAAATAAAATGAGCGACTGTGCTTTTCAGGAAGCAAAACGCCCTGACTACATGACGTTCCGGGACCGACGGGTCTTTCGGCCTGTTTCATGGTAGCTCCCTTGGGCGGGCAAGGAGCAGGGTGATCTGCGCGCTGAATCCACGGAGGTGGTATGCCCCCTGTGGTAGCGGGACGCTAGAAGGCTGTACCTGCAGCTAGGAAGAGCCACGCCAACGGCTGGACTGGGGGTGTCAGCCGTCGTGGCATCTGCGACGAGCGCGCTGGCAGTCTCCGTAGTGTACATGCCCATCCGCCTAGCAGGGCCTGCTGACCACCGGCATTGCAACCTGCGTATGTATGTACATACATACTTGCCTATGAATGCAATGCTATGGTACTTACAGTACTCTCGACATTTGGCCCTCATGCCGGCCCAACTCGCTCGGGCACATCCACACACGTAGTGTACATGCACATACTGCCTACTACACAGGGCGGCTGCCATTGTTGCATCTTTTGCTTGCTTCCTCTGCCGCCACCCACTCACCCACTCACCCATTCACTCACCCATACACACACAAGCCTAGCCATGTCCTACTCACAAACAGTGCACCCTCGCCCGTCCGCGCTTGGGTGCGACGCCGCCGCCGCCGCCCAGTGTCGTGTAGTAAGCCTACTCCTGGCATTGACTCGCTGTGCCGCCTCCTCTTGTTGGCTCCAGAAGCAACGAGAAAAGGTTCACACGCCTCCCGGGCGTTCGGGAGTCCTTCCCCGGGCGCGGTCCGCGGCCTTTTTCCTGAATTACCTCTGTGCTGCTCGCTCTTTTTTGCAGCCCTGTGTGGATGCATGGGCTTGTCTGCTGTATGTGAGAAAGTGTATGGGCGGGTGCTAGCGACGAGTCTCTGTCTTCAGTACGAGAGTATGAAATTGAGTGCGCATGTGTGTGTGTATGGGCGCGCGCGTGTGTGTGCTTCCGTGCAGCCGGGTGACTGGTCGCTGGGAATGCAGTGGAGTTCCAGTCTGCTCCTGGCAGGATGAATGGGTGGCCACCGACGGGACAGCCTGCGACAGGCATCGTGGCCGGCGGCGCGCCATTCCCTGTGTAGCTTCACGGCCACGGTATGCGTGAGGATGGGATGGATGTGTGTCCCAATTGATCCCCTAAACCGCTGCCGTCTCCGTCTTTGTCTGCCGTATCGCCCGTGTCTCGCTCCGCCACGTGGGATCGCTCCTGCCTTGCGCACCACCCACTCACCACTCTCCAACACACACAACATCCACACGCACCCCCCCTTCGTCTAACCACCATCTTAGTGTACATTTGTTCATACTTAGATAACAACTGTGCCGCACAAAGCAACCCCTCGACGCCCCCTCAACCTTCTCACCACCCTCTCTCCAACCCTGACTCTTGCTCGCCGTCATGGCGTGCACCCCCAATCCCTCCTCCCAGCCACTGCAAAAAAACAAATGCTCCCGCTTTCCGTAATGAGAGCGATGCCCGGCTCCCTCTGCGCGCCCCGCGTCACACACGCACACACACACACACACACAAATGCTCGTCCCAGCTCGGCTGTTTTGTTCTCGAATGCTTTGGAAGGCGATCGCAGCCGCTGAGTCGCCGACCCATGTAGCATTCTTCCCACAGGTTGCACCGCACACCGACACGGAACCTGCCTGCGTTGCTCCTGCCTGCCAGTGCGACATGGTCGCTGCGCCGTCAGACGCGTCGTCATTGCAAGCTACCGGAACCCTCCCAGCCTTCCGCGCCTCCAAACCCACGGATCCTGCACGTAGCCGTCTACACGTCCACAACACACACGCAAACTCTCTCTCCATCTCTCGTCCGATGCGCCTCGCTGGCATCGCTGTCGTGCCAGCCTTTGCCCACATACCGCCCCATCGGCCATGAGACCTGTTTCTGCGCTGCTGCGTCATGTCACGCCCACAATATGGCTAGGGCGATGAGCTGGCCAGGAAACTCTTATCCGCTTTCAGGCTTACGCCGTAACGCTGGCACTTTGCACATTGGCCAGAATGCAGCCGTTATGCCAGCGACTATGAAGCAGTAAATCCCCTGCTCGCTGCGCCTCTGATTGGCTGCCGTCAAAAAGGCTCCCTTGTCGATAGTCGGGCAAGGGGCTGAAGCATCGCACTTAGCCTGAGACATCGCCCAGGGCATCCCCGTCCTGTCTTTCTTTTTTTCCTCCCTGGAAAAACAAGCCGAAAGCCACGCGACGCCGCTTGTGGGCACTGGATGCGTACATACTCTACTTACGGACGTACCTTGTTTGCACAGGCGATTTTCGCTTGTCTATCATCGTCACAATGACGCTCCTTAATAGATAAGATTCAAGCAGCACTCTTGTACATACATAGACTTTGTTGTCTTCTGAAACCTGCTGCTCCATAAGCTTTGGTATTGCAGATTGCCAACATGAGAGCTCTCAAACCTTGTGATCTTCAGCCCATGCTGATATGGCCTGATTGATTGGCTGACTGGCTAAGTGACTTACCATAACGGTATTTACAAACTGACCGAATGCACGCATATACTCAACCAGCTCGACAAACCAGTCTGCTTTGGGCCTCGTTGCGCTGCAAGGCCAAAAACTATACATCTTACACACATAGTCGCATACAAACATACTTTTGTCCGTTGCACCACGACAAGGCGCGCCTCGATCAACAAACAAAACCGTCTTTTTTCGGCTACCAAGACCATGGCTGCCAGTGTGAACCCTTACCTGACAGGTGGTGGACAGACCTCTCTCCACAGAAAACTTTGTCGAAATTGTGATGGCAAGGTGATTGCTTGCGGGGAGCTGGGAAGGTGGGTCTGAACGGCTTCTGGCATTCCCTTTTCGAGTGCGCTACTGCAGTGTGCAGCGGAAGTCCATGTTAGTGGAAGCGAATGGCCAGGGTTGCTTTCTCAAAAAGGATCAGCAGCTGCGAGAGATAACCCTGTCCACACGTGGAACACTTTTGTGCTTGTGGATCTTCGCCCTGACTACTGGAAGGGCGCCCGCGAAGCCGCTTGGCTCCAGAGCAAGTAGTGTGCCGCTGACTCTGTGGCTATGTCGACCGGCCCGGCCTGATGATGTTTACGACTACGTTGTCGGAAAAGGAGAATTTGTCCCGCAGCCAGCCATTTTACTGTACTAGTCGTTGACTGACAGGAACAGGCTGGGGGTCCAGGCGCACGAGACAGTATTAACCGGTGGACGTGTTCCCTATCCTCACGAGGCATGGCTTTACAAAGTCGTCTCTGCCAGCGTTTCATGCACGTCTTGATTCGGTCCTTATCGTATAATCGACATGCCATGCAGTACATATACACACACACATATATACTACACACAGACATGTCACCACGCCAGGTTAGACGTTTGTCCACACCCTATTTACCATATACTCATTGTAGTCCCTGTCCACGCTCGCTCGCTCGTCCACAGCCAGACCAAACATACTTTGTCCTGGGCCTGCGCAAACTCTCCCCACTAGCAGGCCTGGGTGCGATCAGCCAGGGTTGACTTTCACATCCAGGTACACACGTACATACATATGGTCATAGTCCCATGTGTATTAGCATCCTCGGTAACCCATTAGCACCCTGGTGATCTCCTTGGATGTCTTAGACTGGCGCCCAATCCAGCAGCGTCGTGGGCCACCCTTTGGGCTGCACAAACCGAGGCCTCGTCCGATCCGGTGTTCCCTGAGCCCTGTAGCCCTGTAGCAATTCGCGTGCCAGTCCCGCAACGCTGTCACGACTCGATCGGTGGTCGCACCAGCCAGGAGAAATTTCCGCCGTCGATCCCATACATCCCACTGCCCCGGCGCGCAACAGGCATGTACTGCTCTTGTATACTGCCCTGTACCTCGCCCTGCGTTGCACGGTGTCCGACCTCGTTTCGCTACCCTGTACTTACATGATTAAGTATGATCCGAGCCTAGACACGAGTTGGGAGTGCGCTGACGCTTCATTTTGCAGAGCACTTACCATGTGTGTACATGCTATGTAGTAGGTAATATCGCTGTAGGTTGATGGTCTCTTTCCCAAACACGGCGGCAACGCCACTCCGCCCCAGGGAGCCGCATGCAATCATGCATACAGTTTCGGAAGTGGCCCGATTATCGTCGGTGCCGCCTGCCTCTATCGATAGTAGCTGGTAGGCAGCTGCTAGGAGTAGAGTAAATCGACGCTTCCTTCTCTTTTCCGCCTCGCTCCTAAAGTAGTGCCCACTCACCAGTCTGAGTGCGAGTGTCACTATTGCTATGCACATGCACATGCTACTGCTACCGCCAACCTCGACCTGGTGCTGGTCGCGCCTTGTCCTCACCATGGTACACAAGATTCCCGGCGCCCAACGCCAGCACCTAGCTCCTCCCACCTCGCTACACCACGTCTATCGGTGGCTTGCAGTGGCCATGCAGGCACATGTCGTCGTGTCTGTATCTACTACGTATCTTTTGGTGAGGCCACACACACCTCCGGCCGCACAAAGGTAAGCCAATTCATCCACCCTGGTTGCATCCTACCACTGCATCTCGTCATAGCTACCTCTTTGATCCTACGCATGTACATGGTTACGAGCACACCGCAAATCAATGGCACCAATCGAACGCGTCGGTACCCCCTCCGCTTCACCTCAGCCCAAGCCACGGCCAAGCATTGCAAATAAGATTTGAACGTTGACTGTTCACGGCAACACACAACGACATGTACCCAAGTCAATCACAAGACTAGCTGGCCAGCGCATCGGCATCAACGAACACGCAATCTCACCTCCCCCTCGCTCCCAAGATAGCATGCTGGCACCCGCCAGCAAAAAACCCCTGTTCTGTGAGATTATAGTGACACACAGTCAGCAATACATACATACGTAACTAGCATGTACCTACATGCTTACAACATGGCTCCTCGTGCCGCCCACATTGTTGAACATGTGTTCTCGAACCATGTACCAAACAAAAACCCACTCGGTGCATCACGCTTTCGGCCAACCCGCTCTCGATTGGGTGGGAATAGGCTCTCTGGACCAAGCACGAAGGTTTGTCCTACATTGATACACGCACACAACCCCGGATGCTATGTACTTACAATAATCGTATGTATTACCTCAGCCTATCCCCCCACTTGCCGCGACCGGCGCTTTTTTATCAACTCCCCAAGATATGGCCTTAACCATTCAATCCCAAGACCGCGGATGGGGGTTTGTTTTCCGAACTTGTCGCGTTTACCTACTCATGTGGTATTCCATTCCCGTCTGACTTTCCCGCGCAATCATCCTTGAAAGCCTTGGTTAAGAACCATCATCCACCCCCTCCCCCGCCCGAATCTTGTTTACTTGGGGCTGTATTGTATATTTTGTCGACCCACTTCGCGTGCTAAACTGTATTATTGGCGTTAGGTGAGGGGGTTCTGTCTTTGCGTTTCGACATGCGGGCGCGCCGGCTCGCTTGCCTCATCTGAGAGCGAGAGTGAGAAAATCGATGACGTGGAGAAATCGTAAATGTTTTTTAGATCGCGGCGGGCGAAATCAGCATTATGGGCGGGGTTGAACTAGAGCGTTACGGTACTTGGTACATGCAAATGTTGATCCTCGGTATTCTCGGATACCCATTTTAGATGTAGTATGTAGGTATACTAGTATCGTATTAGGATTATGTAGATCTTTATTTTTTTCAGGATTCCTTTGCGAGCAGTATTTTTTTCGGTAAGTGGAAACGTTGCATATGACCAAGATTGCCGGCCACCTTTCAATATGGAGTATTTCCTTTACATGGAATATCATTTGTAGAGAGGTAAAAAAAACTTGAAGTTGTGAAATTGTCCTTTTTTCTACATAGATGTTGGGAGTTAGATAAGTACAACGCTGCTTATTTTGGGCGTAGGTTCATAAGAAAGTCGATAAGGTAACTATTAAAAAAAATTAAAAATATCTATCAGGAATTACTGCTTCTCCAAAGGTTGTCTAACGTATTTTTTTTTCGACTACGCGAAAAGGCACTGAAGACAAATAATATGATTTAAATACTTGAATTTTATTAAGCTACAACCGTTTATATAATTAATTCGCAAAGCAATGACTGCGGGCCACGATACACATGGCTATGGATCGAGATTCTGTGTATTTTTTTGCATGTACATATCTAAGTCTATGTTGCTAGTTGGGCCAAAAAAAATACATTAGTATTCGGTATCAAAGATGATGAAGACATGGAATCAGTGGGTAGTGAGATGTTATGCGAGCGGATAAAAAAAAATTAGCAAAAGTATATTCAACTGAAGGAACCATGGATAGTTGTCAACCAAATAAGAAGAACATTCGCGATCGTAGTGAAAATACTCAAGTATGGATAAAAGAATAGTAGAAGATATGAGTGTACAAAAATACTACAACTCGCATTGATTGTTGATTAAATAGTACGTACCTAGTATTTCATTTCCTAAAAATGACTTAAAAATAACTATGCCTAAGAAAAGAATATTGATAGTATGAAACTAACAAGGTAAATAGTGACAGTACAACTTCGGACGTGAGAGAAAGTAGCCAGTGTCAGGTCTATAAGACTCTAATATTAGTATCCAGTATCCAGGATGATAAATACGTAGCGAAAGTGGATCGTCACTTTTGATTAGGGTTAAAATTCAGTAAAACACAAATATGTACATACTTCAGTCTACGAAAGATAATATTTCATATATTGACTAATACAAGCTATTTGAAGTGACTAGATACAGTATTTCAGCTTTAAAAAAAAAGGTGCAATAGTCAATTGAGGAGAAATTAAGAACGCTTCTTCTTCATAGGAAAATAGTAGCAGGGGTAGATAGAGGTTACAATGTACAGATGGAAAGCAGCAATCAATGCACAGATGGAAAGCAGCAATCAATGCACAGATGGAAAGTAACGGTTAACGTAAAAAAAACTAAAACAAAAGACACAAAAGAGATAGTTATTGTAAAACAGAAGAAAATGGTATAGGACCAAAATTCCACAATTACCACCAAAAATCCATCCAAGACAAATAGTCGAGCCCGCGCGATGCTGTCTTGTCAAATCAAGATACCCCCACCCAGCAATACACAAATGCATTGAGACTTTCCGCACAAAAACAGGGTTCGAAGTCCTCCTTAGCTTAACCATTCCCCCCCAAAACTCCAAGTGTTTAACTCCCTCCTGAAGTCTGTAAACCTCCCTGCCCCACACTTAATCATCACCATCATTATCGTCATCATCCTCCTTGCCCTTCACAGTCTCCATCTCGACCTGGCCCTGCACCTCGCCCTTCGTATTCGTAGTCGTGATCTTATACTTGCCACCATCCCACAGATCCTTAAACGTAAGTTCCTTGGTACGACCAAGAGACTCGATACCAGCGATACGATCAAGCGTAGCCTCGAGGAACTTCTCAAACCCGGGTTCGGCACAGATTTCGTTGAAGGCGCGTTGCATGGGGACTGAGTCTGCCCGGACGACGGCGTGCGAGTCGATGGAGAAGATGGAGAGGTCGTGGTGTTGGCGGATGAAGTCGGAGCGCGTCATGATGTACCGGGCGCGGTGGAGGGGGATCGAGGGCATGATGTGGCCGGCTTTTGGGTCGTTGTTTGCGTCCATTTCGTGGTAGCGCTTATAGAGGGCGTGGGCGAGGACCATGGCTGTGGACTAGGCGTTTCGTTAGCATTTGATACAAGAATAGGTAGTCATGGAGGGCAACGTACGGCGTATTTTTGTTGATCCATGACATCGTCATCCATTTCCTCGCCGAGAATAGCGCAGTTGTTTAGGAACCAGATTTTTTCCATTTCACAGATGCTGTCGCACTTGGCAACCATGTCTTCGGATTTGGCGACGCGATTGAGAAAAGTCAGGCGACCGCCAATCTTGTCGTAGATTTCCTCGAGGATGGATTCTTTCACCTTCTCGCCATAGTACTTCATTCGATAGTTTCTCAGGGCTTGCATAGCACGATCTTTGGTGAGGTCCTTGATCTGGTGGACTTCCATACGCGTGGCATATTGCTTCAGTCGCTCAAAGACCCAGTACTTGTCCGAGTTGATGATGACAGTTGCAAGATTAGAGGCAGCCCATTGCTCAGCACGTTGTTGAATGAGCTCAAGGAGGTCCCTGCCGTCTTCGTCATCTCGAATCAAATGGGCAGAGTTGATGATGAGGATCAGTGGTCGCCCAATGGTTGCGCGTCGCCTAAGAGCTACCTTTTCAAGTTTGTTGAAGGCACGTTCAATGTCGAGAATGGGACCCGCGTCGCGTGGTCCACGGATGGAGAAGAGCGAGCCAATGTTGTCCTCGTGATATTCAAAATCGAGACATCGACCCAGCCGGACACGAAAGACTTCAAGGTCGGCATGAGCTTCCATCATGGAGCATCCTTCCCCGTTAATCTTGGCCATGGCATCAATCAGCATAGACGTCTTTCCCGTGCCCTTTTCACCAATGAGCAGATGGTAGCGTCCTTTGGTCTGGCCCCAGACAATCTTGTCAATCTTTTCCTGCTCATCACGGGGGATCCATCGGTCGTAGCCTTCTTCATCATCATCATCATCCTCAATGTTGCCTTTGGTCACATTAAGCCGCGTGGGTTCTGCACCGGTCTTGGGCATCTCTTTGCTAGTCGCGGCCAGATCAAGTACGGGATCGCCCTCACGAAAAGCATTTTCCATCTTTTCGAGCACGTTCCACTTGTAGTACTTGGTGTAGCCAATGCCCACACAGCCCAGGATAAAGATGCTCGCTCCTGTGGTGGCAGCGGCCTCGAACATTTTCCAGCCGGTACTACGCCAAGCAGCCTTTTTAGCCTCGCGTTTGTCTGATTCTGTCTCCGCTTCTTCCTCCTCCAGATGCTCAGCAGCATCGTCGACTGGGTTAGGCGCCTCGTTACCAGGAGTAGGAGGGCCAGACTGGCCACTCAGAGCGCGGACCCGCCGAGGATGACATAACCTTGTCCGCAGTACCGGGCCAGCCTGCTGAGAGGGGTACGCGAAGGGCTGTCGCAGATACGCGACTGGGAAGCGCATTGGTTTGGCCCCCAGGAGGGGCCGTAGGATTAGCATTATTGCTGTTGTCGGGTGCGTGCGCGTGTGCACGCGTAGTATCAAACACGGGCGCCGCTCAACCGGCCAAGACGAAAGAAAGAAAAAAGAAGAGAAGAGAAGGGAGTGACGAGGACAAAAGAAAGCAGTGAGTATGGAGGTGCAATGCAATGGGACGAGATGGCTACACGACACGAATGTAAGTTGATCCAAAAGGGGGGAAGCTGGTAGTGGCGGGCCGAGGGGCGGGAGATGCCAAGACCAGATAGAGGTAGCTGCGATGGCAGACGAGATTGTGGGTGAGGGGAGCGGGACACACGCGATGACCCCACCACCATGTCCCATATCCAGTCCTCTACATGTCAACTACATACACATGTATATGTATATACGTGCATACAGACATGGCCAACCGGACATGTTACTGGCTGTCGATGACGATGCCATTGGACTGACGCTGCCGTCTGTGGCCCTAACTAATCGCGCTGGCTTTGGTGTGTCTTCGGAAGTGGAGTGCGAGCTTAGCGGACCATCCCGGCGCTGTCGAGAAAAATATTCTGGAGAACATGACCGCACCGCACTACACTGCTCCCCTCCTCTCTTTCTCCCTCTACCCTCTCTCCCCACCTCTGCTGCATCTCAACGCCTGCTGTTGGACGTCAATGCCTGCGTCCTGTGAATTGCCCTAATTGCCCACTCCAATTCCCTCCCTGCATAGTCGTCCACTGCCCGGGCTTGGGGCTTCCTATTCACTCATAGCCAACCATGGCCGCCAACGCCAACGACACCACCAAGTCGGGCGAGACTCCCGCGACCGCGACCGCTCCAGTCGACAAGGCCTCTGGCAATGAGCAGACCGATGGCGCAGACCAAGACGATCGGGCCAATGGCCAGCAGCCAGATAGTAGGTGCCATGAGCACAGGAGACATGTGTAGGGAGAAAAAATCGCTAACATCGTCAAGACATTTTCCAGGTCACCATCAAGCTTCCCCATGAGCCCTTCGAGATGCCCATGACTATCTCGACGGCAGAGCAGGTGCAGGATCTCCGCCAGTCCATCATCGAGATGCCGCATACCTTCCAGTACTCGTGCTTCCACCTCGAGCACAACGGCGAGCGCATCAACGACTACGTTGAGCTGTCCGAAGTCAAGGACCTCAAGCCCGACTCGGTCTTGACTTTGGTCGAGGATCCCTACACGGAGAAGGAAGCCAGGCTCCATGTCGTCCGCGTGCGTGAGCTCATTGGTGCTGCTGGCGACCGCACCGATGCGCTGCACGGCCTCATGGCTGGCCTCTCGCTCCACGACACTGTGGGCCATGAGCACATCTTGAAGCCTAAGCAAGATGGCCCCGAGCAGTCGCCATTGGCCGACTACGACTTTAAGACGTCCGGCGCCGTCAAGAACCTACTACCCCCGGCCCCAGAAGCGGCGCCAAAGACGATCAAGTCGATTGCCGTCTCGCCCTGGAACCCACCCCCGTACCACCTTAGGTCCAAGGGTCATCTGCTGTACCTCGTAGTCACCACCAACGAGAACGAGCAGCACCACATTACCAGTCACGTTTCTGGTTTCTACGTCAACAAGTCGTCCAACGCCAGTTTTGATCCCTTCCCGCGACAGGCACCAAAGGACAAGCGCGCCCACTCGCTCCTTACCCTGCTTGAAGAGCTGTCTCCCTCTTTCCGCACTGCATTCCCTGAGCTGCTCGAGCACAATGCGAAGAAGGAGCTGCTTACCATCTTCCAGCTCTCCAACGCCATCCCTGCCAACCCATGGCTAGTCCCTGCGCCCAACTCGGCCCTCACCCCACATCAGCCAGATCTCGCCCGCACACAGGAGAGCTACCTGATTTCCGGCGTTGAGAACACTGAGACGCTCCGTGATTGGAACGAGGAGTTCCAGTCCACCCGCGAGATGCCCAAGGAGGCCGTCCACGACCGAGTCTTCCGCGAGCGCCTTACGTCTAAGCTATTTGCTGACTACAACGACGCTGCCACTCGTGGTGCCATGTTGGTAGCTCGTGGAGAGATTGCGCCCCTGAACCCAACAGAGGCCAAGGATGCGCAAATCTTCGTCTACAACAACATCTTTTACTCGTTCGGCGCCGACGGTGTTGGCACATTCGGCGCTGAAGGTGGAGATGAGGCAGCTCGTGTTGCTGTGGGCAAGGATGTGTTTGGTGTGCGCGCGGTCAACAACCTCGACATTCCTAACCTTTTTACTTCTGGAACCGTCGTTGTTGATTATCAAGGAAAGCGCATTGTGGGCCAGAGCATAGTTCCAGGTATCTTCAAGCAGCGCGATCCTGGTGAGCACCAGATTGACTACGGTGCGGTTGAGGGCAAGGAAATCGTGGCAGACGACAAGTCCTTTGTTCCTCTTTTCGAACAGCTATCCAAGGCTCTGCGCGTCAAGAGGCACCCGGTTTGGGACAAGGACAATGTTCGCCACGAACTGGAAGGCAGTGTCGAGACTAAGGGTTTGATCGGTACTGACGGTAGGCGATATGCCTTGGATCTCTACCGCCTCACCCCGCTCGATATTTCATGGATAGAGGCACACTGGACTGAGCCTGGAGAGGAGGGCGAGTCAAAGCCGAAAGATAAGGACTATCCCCACCGAATGGCCACTTTGCGCCCAGAGCTGGTCGAGTCTTATGGCCGAGTCAAGCTCCGCGAATACGTCAAGAATGAGCTTGCCAAAAAGGCCGAGGCTAAGAAGGAAGCCAAGGATGAGGAGAGCTCATCGGAAGAAGAGTCCTCAGAAGAAGAGGACTCCGAGGAATCGGATGATTCCGATGAATCCGAAGAAGAAGAGGGCGCCGAAAAGAAGCCTAAGGAGAAGAAGTTGACCAAGGAACAGAAGAAGGCTGCAAAGAAGGCTGCCGCTGAGAAGAAGCCTGATGAGGACCCAGAACAGGAGCGCGTCGACATCTCTGGCTTCTCCTTTGCCCTCAACCCCGATGTCTTCTCTGGCCAGAACCCCCAATCGGAAGAGGACAAGAAGGAGTGGGCTCAGGACGAGGCCGAAGTCCGCGCTGCTTGTGAGCACCTCACATCCGAGGCCATTCCTCGCATGATCCAGGAACTCAAAGAGGGCGAAGTTGGTTTCCCAATGGATGGCCAGTCTTTGAGCAACCTCTTGCACAAGCGGGGTGTAAACATTCGCTACCTTGGCAAGCTTGCAGAGTTGGCTGACAAGCCTGACCCAAGGCTCCAGGCACTTAAGCGTCTGCTTATCCAGGAAATGATCGCGCGTGGTTTCAAGCACTTTGCCAACTCCAAGTTGCGCAATGTGCCTGCACCTTTTGCTGCCCCAGCGGCCGCGCACCTGCTCAACTGCCTTCTGGGGGCCGAAGTGAGCACCAAGCCTGTGCCTGAGGGCGATGCTAGCCTCAAGTCCATGTACACCGAGGCTGACTTCAGCTTTGAGCAGCTCACACCAGAGACGCTCAAGAAGGAAGTCGTGGCCCAGGTAGCTCTGCGATTCCGCTATGACCTGGGCGAGTCGTGGGTCGAGTCTGGCAAGGAGCTGCAGATGCTTCGTGAGGTCTCACTGAAGTTGGGACTTCAGTTGGAGAGCAAGCAGTACGCCTTCACTAAGGAAGCTTTTGCTGCCAGCGCCCCGGCCGAGAAGCCAGCTGCACCCCCGACCAACGGCCAAGCAACAACTTCTAGCAAGAAGAAGAAGAACAAGAACACACCACCAGCACGTGCGGCTAGCCCAACAGTGGCCCTCCCGCAGCAGACATTCCACGCTGATGACATTCTGAACATTGTTCCTATCATCAAGGAGGCTTCGCCAAAGAGCCTGCTGGCCGAAGAGGCGCTCGAGGCTGGTCGCATGTCTGTTGCTCAGGACCAAAAGGAGCTCGGACAGGAGTTGCTTCTTGAGTCACTGCAGCTACACGAGCAAATTTACGGTGTACTTCACCCCGAGGTAGCCAAGGCCTACCACACATTGTCCAACCTACTCTTCAACCTAGAAGACAAGGTTTCGGCTCTTGAACTCGCACACAAGGCCGTCATTGTGTCTGAGCGCACTCTGGGTGTTGACCATGCCGACACTCTGCTCGCCTATCTCAACCTAGGTCTCTTTGAGCATGCCTCGGGTAATACCAAGGCTGCTCTTGTCTATCTGCGCCATGCACTTGAGCTGTGGAAGATTATCTATGGACCTGACCACCCTGACTCCATCACTACGCTTAACAACGCCGCTGTCATGCTGCAGTCGATGAAGCAATACCACGAGTCTCGCATCTGGTTCGAGGCATCCCTCGCCATCTGTGAAGAAGTGTCTGGAAAGAACTCGATCAACACTGCTACTCTGCTCTTCCAGACCGCGCAGGCCCTTGCCCTCGACAAGGACATGCGTGGTGGTGTCAACCGCATGCGCGAGTCGTATAACATCTTCAAGGAGGTTCTTGGCCCTGATGACCGCAACACCAAGGAAGCTGAGAGCTGGCTCGAGCAGCTCACTCAGAGCGCTGTCTCCCAGGCTAAGCAGCTCAACGATATCGCCAAGGGACGTATCCGGGCGATGCCACTCCCTGGCCGCAACCCTCTCCGTCCCGCTGCCGCTGCACCTTCTGCAAGTGATGCTGCAGCTGCTTCAGCCAGCCAGCGAAGCGGAAACAGCCGTGTCGATCAGCGCAAGATTGAGGATCTTTTGAAGTATATTGAGGGAGATACACAAAAGACCCCATCGAAGAAGAAGACTCAGGCGAACCCTAGGAAGAGGACGAAGTAGATTTGATCAGTCATTTCTCTTCTGGAATCTTTGCGATCAAAAGTTAGGCGCTAAAAGTACCCATCTGTCGCATTGTGGCACCGCATCCATGAACTGTGGCCACGAATTTGCGATGTTCACGTGATAGTGCACCAGTGGCTTTTGTGCTTTCTGGGCTCTATTCGTGTCCAGTTTTTGGGAACCGGTTTTGCATTCATGGAGTTATCGGTTTCGCGCGACCATGTTGTGAAGCGGAAAGACAGGTTTTTTCCGCGGAGGGGGGTTCATGTACATTGGGATATAACTGGGTTGTAAAGGTAAGCAAAAGTCGGCTACGTGTAGATATACGGGCTAGGCATGTAAACAGTGATGATGTATCAACGATGAATGATGAGCTGTATCAAATAGCAATGCAAAATATCTCCTCTTTATTGTTGATTATTGTTATGATGTGTTGGCAGAGGTGACTAAAGATGAGTATGTCTAGTAGGTTTCTTTCCTCTTTCCTCTTAAGCTACCTGGTTGTCAGACTGGCATTTATGAATTGTGCGTAGAAACTTCCTTCCCTAAGCTCCGGCTTCGGCATCCACACTAACCGCCCCCCTCGGACTCCAATATCCCGAACAAGTTCCCTATGACCCCTCCAATAGCTCATGCATCTCAAAAAAGGCACAGAGCTGATTACCCCACAAACATACATCGCCCCTCCGCGCGTGTCTTTAATACATACACATCCTCACCTATCCAACAACACCGCTATTTATTTTCACCTCGACTAAACACAGGACACGGCGAGAGAGAAAGAAATAATGTCAACACCTCAAGGCCCCCGCCGCATCGCCCAGTGGCTCTACCTCAAACCCGAAGCCATCGACGAATACAAAAAGTGCCATGCGGCTGTTTGGCCCGAAGTCTTGGAACAGATTAAGGATTCGAATATACGGGATTGTAATACTCTCCCCTTTCTCTTTCCCTCTTCACATTTTCCCTTAGCTATTGCTTTATGTTTTGATGCTACTTCTACGTTGTTGTTCGCAATGTTCGCTTCACTCACCTTCTCGACAGATTCCATCTTCCTCACCATGTCACCGCGGCCCACGCTCTTCGCATCGTTCAAATACATAGGGCATGCATTCGACGAGGACATGGCGCGCATGGCGGCGAATCCCAAGGTACAGGAGTGGTGGCGCATGACGGATGGGATGCAAGAGTCGCCTGTGGAGGGGGCGCAGGGAAGCGCAAAGGGGCCGGGGTGGTGGGGACATATGGAGGAGGTATTTTATGTGGAGTGAGATGAAAAGGGCGAGAGAGAGAAGGGGAGAGGGAAGGAATGAAAATAGAACAGATAATTGGTATCAACAAAAAACTACGAATGCGACGCCGACACGACCGTGTGTCCCTATATAGAAAAACACGTAACAAATACAGTTATATGGAGACATGATGATAACACCTTCCCAGGACCATTCTTTTTGTACCGAACTTTCCTTACTCATCTCCCCCAAATGCTTTACAAAGGCTCGTAATCCGCGCTAGTGTCGCCAACCCAGCCAAACCACAGGGCAATGAGGGTATTGGCCGCAACCCACACACCGGCATATCCAACAGCACCGATAATGTCGGTTCCCACGAGCGTCATACTCCGCTGGACGGTGGCGATGAACAAAAAGGCGTTGAGAATGAGCGTTTGCTGAATCAGAGTGCGGGTCCTCTGGGTAAAGTTGTAGAAATTGTACTCAAGAGTCTGAGATAGCGTGGCAGTAGCCGGGTCAAAAGTATCGCCAGGAGTCTGGTTCTCGGAAAGCGGCTGAGCAGCAAAGGATGGGTTGAGGAGAAAGGCCTTGGCAGCGAAACCAGCAATAAACGTCTTAACCACAAGAGATAGGGGAGTCTCGACATGGGCAACTTCGAGCGTGGGAATGTCAAAGTATTGGACGAGGAACGTGTTCAAGACGCCCGTCTTCAGACTGCCCCACAGAAGCACAACGTAGACACCGGTTGCGAGCATAAAGCTCGAGAGCTGGACTTGGTAGCTGTTGAGCAAGAAGCGGTTGCGCAGGGGCGCGTTGGTCTTGTGGGCAAGGGAGCGTGGGCGCAAAAGGTATGTGGGAAGCGCAAAAGAAATGACCTCGATGCAGATACTGGTGGCCGCAGTCAAAGGCGTGATGTTGTAAAAAGTGGTGAGCAAATAGGCAAAAGGCGCGTGCGTCAGGACAACGAGGGCCGAGACATCGTAGACTGCGCATACAGTATTAGCAATGATTTGGCGCAAATGTTCTTGTCTTTGGACGCGCTCTTACAGTCGTAGCTCAGGTACCACGTCATGCACACGGTCAACCAGCGCATGGCGAGACGCGCATGAGGCGAGTAAAACGATGTGACATCGTTCTCTTGCGGCACCTTGCTGATGGCCCCAAGCTCCGGGCTCAGGAAATTCGAGACAAACTCCCACAGCAGCGCGTTGATACCCGCGTTCAGGCAGATGAGAATGGGTACGCGCAGCGCGGTAGGGAGACGCGATCGCACCGGCGCGTGTGACTTAGTCACTACTTCTGGCGCCTCGCGCTCAATGACTTCGGTTGATGCCATTGTGCGCCTTTTATTGTTGCAGCGATGAAGTTCGGCGGCAATGGGCGAGGGAAAACAAAAGGACGGGTGAGGTGGGGGAGGGGGAAGAGAGGGAATGAGCGACGGGGGGCTGATGACAGAAGAAGTTCGAGTCTTTGTGTGGGAGACGAGTTTGTTTGGACGTGCGTCATGGCGCAAAATAGAGTACATACTAATAAGCCGCGGGCAACCGTGCGCTGATTCGTCCCATGTCCCGCGCTATTGTATTGTCGCTTTGTATGTAGTATGTGTATATGTATGTATGTGTGTATGTATGAATGAATATATGTTCATATGAAGTACTAAGTTTTCCGCCCGTCGCATCTTCATTGGTATGGCTGCCGTAATGGACTTGCGTACTCCCATAGCTTTGGACCTGGAGTATCGTATCCAGTCAGCTTCTTATGGACATCAACCAGTATACCCGCATCTGTTGGCCTGTATAGATTGGTCCCTAGTACACCTCCTTCTAAATGCTTTGCCTCTGCACCTGTCTCTCCGTCTACTCGCAAGTTTATACACTGCGGGTACGCCTGTGCACCGTCCAGCTGCTCTGCCACGTGCAGCGCAAGGAGCTCGTGCCTCAGGGTGTAATAGCCTGCTGCCAGCACTTCTGGTATCTTGACTTCCCATGTGAAGTTGTTGGCAATGAGTACGTCCGTCGCCCATGTGCCACCCAACTCCAGAGTGTCCCACCCGGTACTGTTGAGCCATGCCAGCTCGTCAATCTTGACCCAGGACAAGGTGTTCTTGTTTGCTTTTGAACAAGTCGTGTTGCACTTGGCAATGTATGTCATGACTGCGCCGACGTGGGAGACTGGCCATTCATTCCATTTCAACTGCAATGTATCGCCGGCAGTCGTGTTGACATGAAGTGCACCAGGTATGGCATTGTCGTGGCAGGTAATGTTTGACGTATTAAAGTGTGAGGGAGACACGAAGATGTTGCCCATGTTCACGGCTGACCATGCAGCCAATGGACGAGGCGGTGTCAATGTTTCAGAGGAAACGGGGTCCCATCCATTGTAAACCAGGCCAGCTGATGTTGTGATTTTCTCGATGCGTGCGTGAGCCGATACGCCGGCCAGAAGAAGTGACGAGGTCACGGTTGTCAAAAGCCCCATCATGGCGAAACAAGTGTAGGAAGAAAAGGGACGAATACCGAGTGCATAAGTACAAGCCGGCTCTGGGGAATATATATTGGTACAAGTCTTTGTGGGGATCGTATAGCAATATTGTCATTATAGTTGCAATCGTTGCAGATTTAGCCATGCCACAATTCATCTCGACCGCCAAGTGTGATTGGCCACAGTGGGCGAGTGTCAGACAACGTGCCAGGGAATACGAAACAGGCCAAGGGCAGCAAACAAATTGCTCTGACCAGCGCAATGTTTCGAATGAGAGGAGAATAGGCTGGCACGGACGCTAACAGAGCGGAACACGGGGCGGATTGAGTGGTTTGAACGCCGATCATTTTCAGTCCAACGCCATGCTGATGCCGATGTCGACAATGCTGTCGTAATATAGTACAGATAGTGGGTACATTCACAGTCGTCTGGTCCTTCTATTTGACCTCCTTTTCCAACAACTCTTTTGCTTCGTTGACCTTGGTAGCCAGGTAAGGGCTGCCGCCTCGATCGGGGTGGTTTAGGAGCATCAGTGAGCGGTGCTTCTTCCGCAGGAGTTCTTTTGTAATGCCTCGTTCGCTGTTGTTTGTTAGCATGCGAATGCATACATGCAGACCAACTTACGGCAACTCTAATATCAGCGCTGCTTCTCTCCGTGTCATCTTGGGTTCAAAGCCGCCCTTGTAGTATGAGCGCCCCAGAGCACCAGCGCCCCCACCTGATCTTCGCAGAGCAACGAGAGCTGCGCGGCCCTGTTCATTTGGGTCAGTATTGCCTGTATACGAGGGCTGCACATGATACAGGAGGACGTACGAAGAAGGCAGTGGCACCTGCGCCTAATATCCACACCCAGGCCGACATGCTGGTCCTGTGCGGGGAGAGATGAGAAAACGCGGTAGTTGGTTGGTGCAGCGGGTGGGGCGGGTGCTATGGGGTCCAGACGCAGACAATGTACAGAGTGATGTTTGAGAGGATAATGTAGGCGGAGACTGGACGACGAGGACGATAGAGGACACGGCAGAGACGGGGCGATCAAGTCGGTGTCGATAATGTCGAGGGAAAAGGCGGGCGAGGAATCTGCGGAGGTGCCTCGGGCGACAAGCGATGCAATTGGCCCCGGGTGCACGTGCCACCCAAAATTTCTGGCCAGGCCGGCATACTGCCTTTTGCTACACCACCACCACCACTACCTCCACCTCCTCCAATCACTCCCCCGCCGTCACCATGAGAATTGAGACGTGTATGGATATATTCTATATTAGCGCTTATCAACGCCGATACTAACATATCCAGGCTACTTCTGCTCAAGCCCCGTCTACCCGTCCAAGGGCATCACCTTTGGTATTCATACCCTATGCAATGGCGCCGCCACGACCCTCTTCTGACCGCGCACAGTGCGAAATGACGCCAAGAGCTTCCGCTTCTGCAAGAGCAAATGCCACAAGAACTTCAAGATGAAGCGCAACGTAAGCACGCCTCATGTCATGCGCTCACCCCACCCCTGCTGACTTAGCTTTTTTTCTACAGCCGCGCAAGCTGGCCTGGACAAAGAGCTTCCGCCGCGCACACGGCAAGGAAATGACTGTCGATTCTACCCTCACTTTTGCTCAGCGCCGTAACGTGCCTGTGCGCTACAACCGCGACCTTGTCCAGACGACACTCAAGGCCATGGGCCGTGTATCCGAGATCCGTGCCAGAAGAGAGCGCGCCTTCTACAAGGCCCGTATGCGCGGTAACAAGCAGCGCCAGCGCGAGGAAGACCGCAAGCTGGTTCTGGAAAACCAGCACCTGCTGCCACCCAGCGAGCGATTCTCCAAGGAGGAGCTCGAGCAAATGCAAGGCGAGCCCGATGTCCAGACAATCAAGGACAAGGTTGCTGCCAGGAGGAAGGAGCTTGAGGCGGAAGAGAGCGAGCTTAGCGATGTCGAGGAAGAGATGCTACCCAAGACTAAGAGCAAGAGCAAGATGAAGATGAAACTCGGTGGTCGCGGTGTCGAGGCCATGGATGTTGACGAGTAGAGCGACTCTTGGGACCCGGTACCTCATCGGCATCGACCGACAGCGACAGCCCAATGACTGGCTTGGCCTTGCGAGTAAAAAACCGTTCCTGGAGTCTGGCGTCACATTACAAGGGTAGTTTTCATGACCAAAATATCTCGATACCATATCAAGAAGCTTGTTTTATTTCTCGCATCAATTTGCTCAACTCTGCTCCGACAATTTGGCAATCGTCCTTGATTCTGGTCAATCACGAGCATGTGTAGCAAGGTGCGTGATACTGCTGGTAGTACACTCATTGTTGACAGCTGAGGATTTTCTTACTTTTCGAACAACAGAGTCCATGAACAAAATTGAACTATTGCGACTAATCGACAGCCTGGGAATCATGACAGCACTACCAAAGCTTTGTAGGTCATTTGACATATTATACACCCAATCAGAATGATACGCCAGTTGACTAGATCTGAAGCATCGCATTGGCACTTTCATTTCTATTTACAGTAACCCTTATGGGAGAATTTTCAAGTATATACAAGGATTTCTGATCGATACCTATTAGTTCTCCTTGCATTGGTCGGGCCAGCCCGATGCATGTGTTCCCGAACTAGTGCCGCAATAGTAAAAGGTGCCACGAGGTGAAACGGCATAATAAACACTGCCAGCTCGTTTAGGTAAATCAGCCTGCAGATTTCAACGTTAGCATGGCGAGTTGCAGACGCTAGTCATTGCGCTTCAAAGAGAATCTTACAATCCAGAGAGGGAAGGTCTTGAGTTCACCGCAGTGCCTCGTAGCAAGGTTGGCTGCACTGGTCTCACGTGGTGGTTGAGACCTGTCGCCTGCAACAACCGCCGCGATAAGATCTTTCTGTTCGATGTGAACACCGCCGCTTCCTGGGCAGTCAAGGCTTTTGGGGAACTGGCAGTACGGATCGCACGCATTCTGCCTGCGCTCAGAGCTGAGGACAGGGGCCGAAGAGACGGGGGTGGCGTCCACGGCGACAGCGGCCGCAGAGACGGCGGTGGCACCGAGGGCGAGAGCGATGAAAGAGCTGGCGTGCATATTGAGGATTTGTGTTAGTTCGGGTTGGTTCGGGGTGTGTTTGGATCTGGTAGTTCTTGATATTGAGGTTGAGAATGAATTCTGGGGAGGGATCCTTCATTTCTTATATGGTGAGTGAGCTGCTATTCATCATCAAAGACCCGACGAGCAACCCCGCCGAGCCGCCGAGACGAGGGCATTGAGCACACCCTGCTGGACATACTACATACGTACTGGCCAGGTACTATTCGCAAACCCGAGTCACGCTGCCACTGAGATGTTCTGAACGGGCCCTACGAAACAACGCACGGTTCCTCCATCTTGCATGATGGGGAAGCGCTAGCCACAACGGTTCCCGATTCCAGTTAGTTGTTTCTACTGCTTTGTCCTGATCCTTTACCCCTGTAACTGTCCTTAATATCAAACGGCCCGAGCAATATGTCTAGGCCAGCATCAGCCACGGCATGATGTGTCACTCCGTATCGTACTTACATTCGATTATTCGTTTACTGTGTAAATATTTCAGCCAAGTCTCTTGTGCTTCACATTTACCTCCCTCTTCTAGTCCTCTCTCTCTTTCTTTCTTTCTTTCTTTCTTTCTTTCTTTCTTTCTTTCTTTCTTTCTTTCTTTCTCTCTCTTCACAAAAACATAAAAGGTCGCATGATATAGCTTCTTAGCTGCTACGTCATTCCCTCGCCTGACACACCTTCCCCGTATTCCCACATCTAATCGTGCCTATAAAGTGACTGCAGGAGAGCACGTACTCACTAAAAAATGGACGTTCTGGAATTTGGGGAATTAAACGCTTTTCGGTCCTATTACCAATCCGTGCGGTCTTGGGGAACCAGGGGGAGAGGGAGGCGAAGTCGCAGGCTAGAAGGCAGTTAAACGTGTAAGCTTATTTGAGACGGTTAAAGATACGCGTTATACGGGTATGCAGGGTAAGTATTGAGATGAATAGATAAGTGAAAGGCGCAGGCGTAGAAGATGACGGCACGTGACTTTGAGCATTGGGATTGTACGCGAGGGTGTTTTTTTTACACCGCTTTGTTACGGGCTCGTACGATTGTAGGATGCCACTGACGTTGTGAGGGTGGACGGTGAGGAAAAATAGTGTAGTGCTACAAAGATGGCGTTCAAGGTACACTAGCGACCCCTTGTGTATATACTAATTATATACAGTGACGTTGTTTGTGGATGCGTATAGAGATGGGAGAGACTGGGTATACTGGTCTGGCTGCGAGAGTCTGAGAGGATATGCAGATAATAGAAAGTCCGAGGAATCGTGTAGTGACTGAGTTACTACGTTACGGCTCTGTTACAGTGTCGATAGAAGGTACGGCGCAGCATGATCAATGCAACATGCGGAACACCCGGTGTAATAGAGCGTTTGACCGCACCCTGCTTGTCAGCTTGTCATGGCATTATTTCGCAAGTCTAGAGCCTAGAAATGCGGTCTAGTTGTGCGAGCTGCGGTGACGTGATTTGAGATGCTTTATTGAACTCGGTGAGTGAACTAATATGTAATGATAGCTGATACCATGGATTTTGTTTTTAGCTATAGGGAATTAGTGGAGATCTCGGGTAAAGTTTATGCAGATGTCTGGGGTATGGATTGGACCGTGTGGGGATGTGTGAGATGAGTGGGTAAGGGTATGGGATGCGCTAGCTACCCATAATGGTGAGGTTGTTATTTAAACTCTCGGGTGTGATCGGAGGTAGAGGAGTAGGAGAGTGAGTTGGAATTTTTCGTTTATACTGTCTTGATAGGTTGGGGAAGTTTTTTTTGGCGCGCATGGTAAGGGCCTGTTCAGTTGCTCCATTTTCCGTCTCCGTTTGGCTACTGTTCTGTGTTAGTAGGCGTCAATTAGTGTCATAACTGGGCTGATCTGGGCTAGAATAAACGATAGAAGGGGCTTATCACGTGGTTAAACGGAGGGTTTAAATTCTTATTAGAGATCTTAAGATCTGCGTACCAGGAAAACGCGGTTCCGTTTAACTCGAAAAGGGAAAGTATTGCGTTAAGACTACACTAGATATGTAAGGCTTTTTACATATGTCGGTGTTGCGCTCACAAAATAGAGCTCCACCCTGTGGCGTCTAGACTTTTGTTTTACCGAACATAACGCTATTTCCATCTCCATTTTTCTGACAGAACCCCAATCCGGTATAGCAGACAGAACCGAACAGGCCCTAAGCTGACTCTACGGTCATGCTATTTCAGGGAGTACTGCTGTTTTTATCGCCTTGATGGGTGGTACGATATCGTAGCGCGAAACTTGCAGGTCGAGAATGTGATGTCGACGTTGTCCTCAAAGAAGCTTGGGAATTGGTTACGGTAAGCGTGTTAAGGGCAGAGTGAGAGAAAGATACGGTTAGAGGGTAGTCTAGTGCTGATGGTAAGAGCGTGTTGCTTAAGACGAGCAAGCTAAGGTGCCTGAGTTTGCGCGACCCATACTGTGGCCTAGATCTGCTTAACAAAAGTCTTGCTAAAGTCGGCGTTGAGCACGGAAACATTGTGCAGCCAATACAATTATGACCGGGCGCGGGCCTTTTTGTATTGTTCACGAGGTCTTGAAGCCGTCCTTGTACGTTGATGCAAAAAAGCCAACCAGATTGATGAACGTATCCACTATCATATCCTGACTGAAGCACGAAGCCTCAAGCTCGTCAAACTCGACACCCGCATCACGTAAAGCCGGAAGAAGATCGCTAGTCCAAGATAACCTCTGTGTACATATGACGCTGGCAGCCACAGAATAAGCATCGGTGCGCGGAATTGCCGTGACTGCTTCCGTCGCCACCCACACGGGCATTCAACTCGGCGGTTCTTAGAGCTTATCTACTAGGGAATTTACGGCAAGCACAGTGTCTATCATAAGAGGAACGGCGGTTAGAAGCATTCCATACCCCATGCCCTATCTCAGCCACAATTTCATAGAAACGCACCACTCGAAGTTTCGCCCCTCGTATCTTGCTGCCGCAGCCATGCAAATGCGTTTTACAGCGCATTCGCTTTGCATATAATCGATTTCTGGGGGCCCAATAGTATCCTGCTGGGTGTTTGGGCATTTGTAGCTCGAGGCACTGCGAAAACTGCGTTGACGGATGAGGACAACGTAATGCTTGTGGACACTAGTGAAGGTGGAGGTTGATATGAATTGACGGGATGATATATGCCAGCGACACAATCGTTCTCTAAAGAAGCACACCATTTATTGGAAATATTTAAATCCGGTCGGCTAGAACGAAAAATGAGAGTGTCTGCTACTGCTTGATAGGACCGAATGGTGCGTTGTATCATGACTGGGTTTACTTCTTGCATTTCGGCAACGTAAATGTGTCGTCGAGGCAAGCAGTGTATCTCCAAGCCTCCATGACGCCATGTTGTATCCCCAGTGGGATTAGGAAGGATATCATCAGTTGACCTATTTTCACTGCGTGTACTATTAGCTTAGACAGAAACAATAAATGGAGTTAGCAGCTAGTTAACGCCTATTCTTATATAATAGAACACTACAGATACTCTGTAATATAATGGTCTCAACAATATGTTAAAGATATAAGAATACTTAGAAAGCCATTCAACACTAGAGGCTCTCAGGGTCCTTGAGTAAGTAGTCTCAGTTGTTTGCTACTGTTCTCCCAAACAACAGGATCGTCCACGGTCGTCCACTTCAATAGAAGCTCCTGAACAGCCTGAAGGGACTTGTCGTCCTCGGCATCCATGAAGAAATCCTTGCGGCCCTCGATCCCTTTCCTGCGCCTCTCCAAGTATGCGTCAAGGTCGTAATTGCTGTCAACGGAGGCTGTGCCCCATGTTGCGGCGAGAGAAGCCTGATAATTATTGCTCGACATGGCCCGGAATTTCTGCATCGACGCATTTGCGGTCTCTGGTACTTGGACGGGTGTTGGCTGATCGTGACCCTGTCCTGGCCTTACGAGTTGCACTGCTGTGGATGGGGTTTCTGGTTCCTGAGCGGATACCAAGGGGTCAGGAACGATGTTCGGCTGGATGTCAGCTTCAGCATGGAACTGTAAGTCATTTTTGTTAAGCCATTCCCTGACCAAATCATTCGCAAGTTCATGATCCCGTTCCTTCTCTTCCCGTTCCTTCTCTAATTCTTTAATAGAAGGAATCCAAGGATCGTTATTTGCTAGATCAATGGGCCTTGGTCGACTTGCCGGACCCGATGTATCTTCTAGTGGCACAATCGGTGGAAAGAAGGATGTTTCACTACCAGGCTCTGGTGCTTGCCCTTTATCCAATGCATTTCCGGTATTTCCGCACTCCGGAACCAGGATCGGATCGCCGTCCATAATGTGATCTTGATCAAATAGCTCATACTTGTGGCTTCTGCATTCATCGAATGGTGACAAATCTTGACTATAGTTCAATGTGAAGTCGTCATAATCGATGTTTTGATTATCTTCATTTACTCCCATGGTTAAGTCCAATTGATCGAAACTCCTGTCCTCGAACTGTGGACAATCTTGAATGGTTTCAGGCTCGGATTCGGCGCTTTTCTCAAGAACATCTTCTGGATGGTTTTCTTCGTCGAGAGCTCTGGGAGTATGGCTGCCCCACTGAACTTGCCGCTTTCCAGAGACATTGGTAGGATGCGCATCGCCAATGGACTGAGATCTTCTCTTCTTACCCCGCAGGGGTTCCTACTTGCTTTAGTATTCCATTGAACCTAATGGCGTGTACTTCTTCACTTACATCTCTGTTTTGGGGTTGTTGATCGGTAGAGAGCAGGATGTGATTTTCTTCACGGCCCATAGTCACATGTTGTTCGGAGGCTTGATTTCCTGGAGCTTCTATAATCTTATGTCTCGGTACACCGGATTTTTCGAGAAGATCCTGAGTATGTTCGTAAAGAACATCGACAAACATATCCGGTAGCCACCTCAGAATAACGACCTCTTTTGAGTCGTCCTGCAACGTATCAAACACAGAAGCTATTATACGGTTGCAATGAAACTTACTGTGCTTGTAAGATCAATAAGGCCCGTGGATCGGAGACACGCGAGTTGTTTGGAGTCGCAGGATACCACTGGATAGATGGGGATTCGCTCAGGCGCTGGACTAGCTCCGTTGGCCTTGAGAGTAGATATTGCCGCGTCAACAAGTTCTTCTCTCATTCCAAATTTTGTTAGTCCGTTCTTGATCCTGTCCATCAGAAAGTCGTGTCTCATTTCTGAATCGATTGATCCTCTCGCCTTGCCTAGAGCAATATTTTCTTCAAGTCGAGAATACTCCCATTTGGCTAACTCCAGTTTCTGAGCAGCCAACTCCAACCGATCAATTTGAGACCAATAAGGATAAACATTGTTTGAAATGATGAACTGAGATGAAGATGCAAGCTTTGTAGCCTCTGCGGTCCTCGGGGCTTGACTGTGACTTATGGCTGTAGGTGCAGGTCCCTCATTAGCTGCCGATAAAGAGAGTGTGGGCGCTTTAGAGTCTCTCGAACATGCCGATACTCCGCTGCTAGATATTGCGGCCTCGTTTACCATCTCTCCATTACTCTCTGCTTGATGGTGGAACTCTTGCTTGGCCGCTTCGTTGGCAAGTACCAGACTTTTGAGGGCCAGCAACTCGTCTACGTCAACAGTATCCTTTCTGTTCTCGTAAGCAGAGCGACCGAAAACCAAAGCATCTAGACCTACGATAGATGCGACGTCACTTTGATCGCATAATTTAAAACTGCAAGCTCAACCAGTATGGTCGATTTAAGCGATTCCAAAAGCCGGCGAAAGAATTCAACCTTCCCTTTCCTAAAGATCCACATGATCTTGTGACCAGTGGGCAAGCGAAATTTGCCAGCGAGCGGATTGTCAGACTTGGTCGCTTTTTTCAAGATATCCTCAATCTCAGTGAACACGCGCTTGCACTCGTCAACAATCTTAATGCTTGTATCAAAGGCATCCTGTCTGAAGAGCTGAGCTTTTTGGCCAAATTCCATCGCCTTAGCAAGATCCTTGAGAACCTGACAGAAGAGAGCAATGTCTTTGGCGATATAATTCGTCTCCTGCATGTGTGTCAGCTTGGACTATCGAAGTCTTGAGCGAAGCTCCCACCTGGTTGGCCGAAGCGATAGCATCTGCAACTTGAAATAACCCAATAGATAGCTGTGTTCCGATTTGGGCAACCTGCAATATACTGGCGACAGCGCCAATCTTTGCAATGTTAGAGAAGTGGGCGGGGTGGTCAAACGTCCGAACATACCGCCTCCATTGTCGCAAGAGATACGTAGTAAAAAGACCCGATGCACAAGGTCTACTGGGTAGAAGCTTTCACCGCGCCGTCATGTCAATCCTCACGCCCTTTGTTGCGGTAGTAACTAGAGATATGAATGGGAGAAATGGGGGGCCAAATAGTCAAGGTATACGTACGTACGTATGTACGGGCTGAAACAGGGTTGACCGGTTTTGGTTGCCTGCTCAGCCACCAGGCCCGCTCAGCCACAAACAGCTCCACCGCTATCTGGTAACATGAACGTTGCCAACCAGAAAGCTTCATGCTATCTATATCACAGCAATTGAATTTCTCACTTGAGGCTGTTTGAATGGTAGGATACGATCTAACGCAGCGGCGCCTGCTTTTCGACGATCAATGGCCATAGCTACTCCATCAGCTCGGTCGCCTTCTCGTCCAACTCGAGCGGGCTGGCATCCGTGCCCCACGACAACAGTCTATCAAGGCCTAAGAATGAGCTTGTATCGTATTCAGATACCCTATGATTTGAAGAACGACTTATATTTACCATCGGAATATCGGGCCGTTATGTTTTATGGTATCTTAGCATATGATTGGTATGGGTACTAGCTATAGGAGGCTAAAGCACACATTGTCCCTACATGTTCAAAGTCACTTGGATAGAGTAGTGCTTAGTTTGTAGACGTCTCTGTTAAATTGTCTTTCATTTTCATGAGTTGGTACCTATTATGTACATCAACATCGGGGTCAAAAGACTTTGTCCAAGAAACCGAGGGACTGAGACCACGCCTCTCTTCGAACAGAAGATATTTATGTTCAATCACGGTGGCGAGCAACACCGTATGGTGCCTTGGGTCATGAGATTTCTTTCTGTAGGAAGTATTGATCTTGACTTGGCGAAAACTCTATACTACATATTTGTCCCTCTTGTGAACTGTGCGTATATCATACGATTTTTTTCTTCCGTTGACAAAACGCGTTTCTTGAAATTTGCTGCTAATCACTTGCAGAAAAAAGGACCTCCCATCTAAGACTGACTTCATTGTAGCTGATAATCAGATCGAGACACATTCGTACCTATAACACCCCACTCTTTTCGACTTCTGCAGAAGCAAGGGGATTCTTTTAAAACCATACTCTCTCAACGGCAGCCATTAGACTGTTGAGTCGCGCACCATGGAAGACGGATTTATAGGCTTCTTAGGTTGCAGGGTCGGTAAGTAACATGGTCAACTTCCCGCTAGCGACCTATGTAGCGTGACACCGTGATGCTACCTCAATACTATGCCGAGTCGCACAGAAAACATGCAGGTAAAGGCATTACCAAAGATGGCATCTGATAAACTAAGTTTCTAAGGAAATGTGAATGATTCAACTTACAACTACAGTGTAGGTTCGGTGTTGCCGAGTAGCTCGGCAATGAATGGATACACAAGATCGTTTAAGAGTATGTGGAGAAGAACTTAACTGAATCCATCGTCTGGGCAATGAACCAGGGAACGAAGCTTAGCTATGAATCCATGTATCCGTGCCTCTTGTGCCTTGGCATCTCGTATTAAGAACATATTTCTTGGTATCCATGAACTTGACAGACCATTTCCAACGCAACCGCGCGGCAGAGAAATGACGGGCATATTTCATTGGTGCGGTTTTCGTGCGCGGCAGTCGTGGGGGTGATTATATGAGAGAAGATTGATTGGTGTACCTAAAAAAAGATACTGAGTTAGGGACTATTCCACCTCCGTCCGCCCAGAGACTCCTGCTTCTGGGCAAAAGCAAAGCTATTGAGATTTCAAAGGATTTGCACTGGGTTCTTGCAGGGGATCACCTGCCTTACCCTTAAACAAGTATTCGATGCGCATGTACTTTGTGTTGTGGAGCGCATGCTTTTTCCAATCACGAGCAATGCGATGGTGAGCAAGGGCCTGTGTGGATCAGCTAGCATGATTTTGTAAAGTTGTACACACGAGTAGCCGTCCTTCTGTCACAGTCGTGGCGGAAATTTGATCACCATTAAAACGCAGCAGTTGATTGGTTGGAACAGCTGTTTTTTTTTAGCAAAAATCGCTAGAACCCACTGCTATGTCTTTGGCAAAATAGGATCTACAACACGAGTAATGACGAGCAGCAATAGTCCTCCCACTAGTGGTTCACTAGTTGAATGGAATGTTCGACGTGGCAAAGATGTGGCAGTGCACCACTTTAGGATAGACACTTCTGCAGAATGTAGCACTTAATTTGACACCAAGTGGCATATCAACTACTAAATTGTTCCGCGTGACAGTCATGGGAAGCTTCCATATGCAAAGCTTATTGGACCATGTCATTGCATTTTAGCGCTCATTGCGCAGTACTGTGGAGAAGCGTAGAATGTTGTTCGGCACCTATCGGGTACCAACTGAGGTCAAAGTAGTCTCAATGTGGATATAGTATGTATGGAAGTAGTAGTGGCACACCATGTCTTCAATCGTATTTTGCACAGCCAATAATAACAAGGTGGCAAACGTTCTCTGTGCCATCTAGGATGCGTCCCTGGCTCTGGCATAGCTATTTTTTGGGTCTGCGATCTACAAGGTGGCAATCTAAAGAATTTTAGATCGATTCTATAAAAAGCTTGATTCTTCTTATTCTGGGGATTTATGGGTCTAAACAGCGCTAACTAGCTGGGCAAAATACGATTACAGACATGGTGTACTAAGTAGGTAGAGCGATGCATCCATCTATATTCCATTCGCTGTGTTGTGGATAAAAAGGTATCCCTGTGGGGTAGAGACACATTAAAGTAAGTTCCTTAAATAGCTCAAGTAGACGAGGCCGGGGGCAAGGAAGCAACCGGTCGAAGCCGATGTTACTCTGAGATTTCAATTCCAGGGGCGACCTTCACTGTCCAGCGTAGCAATATCCAGCCCTGGCACACCATTCACCATCCACTAGATGACTACAGTGTTCTTTGTGCTACAAAGATGACGAAATTTGCCTCTGTTCCATGAACAAGTCTATATTCCAGGCTTCAAAAGATTTGGTGAGATCTATGCGCGCGACTCTCAGGCTGCTGACAGCCGGGAGTACGGTGCCGGTGATACCTAGTTCCGCCGAAAGAAGGCGGGCTGGAGCCAATACTCGCTACGTGCTTGAGTGGGTAATTTCAGGGTTGATCAACCTAGCTTGGACAGAAAGCTAATGATGTCTAGACCAGTCTCATCCTAGCATTTTCACCTGCACCCAAAATAAGATTGCAGCAATCAGAGGCCGCTCCCTGAATGACGCGACCCCGGGCCGTTCCTCAAGCCACTCATCGAATCTCAATTCATCGCACTACCATGACTGCAGTATTCGTATCCAGAATACGATGTCACTGCGCCCACTATTAACACGGTAGGTGACACCACGCTTGATCAAGTTCTGACACGGAAGTAATAGATTTTGCTGTTTGCTCCTGATAGTCATCCTAGTCCGCGAATGTGCATATATAGCTAATCAATAACCGTGTCGACTGCGAGTATCTTTTCTGAGTCTTTCGTTTCCATCCATCTGCAGCACAAACCCAAGTACATTATGAAGAGTAATCTCGCAATTGGTCTTGCGCTGTTTGCGCCCAGTTCTCAGGCATATGTCTGGCCTAGCCAGTACGACCACATAGACGACCTGTTATATACACAATTCGGCTACATCAGAGATGGCACTCTGGGTGATCGTACGCATTATCTTTTCTGTATCCATGGTCTAACAGACAACTTACATCCAGACAGAAGTTAAGTCATGCGATTTTGGCGCCGGTGTACCTGGTATACAAAAGGCAGCAGAGTGGGTACGAACCGCCTTTCACGATGCTGTGACACACGATGCCTCTGCGAAAACCGGAGGACTGGACGCCTCAATCCAATATGAGCTTGACCGACCAGAGAACCTTGGCGCTGCACTCAACAACACATTAGCGGACCTGGCTGGCGCCTACGATATCCGCAGTACGGCAGCAGACCTTCTCGCATTGTCTCTAGTCATGTCAGTGGATCGTTGTGCGGATATGCGCGTACCACTAAGGCTGGGCCGGAAAGATGCGACAGAGGCCGGAATCAAGGGAGTACCTGAGGCCCACACAGGCCTCGAAACCACCCGCAAGCGGTTCGCAACTGCTAGTATCAGTGGAGGTAAGCCCGCCGTCGTATGTCATCTCATAGATTGACTGAAAGCTGACTTTCCCTAGTCGACATGATCACTTTGATTGCTTGTGGGCACAGTATCGGTGGCGTTCACTCCGTCGACCACCCTGAAATCGTCTCTGGTCCAGTTAGCCCAGAGAACAAAGCCAGTTTTGACACCACCAAAGGCGTTCTAGACAACCAAGTGGTGGTGGAATATCTTAACAACTCCACCACAAATCCACTGGTCCGTAACGCCAACGATACATTGAACTCCGATAAGCGTATCTTCGCTTCTGATGACAACGAAACCATGAGAAAGCTCGCAGATCCAGCTTATTTCAAGTCGCAGTGTGAGGGTGCCTTTACACGCATGCTAGATCTCGTCCCGGGAGACGTCACGCTCACCGAGCCCCTGCAGCCAGCAGAAATCCGGCCATACATCGCAAAATATGAAATCAACGACGACGACGGTGTTGACCTCAACGTCCGCGTCCGCGTCCGTATCACAGAAGGTACCGGTCGTGACCCCGCATCTCTCACCGCATCTATCATTCCCATTACGCGCAATGGCACTCTAGGGGAGGAGATCAATGGCAGGATGGCCACAATGGGCGGTGGAACATCGTTCGGCTACCAGAAGGAGAACTTTCAATGGTTCGAAGTCTTCCAATCGTTCAACGCCAGTGACGTTTTTGACTCGTTTAAAATCCGTGTCAACGGTGAAATCTACGACAACGGCGCAACAGGTGGCTACCCTATCAATGGCGATGTGTTGTACCAAAGGGCACAGACGTGCGTCACATTTAATTCAAACGACACCACCGATATAACCATTGTTGCTGCTGTCTCAAAGACGCTGTTGGCCGGCGGAGCTGCCCCACAAATCCGCGTGGTGAAGAAGGTACCAACTCAAGGAATGGTTATTCCTAAGTTGAACCCAGTCGTGCTTCCCATGCAGCGTACCTCTCAAGAGACAGCTGGATACGTGTACTACACTGTTACAACGAATCTCAACCAGCAGAGCTCACCTACTACCTTTGATATTTTGGTTGGCGATTCAAAGGTCGAGTACATTTCTACAGGTACCTCGAACACCTGCACAAATTCAGCATAGAAACCTGTTAGATTTAAACTTTCTCCGATACCACATAACATAGATTAAAGCTCATTTAATAAATTCAAAAAGATACATTCATCCAATTGAGGATCTTAGTTATTTGTTATATTGCACAAAGTATTAAACTCAACAGTCTACTATTTCAAATAACAAATCCGACGTCTTCATAATCAATTTTCTAGGTTTCGTCATGACTGATCACCCCAATGCGCAAAGATCATCAACTAGATCTACCCACAATGTCCACCACTCGTCAGTTATCTGTGGCATACGGTTTTCTCGACGAAATCCTTGCAAGTCAGTTTGGGAAAGGCTTCGGCTGTGCCTCTCAAAAGCAGGTCTAAGGATCGTCCGAAACTTGTTAAGGACCTGTAAAGCTCCTATTGGTCCATGTGCCTGCACCATTCCAATGATATTCCCTCCCCATATTGTCTGGAGCAATGGGTCTGCGCCTGCCTCGAGCAAAACCTCCATTGACCCTGTTTGACCAATCCAGGCAGCTAAGTGCAAAGCAAACCATTTGTCACCATCGTATTGCAGATTCACATGAGCTCCTGCATCGATCAGGAGTCTTGTAGCTTCGGCACCATGTCTGACAGCTCTCGACAGTGGCGTCTGTTGATGGCAATGTAACGCATCGACATCTGCATTGTGAATTAGCAGCAGCCTCAAGATGTCTGGATCGAGATCTCTTGCACGGGCCGCGAGATGCATCGATGTCCACCCTGAGCGCTCGGCAGCTTTGTTTGGATCAGCACCGCAATCTAGAAGATAACGAACATTAGCGATATCATTGCGCACTACAGCCCAGTGTAGAGGCGTTCGCCCCATGGCGTCGATAGCATTTACGTTGTGGTCGGCCGTCTCGTCCATGTGCTCGACTTCACAGATTGGAAGTTCAAGGATCCGTCGATGAAGGGTTGTAGAGTGAAGCTCATTCAGCCGGTTCGGGTCGTTGAACATCGATTTCAGCGTCTGCGCTGCATTGTCATCCACGACTTTGCCTAAGATTGGCTCCCAGGCGGTCTCAAAGGACGATAAGTATTCAGATCTATATCATTGTCAACCAATCTCTTCCAACATAAGCTCCACTTAGGAGCAGGTTTGATATCTAAACCTTTCGGCCACATGCTCATGTGGATCAGCGCCCTCCGACAACATAAGCTTGCACAACTCTATCATACGCGGTGTTGGTGTATCTAGTACAAACCACAAAGCCGAGAAGCCTAAACAATCGACGTCGAATGGTAATGCCCGGTTCTCCGTGAACAGCGATCTGATGCCTTCCACATTACCAGTTTGAGCCATCGTAAATATAGGGGCCTCCGTAGCAACAACTCGCGGTGCTCGGAGACGATATATGTCGATTGAACCACGTGTACTATAGACAAGGGTCGCAGTCAGAATACGGCGTAACAGCCAGGTTGGAAAAAAGTAGTCGATACGGAGATAGGGCAATCTCCTGCGCTTGCGGCAACGGTCCACATTGCAAGGTGGTGTGAATATTGGAATATCTGAGAACTTGAAGTGAAGCCTTCCGAATAAAGAGCTCATGGCATTCAGGTTGCTGATTTTCTCAGATCGATGGTATACAAATGTACACCAATTCGTTTGACAGGAGGTAGACTGAGGTCGAACTGGACGTGAGCTCATGACTATGACCGTTGATTCTTCTGTACCGGGAGGATTTCCACAAGGTCCTTGACTGTTTATCATAGGCCTTTGATATTGTTGTAATGTCCTCTCCATGCTCTCGCTTAGTGTATCGCCAATTGTCTGAAGTTGTGTTCCCAACCTTCTACCAAGGTCGTCTATTGCGACGTGATTATTGCCTAGCGCACTCAAGATCTGGTCGTGCGATTCTGCGTGGGTATATGAGATGGAATCGACCTTCGTCATCAGTCCTTCGAGTCGGAACTCGATTCTCATTGAATGACCACTGTAGTATAAGAGTCAGCGCAGTTCCGGAGTGACGATCGGCCACAAACATACATGTCTGCGAGTTCTACAACATTGAGTAGATCACTCCGGGCTTGCCGGATCTCGTTTCAAAATTGTTCTACCTTCTTCTTTCCTTTCAACCAATTGCGCTTCAGCATCTGTTGGTGTGGCAAGGGCCCTGCATCCGATTCTGACGGTGATATAATTTGGTATTGCAAAACCGTATCAAGCCTTAGCAATGAGGCTCGCACACTCATTAGACTTGCATAGAGTAGCTCAATAATCTCGCTAGAGGAACTAGAAAACTTATCACCATGTAATCGCGGAACGGATCGATCTGACGTACTTTTGGGGCTCGGGTTTTTTCGACAATTCATGCCGAATATAATCAATCTGGGAGCAAACCACTCTTAGAGCGGAGATCTCGTTGCAACAGGCTTGTACGTCTTGCTCGGCATCTTTCAAATCCTGAGGAAGCTGTAGCCCTTTTGTGACTTTCTCAGCAGCACCTATAACTGCAAGGATGCTAGCTGCAGCAGAAAGTGCCTCCATTCACTGCTAGTCAAATTCTTGAGCCTGACTCCGTTCAGTTAGTATCTGCAAATTAGAAGGATATATTTTTTGGCAATTGATAGAGAGTGCCTACACGGTATAGCAAGACAGCCTTGTGTGATAGATAAGTGAAGAAGTCAAAGTACCAAAATCTATTTACGGATGATAGCTATGGTCAATTTCAGGCTGATTTGAAAGTTATATACCACTTTTTGCTCCAGAGGTAGGGTGCAATAGTTGCCACTGATCGTGTTTCAGCCTTGCCTTCCTGTAAGATCTGATGAATCGATGAGATGAGCGGGCTGAATACATGCTGAAATTACAGATGAGCTGCTCTATAGTTAAACGCCACCTCTCTTATTTATACCATGTTTGTTTGTGAAGGTGGGGTTAATGATTATCACCTGCTGTGTAACGCGCAACTTGCTGCCACTCTATTCGATGGGAAGCCCATCTCGCTAAGCACATCAGTACTATGGCTGAATCTTTGATGAGCTGGCGCGGTGTGCTAACCCACCTGCACCGAAACACATGTCCCATACCTGAAAATTGCTAGAGCTAGAACATATCGCATAAGGCATGTATAGGGGTTAGACGTATGGTTTTGATTCTAGCACCTTCAGGATTTTATATCCGTGATATTTGATCAAACCGAAAAGTAGTATAGAGAGTATGCTTGCAGAAATATCTTCGCGCTATCAACCTTTACAGAAAACAGCCTTCACGTCGGCATTAGGTATACGAAGGCTGGAGAGATAAGAAGCCTCCTATTTATGTTTGTTAAAGGTGTCTACTAATATACATGGCTTAAAACACCACAGGTCACTATTTTGTTGTGTAGGCAACTGAATGCTTTTAGAACTGATCCAATAACAGTTTTGTATTAAAGAGGAAATTAGGTTTTCATAATAGTAGAACAATCAAAAAGCAAGATTTTGAACCCCGCAGCGCTAGCTGGGGTAGCCAGTGCACGTACGCAGACTGATCGCGGAGATTCCGAGTGATCGATCGCGCATCTATGCAGAATCTGCAAAATCAAGAACTGGCATCTACTCGTCGTGATAAATCCATCATCGCCTTCCAATGAGCTCAAGGTGAGTTGGTTTTACTGTAACGCAGTCGATTAGACAAGCCAAGGTCTTAGCCGATCAAGAGCTACTACTTCATTGTCATTGTAATGGCGAATATACCAAAATCGTGATTGGAAGACGTTGCGGTAGATTTGCCACTGATCAAAATGGAGCTTTTGATTAGCTTAGATTCCTGCTCGGAAACAACGGCTCATTGGTAGGTATACTTCAGCGCAGTTGAGGGGACAGGCTGCTGTCTTAGCCGATGCAAAGCTAAGTAGATGGTAATTCTAGTGGCAAATCCACCCAAATCATAACGAGAAAATATCATGGTAGATTTGCCACTGTGGTCAAGACAGCGCTTTCGATTAGCTCAAACCTCTGCTTCACAATACTTAGCAGCTCATCGGTAGAGTATGCTGTAATAGATTGAGCACCACGAGCACTCTCCTAGTAACCGCATCGTCTTTTTAACGCTTACATACAGAATGTTGTTCATCGGTTAGTCGCTTACTCTACATATACCTTCCTGTTGAATAACTTGATCTCCACTTGCGTCCTCTGTTATCTACGCACGTGAGGCTGCCTTATTTTTAATCGTATGAGGTGTGGACCTTCGGCTACCATGTGCATGTACGGCGGGTCCCAGACACTTGGTTGTTGAAATATGCCAAGTCCGTCACGAAAGCCAAGAAATCGTAGTGTACTGTTGATACCCGTGAGCGGGATGTCAAAAATGATAGAGAAGATTTGTTGCAAAGATTTACGTAGCGAACGGGTGAAGAAGACTTCCCGCGGGTAAACGACGGCTTGGTGGGCGAACTCGCTCCTCATTCTCAGGTTCCCGTACCAAAACCATTCTGGGTTAGACCTATACCTAAATTGGGACAGAAATCGGAAGCCGTTCGGTCGGATCTCCGCTGTATGGTCACATATTCACCACGTGGATGGGAAATTTCCGGGAAACAAGCACATTTCCTGTAGCCAAGCGATGAAGCAGCTCCTCCAGGATAGAGCTGGAGGGTACTATTTACATTTCAAGCCCTAGTTCGCCTGAAGAGGAGAAAAAAATGGGTCGAAGCACCGCCAAGCAAGAGGAATGAATATTGGCGTTGCGGTTGCAAAACCAAGTTCTTGGAAGTAAGTATACACGACCAGAAGTTCCGTTTTACCGAACAGGGTGCCGTTTGCAGCTCCGATGTAAAAACGGAAAACGGGGCTGAACCCATCCAACAGACCCTATGCGCTTTTTGGGATCCCGCGGGAACGGCACTTTGCGACTCCGGTAACGCGTACCCGCTTCATACCTACAGATGCCCTCTGAAACCTCTGTGCTACATTGATGAACACGCGTTCGAGTTACCGTAGTATATACCATCTCGATAGCCAAGTAGAAGTAATGGAAAAGTTTTCACAGTCTACACAACCTACACAGTTTACACAATTTGCGCTTACCGCACGATTTCCACCATGAGCGCAGCCGTTGCTACCAATCCGGTTGACCGGAAACAAACTTCCATAAGCCTCAACACTCCATCTCAGGCGATAGCGCTCAAGAAAACTACTCCGACTGCCATCGTATCGTTATTCTCTGGCGCTGTCGCTGGGGGTGTTGAAGCCACAGCAACATATCCGTTCGAATTCGCTAAGACACGCGCACAGCTCCAAGTAGGCGCTAGCGGCTCAAAAAATCCCTTTACTGTCCTCTCGCAGGTTGCCAAGATGGATGGTGTAAGGGCCATCTACACTGGCTGTTCTACATTGATCGTAGGCACTGCTTTCAAGGCTGGCGTCCGCTTCCTCTCTTTCGACTCCATCCGCAATCGCCTCGCCGATGAACGTGGTGTTCTCTCACCAGCTCGCGGCATGCTGGCTGGCATGCTGGCAGGTGCCGTTGAGAGTGTCGTTGCAGTAACACCGACTGAGCGCATCAAGACTGCTCTGATCGACAACGCAAAGAGCGGCGGGCAACGCTACCATGGAGGCTTCCACGCTTCAAGAGTCATTCTACAAACCGACGGTATTGCTGGGCTATATCGAGGACTGGTGTCTACAACTGCGAAACAGTCAGCTACTTCCGCGGTTCGCATGGGATCGTACAACGTGCTGAAGGAGTTCGCGCGGCGGAAAAACCTCAAACAGAACAGCGCACTCACTTTTGGTATGGGTGCCGTCGCCGGTGTCATCACTGTCTACGCAACACAGCCTTTTGACACTATCAAAACACAAGCGCAGAGTGCGCGAGGAGCGAGCACAAAGGATGCTTTCCGGTCGGTGTTGTTGAAAGGAGGAGTGCGAGGATTCTGGAGTGGAAGCACAATGCGGTTAGGCAGACTGGTTTTGAGCGGTGGTATCGTCTTCACAGTTTATGAGAAGGTCGCATATCTGCTGACGCCTTCGAACCAATAATTCCAGTCGATACCTTGTTTGGTTTTATTAATACATCCTCTTGTCTGTTTAGAATTTCAAAAGTAGGTGAAGGCCGGAGTTCAAAGACCCTATGCAAAGCGCCATCTGACCCAGTAGTTTCCCAAAAAGTATAGTCAAGATACTGTTGTTTATCTCGTAGAACACTAGAATATCTTACTCTTTTTTGTACCTTTACATTAGCGCTATCAGTAGAGGCCCACTCTTCAAAACCACTCTTTGAAATTCCTTGTATTAATATCAATCTGCATTTCCCATTAATGTACTTCCCTTTTTTTTTAAAGACTTTTTAAAATATTTACTACGATATAAGGCTACGGAACTCGGTGACTATCACTCCTTTAAGAAGAGAATACTGAAGTAGTCAAAGAAGAATAAACACGGTGCTAATTACACTTTACACCGATAGTGTGGGCGCTAGATAAGACCGCTGGGTCAAATGACTCCAGCGTGGGTGATGCCTTTCTTTCGCTTTCATTCTGTCATCAGCATGTCATGGTGAATTTCTTGCGTGAGCTGTACTTGTCCATTTCCTTCTGATAGAAGGATTCTTGGTGTTCCATGTGCCTACACCGGTTTGTTCCCGCGGCAACTTGATCCCGTGGCGGGAAGACGAGACTGCTCTCCATTACCCGCGGGACGGCAGTGTGGCGGCTTCCCGAGGGAAAAAGACCGGTCTTGGCCTCGTTGTGAGGGTGGCGCCGAAGGCCTCATCCCAGCTAGTCTGACTGAACGATTAGGTTTTCCCAACGACTAACGTTTTTCTTGTTCAGCCCAGCCTCAGCCCAGCCTCGGCTCATCCCAATCGTTCATTGTTTGCGGGGCCCCGCACCTGTAGTGTATCTGGGGGATTCACCAGCACCTGTCATGCGAGGAAGGTCTACCCAGATGGCTGCATACACTATGATCAAGCCTCTTTTCTGGGCATTCAATCTGGGCATTCAATATATATAACGGTATGGATCGCATCACTATGGAACCAGCAGCACGGGTGTCCATCTTACCTCCCAGCTCCTCCTTCAACAACAGCAACTCCTGTGCTACATAGACACTTCGGTCGAGCAACATGACGGAAAAACGATCTGTCGATTTCATCGACGAGAAGGGCGCCGATGCCGAACTCAAGGAAATCGTTGCTGACCACCAGGTCCAAATCACACCTCAGCAGATTCAAGCCCGGTTTGAATCGCTCCGCGACTTGACTGAGGAGCAAATGACTGCATTGAACAAGCAGCTTGTCAAGAAGCTCGATTGGCGACTAATGCCTTGCATCACTCTCATGTTCTTGATGAAGTAAGACCCTGGTCCCGAAAACTTGGCCTACCCCATGAACAAAGTTAACAGTGCGCCTAGTTATCTCGACCGTATCAATGTCTCAAACGCACGCCTTGCTGGACTTCAAGAAGATTTACACATGTCAGATACACAGTGGAACACTGGTATCTCGACCTTTTATGTGGGTTATCTTGTCGGACAGGTTCCCGGCAACCTTTGGCTTGCCAAGGCGGATCCCAGATGGCTTTTGCCATCCATGATGATGGCTTGGAGTATCGGAACGATCTGTATGCCGGCCATGACAAGCGGCGCTGGATTCGCAGTCTGCCGCTTCTTCATAGGTCTCTCAGAGGCCCCGTTCTTCCCAGGAATTACACTGAGTAAGTTTCAGCTTGTACACCAGATACGGGTTGAGAAATTTTGCAACTAACAAAGACCAGTGACTTCGTCGTGGTACACTAAAGAAGAGAATCCAATGCGCATGGCTATCTGGCACGCAGGAAACACCATGTCTAACATCTTGTCTGGTTTCTTGGCTGCAGCTATCCTGGAGAACATGGACAATCTCCTCAAACTACACGCATGGCAGTGGTTCTTCATCATCGAGGGCGGCGCCTCCATTCTCGTAGCAGTCTTTGCCTACTGGGCGCTTCCATCATGGCCACACAACACACGCTGGCTATCGAAGGAGGAGTCAGAAATGGCACAGTACCGTGTCCAGGTATCTAATGGTGGTCATGAGGAGGAGTTGGGTGGAACATGGGACGGACTCAAGGAAGCTGCCAAAGATCCTTTCACCTGGTTCTTCTGCTTGATGCATTTCGCCCTTGTCACGGCTCAGAGTTTCAAGGACTTCCTGCCCTCGGTAAGTTCTACGTTTCTACTAAGCTCCTGAAATTATTTCGACTAACCATACCACCTCACAGATCATGAAGACCTTCAAATTCGACACTCTTACCACCTACCTCGTCCAAGCTCCACCCTACGCCATCGCATATGGAGTCGCTTGCGGTCTCGCCTATACTTCTGGTCGCTTCCAGGAATCTTACTATCACATTGTGATTCCCATCATCTTCAGCGCAGCAGGCTGCAGCATGCTCATCGGAACCCTCAACATTGGTGCCCGCTACTTTGGTCTTATACTCCTCATTAGCGGCACCTACTCCGGTCTCAATCTTCAGCTCAGTTGGGAAACCACTCTCGTACCCGCCCCACGTAGCAAGAAGGCTGCTCTTATTGCCATTGCCAACTGCATTAGTCAAGTCAGCCACTGGTTCAGCCCCTACTTCTTCCCAAGATCCCAAGAGCCTTTCTACAGACTCGGTGGTGGCTTGATCTTGGTCGGCTGCCTCATTTGCTGCATCTCAGCCAGCTTAGTCAAGTGGCGTGCGAAGCAGCTCAACAAGAAGCTCGATGAGGCTGAAGGCTGGTCCGAGCACACTGGTGTCGAGCGTGGATGGAGATATGTGTATTAACGTATTTCATGAGAAGCATTTCTTGTAACGATGTAACGATTAGTTTACGTTTGTCCTCTATTATTAAGCTGCGCTTAATATAATGTACTTTGTTATTATCTTTACCAAGTCGAAGACATGAAATCATGATATTCATGATTATTCTATATATGACAGCCTATTTTGCAGTCTACAAGAACCTATTTATTTGCCATGGTATGCGATTCAAATCTGTGATTACTGAAAGACTACATTCGGAAAGTTTCTGACATTGATTTTAGACGTTAAGTCAATTCCATCAACAATTGAAGCAAAAACAGTTATGCTATGACTACCACGTTAAGTTACACAAATCCAGACCTAATCATCTCAATTGAATCCACAAACCCCCCTACTCCTTCACCTCATCCCTCACAAACCGACTCGTCCCCGCAACCTTGACCGCCAACAACCAAATACTAACATCACTCATAATATCCGCCGTCGCCACATCCGCCCCCACCGCCTTCGAAAACCAATTCCGCATCTCCACCGCTACTAGCGAATCGACGCCATACCGATAAATCGCTTTCTGCGGGTCGATATCGTCTTTGCTTACGACAAGCAGACTGGACAGCTGCACTTGGATTGCTCCCACGATAATATCCGTGGCTTGAGCCAGAGACTTTGCTTCAGACAGCAAGTGCGATGGCCTCGATTTGTCTGTCTCCGCGGTGCTGGAGATGCGTGCAGGGAGTGTGTCGAGATAGTGGTAGATGGGGCGTGTGCTGCCGAGGGGCGCTACGATACCCATTGCACGCAGGTCGGCAGGGAGGGTTAAGGGCGTGATGATTTGCGAACCAACGCCACTGTTGTCTACGCGGCGGGGATCGCAGCAGAATTGGAGGAGGGAGAAAATATCTTGTGTGGATACTTCTTCGAGCATGCCGCGAACACGGAGGAGAGCCTGGACTTGCTCGTTTTGAGCGACGTAGCCGACGCCTGTTACCATGCTGAGGGCGAGTGTGTGGGCGCGCTGTCCTTGGCGCATTCGGTGGGCGGCGAGGGCGTCTTGGTAGGTGTTGCCGACTGTGTAGTTTGATTGACCGAATGATCCCATGATACCTGTTGATGAGGAGAGCATGACGAAGAAGTCGAGGTTGCGCGGGAGAAGCTGGTGTAGGTTCCAGGAGCCGTCTACCTTGGGAGCAAGAGATTGATGCCACTTTTCGACTGACATATTTGCAAAAGATGAATCGCGCATCACCATTGCTGCTTGGATGCAGCCTCTGATGTCTGGGATATCGCGAACAGAGTCCAGCATGGCCTGGAGTTGGTGCTGGTCGGCGATATCACACACTGGTGCTTTGACGATGGCGCCTTGTTCATGGAGCTCTTGTATGAAATGTTCGCGATCAGATCCGGTTCCTTCGACCGGAGAGCGTGATGGTAATATCAAGTACCGAGCGCCTTGCTGCACCATCCACTGGACAATGCTTTGGCCTATACCACCGAAAGCGCCTGCGACAAGGTAGCTTGCGTCTTCATGGAAGAGTAGCTTGGAAGGACTCGATGCAACTTCCATATCGACAACTTCATCGCTGTCGATTTCAATTACAACCTTGGCTATAGCGTCCTTGTCTTGCACAGTACGGAAAGCCTTCTCGACCTCGCTCTGTTTGAACATAGCCAGCGGTACGTGTGGCATTATACGACCGTCGTCAATCATCTGGCAGACATTCTCGAAGATCCCTTCGAACAAACGGCTTTCTGCTAGTTCCTGGAAGTTAACATTGGCGAAGGTGACATTCTTACTCGCCACCACTACTGGTAACGAACTCTCCTTCGGACGGCTCGCTGTGGAAACAAAAGCATGCTTCTCTCCAACATCAACCATGCATCCAAACGAAGCAATACAGCTATTTGAACTCTGCAAAGCTTCCATCGAGCCCAAAATAACATCTACACCTCGTCCCTCAGTCTCACGCCGGATTTTGTACTCAAGATTCGGATCTCCAGTGACGAAGATACACGACCTGGAAATAGGGCCATGATGAAGCATGCGGTCCACCTGCTCTTCCGACTCAACTATTGTGAAGATGTTCGTGCAACCCAGGTGTATACACATCCGGAACGCGGCATACCCCAGCGCACTGGTCGCATCGTGAATAAGTACATTGTCGCCCAGTTTGACACCCGCAACTTGCATCAGGGCAAAGTACGCCGTGCAGAATGCCACGGGGATCGCGGCTGCTTCTGCAAAGCTCAGATTCTCTGAAAATCTCATTTCCTCTGGTATCTTTCGCAACTGCTTGAAGTTGCTCACCGCCGTTTGTGCAACGCCGTTGCGTGTGATGCCGAAGACGCGGTCCCCGGGTTGGAAATGCGAAGCGCTGCGTGATCCGGTCTGCAGTACTACGCCTGCTATTTCGCTGCCAAAGGCGTCGTCGTGGATTTGGCCCAGTGCAACTTGGACATCACGAGTGTTGAGGCCCACTGCCTTGACTTGGACAAGGACATCGTCACTTCCAAGCGTGTCGTGTTGGGAATCATCCTGCTCATAGTGAAGTGTGTTGAGAATTCCTGCAGCCCTGATTGTGAGGACTGGATTCTTCAGTTCACTCCACGGCTTGGAAACAGTGGTTGCAACTTCTTTAGACGGTGGCAGTACCATCGCGGCCAGATCTGCATCATCGACCACACGCGGTATACAGAGAACACCGTCAACTTCCCAATACTCATCTTCGGGGTCACTAGTCTGGTCCGCAAGCTTTGCGTCTAAGACTGCCATGATATTGCTCGCCAGCTTTTCCAACCCATTCTCGCGATCCAGGCTAACGCTGATGAGATGGTAGTCTTCGGATTCAGTGGCTAGCGTGCGCACAAGACCCGATACAAGGCCTTCTGTGGGGCTCTGGTCCAATGCTAGATGTTGAAGTGTAGGCCAGATGAGTGCGTCCGCTGTCGAGAGGAGTTGCTTGATTTTGTTCAAATCATCGTCTTGCACAAGGCGCAAGAGTGTCCCATCTAGCCCAGGAAGGAATACGCAAGTAGCTTTGGATAAGTCTTTTTCGGAAACAGAACTCCAAGATATCGGGATCAATAAAGTATTGCAGTGTGAGATTGCGATTTGTCCAAGCATGTCTGCTAAATTGCTCTGCAGAGAGTCACACTCGTCGTATACAACGTAGACCGTTGAACCAGAGTAAAGTGACTCTCTCTCTTGCAGGCTCAGATTGGAGAAGGTAGCCGGTTGCCAGTCAATGCGATACAAAGTTAGTGGTGCTTCTCCTTCATCTGCAGCTGCACCGCTCCGTCCAATCGTCGATGTCTCCAACTCCCCGTAAAAGTAAAGTTCTTGATCCTGCTCATCCGTTGCAGTGACATCAAAAAGCTTGTTCCGGAATCCACAACCCTTGACCTGCGCATTCACTTTTACACTCTTTGCTTCGTTAGATGCGCGCAGCAGATTGGCTGAGAACCACGCGTTGGTGAAGCCCGTAGGTACTGTCGTTGCAGACGCATTCTTAGCGAAGATGGAATAGGCGGGAAATGTCATTTGCAAAATGGTGTCCAGCGCAGCGGGATGAATCAAATGACCATCTGTGTATGTGAATTTCGCGTGTTTTTGCCATTCGGCGAGGCCAATTGATCCTGTTGCTTGTTGACTCTGCTCGTCCCACTTGATAGCGTGCATGCTGCGGAAAGTGGGACCGTAGGATAGCCCTGCCTTGTTGAACGCATTATAGACTTCCTCATGGCTAATGTCGGTGCGGCACTGCTTTGTAGTCGTGAGAAATTTCTCAGCTCTTTCGGTCTGTTCAGCGGAAGTTTCGCTTGGGTTGTCGTATGTGATGGAAATAGAGCCAGAGCAGCAAAGATGCCATGTATCATTCTCATACACATAGAGCGAGAAATGGCTCCATGAACTTCCTGGTTTCGCATCTCGTGCATCTACACTTCCAGGACGTAGCGTGAGTTGTATCTCTGTTCCTCGTGGATTCTCGGATAGCGTCATAGGTTTCGTGAACGAAACATCTTTCATTCTATATCCGGAACCATCGGCACCTGCGTCGCCGTAAAACTGGCGCACTGCCTCAAGAGCCATGACTAGCATGCCTGCTGCCGGCATAAGGCACAGCCCGTTGATTATGTGATCTTTCAGATACGGTGATTGATCTAGAAGGATACGGTTCGTCCAGCGTGCCTCCAGTTCGTTCCAGTCCGGTGTGCGAGATCCAAGTAACTCGTGATGCACGAATTTGGTCTGGCGGTATTGGATACTTGTTCGACCCTCGAGCCAATATCTCTTCTTGTCTTCGAATTGGTAGCTAGGAAGGGACGTAAGAAACTTTGGATCAGAACCGCGAATATTGTTGACAGCTGAGATATCGATAGATGCTCCAATAGCATGTAGTTTTCCTGCGCACTGCATGGCTGTGACATCTGCCGCGTGATCGCGACGCAAGACGGAAACATACTCGGATTTGACGTCTCTCCCTGCAGCTTTGAGGATATCGCTGAGAGGAGAGCGCAGGGCGGAGTGGGGTCCGATTTCGACAAAGTAGCATGATGATGTATCTGGTCTTGTGCAGATTCCTTCCAGGGCGATTGAGAATTTGACAGAGCCAGTAAGGTTTCTGTTCCAGTAACCTGCAGTTCTCAATTCAACGAGTTGATCTAAGGATTTTCCGGTGACGGTGGACACGAAAGAGGGCTGATCGTCGAGCGGTTCACCGGGCTCAATCTTTCTGAGAAGCTTGTCGTAGACCTCAGCTACTGGCTTCATGTGATGAGAATGGTATGCAACATCAACCTTCAGGATGTGCACTTCGATATTTGCTTCTTTCAGTGTCGACACAAGTTGATGGACGGCGTCGCGAGGCCCAGAAAGTGTGAAGCTGCGTAAACTGTTGTAGCAAGCTATGACGATGGGATCTTCCGCATGTGATTCATTCTGCTTATCCATCAAGTGCTTCCAGGAGTCCAGCGGGGCCTGAACAGCAACCATGGCACCGTTCGATGGGCTCAATGACTGAGTGATACCGACTGCAAGGCCCCGGAAATATGCAACCATCCATGCAGATTCGCGTGAGATCGCGTGGCTGGCGTATGCAGCAGCGATCTCGCCAGACGAATGGCCTACAGAAATAGATGCTCGGATTTTCCAGGAAGTTAGTAATTCAACGATTGCGACCTGGAGAGCTGTGCATATCGGTTGACTAAGTTCCGGTCTATGAATAGCTGATTCACTTTCCGATTTGTTGCATAGCTCATCTGTGGTAATTAGCCTTAATGGACGAGGTCGAAAATATATCGATAACCATACCTATCAAAGACCACGAACTTCCCAGCGATCGAAAGTAGTGGTCAGCTTCTCGCATCGCTTTTGAGAAAACTTCGTATCGCATGAGTTCACGACCCATTCCATGCCATTGTGCGCCTTGCCCGGTGAATACGAAGCAGATGTTTGTATTAGGCTTCGACCTCACAGGCGCAGACCATGTCAATTCAGACTGGGTTTCTGGTAAGGCGACACACGTACTCTTCCATGGAAACTTTGTACGTTTCTCTGCCAAAGTATATGCGATATCGCTGAGTGTTTGACGGCGATTTTCATCGACCAAGTGATCGCCCATCCATTTCTTCAAAGCATCAATCGATCGATGCACTGCTCGTTCATCAAAAGCGGAAATCACCAACAGCTTCGTGGTGGATTTGCTGTTTTCATTCGCAAAAGTATTGCTTTCGTCGTAATCGCCTGCAGAACCAGAAGGCGTGTCGTCACAGGTCGTGCTACCAGAAGGGATAATTTCAGAGCCATTCTCGTTACTGGGAATGTGAGTCGGGGTTGAAGTGTTGCAGGGATGGACATGTTTCGCTTCTTCAATTGTTCGGACATCTGTGGTGCAGTGTCTTCCTTCTAGACCCTGCTCGCGGAGAAAACTGAGCGCATCTTCGATAACGACATGTGCATTTGTTCCACCGTATCCGAAAGAGTTCACGCTTGCACGTCGGACACCACTGGTCGGCCATGGTACGGGTTTCAACGGGAATCTCAAGTTTGGCCCAGCAGCTGTAACGGCAGGGTTGATGCGCTCAGGGTAAACATTCGGCGGGATGATACCCTTCTCAAGTACCAGTAACGTCTTGATGACCCCAGCGATACCACTAGCGCCTTCAGGGTGGCCCATGTTGGACTTGAGCGCACCAACATAGATGGGGTCTTCAGGAGTCCGAGCGGAAAACACACTGTTAATAGCAGCAGCTTCGCACGGGTCTCCTGCCTTTGTGCCAGTTCCATGGGCTTCAAAGTAGCGAGTTTCGTCGAGACTGAGACCGGCTCGTGCATACGTCTCGCGAATGAGGCGCTCTTGTGCGGATTGGCTAGGCGATGTGATACTCGGAGTGTTGCCATCTTGGCCGCAACCAGTCGACCGAATCACACCGCGGATGTTGTTTCCGTCGGCAATAGCTTCTGAAAGCCGCTTGAGAACTAGGACTCCGAAGCCCTCGCCTCGTGCATAACCAGAAGCTCTCTCGTCAAAGGAGTAGCAAACGCTGTCTTTGGACATCATGTTAAGACTGCTTAATAGGGCCGTCGAGTCCGGTAACAGACACAAGTTGGTACCGCACACAAGAGACTGGTAACGTTAGTAGTCTAATATTAGAATGAAAATCCATCCCAGGTAATATTAGGAAGCCAAAACCCCCGTGTTAGTCCGAATATGGCTACCACTTCTAGGACGCTGCTAGTATCTCCCCTGGCCTCTTTCTATGAGAGAGCTATGAGATTGGACTTACCATATTAACGCTTCCAGCAAGTAACTCCTGGCACGCAAGATGAAGAGCAACAAGACCACCAGAGCAAGCTGTATCCACCGTCATACTGGGTCCGCTGAAGTCGTAGAACCAACTCAATCGGTTTGATAGCATAGCCAGACCGCTTGAGCCGACAATCCGATAGTCGCCAGGCATCTGGGCATCTCTCTGAGAAATCTGGCTGTACTCCTGTAATAAGCAGCCAACGTGGACTGACGTTCGGGTGCCTACAGCATCTTGCATAGGAATACCAGCTGAAGGGAAAAGGATTAGCACATGGTTCAAGTGATTCTGGGCTATCTGCATACCATTTTCAAGAGCGTGGTAACTCGTTTCGAGCAGCAAGCGCTGCTGTGGATCCATGCATTCCGCTTCAGCCGGTTGAATAGAAAAGAACGGTGCATCGAAGCGTGCTGGATCGTCGGATAGAAAATGACCGCCGCGATTCTTTACAGTACCGGGCCTGTGGCCGTTCTCCTTATAGAATCCATCAATGTTCCATCGGTTCTTGGGAATCTCGGTCATGGTCGACCGGCGCTCGATGAGGAGTTTCCATAAGCTCTCGGCATTCGTAACATCTTGGGGGAATTTGAAGCCAAAGCCGACGACTGCGATTGGCTCGAAGCTTCCCGTATCTGGAGAGCTTGGATGAGAGCTTCTTTGGGTATTTGAGAGCTTCATTGCAAAATGCGCTTTACGCTGATGTCGTGTTTTGTGCGATCAGCTGCTTAGTAGGTTTTTGGTCCTACAAATGTCCCTATTGTCGCTCACATATACTTTGGTAAGGAAAAATCGAGGCTGACGTAGTGAATCGTTTGGAACTCTCAGAAACACATCATCTGTCCATGTGTGTAGAATCGTATTAGTTGGATGTTCGGTAATGTATGGCCCAGGGGGGTGTTGATGCAGCCAAAATGAAACATATGCAGATGGAAGACTATATTTCAAAGACCCTGAGATTAAAAGATGGGGGCGGGTTATGTAAAATGGTATCAATCAGGTGTTAACTAAAAAAGGTTATATACTGCGTGTGCTGTGTGCTATTTGAGGTGACTGCGTTGAGCGGCGTGTTGCTTAGCCGGGAATGGCCCACATCTTTTCCAAGACGGAAAGGCTGCATATGCATGCACGTACTTATATGGAGCAGTCCGTGGTGGCAGTTATGACCCTTGTAGTACGGGATAAGTACCTAGATTCCGCAACATCTGATACCTTCCTGTGATCAATGCATCATATGAGTATCCTGTTAACACCTTAGTTTGGAAGGAAGCTCCCTTGATCCAGGTTATGGGAACGTAGAGGATATTTTCTGGAGCGTGTTGATCATCGGCTAGATTGTGATCGTGCAGCTCTGCTGGACGCCTAATACGTGAAGCTGGATCCAGACTGCATGCGCCCTCTTACATTCTTGCCGTTTTAATTGTATGCATACCCAAGAACCGGATGAATACTCTGACATAGAGTTGGGAGAGATCCTGGGAGCCGCAAAGTTGCCCTCGTACCTGTATTGAATCAGACATTGGTCAGAATTGTGAACCAGTCACGTTTGAACACGATAGCTACCGAACCAAATCTTTGAAAGAATTGCTGGTGATTAATAGGCAAGAGATTCAATCAGCTTACGAAACAACGGGCAAAGGTGAGTGCAGATGTGTGGGTCTTTGCGAATTCAAGTCATGGAGAAGACGCGTCAGACACTCGAGTTACAGCCTAGTTCCTCGCGAGAACCACCAACTGGATGAAGGCCTCGTCTTGCCAAGATCCTTTTGGTCTCCAGTCTGGTTGTAGTTCTCATGTAATTCGTTACACGACAGGCCGAATCATGCATCTAGTCCAGCCATTTATAATCCGTTGGGCTCCACAAGTTCGCTTCGACTTAGTGTGAGCTATTGACTCCGCGCGGATGTCTATTAACGTGCCCCGAACGCGACCTGCAGCAACCGGTTTTTACTTCTAGTAGAGTGCAAAGCGGGTGGATTTGCAAGGGCATCAGCCTTGGCTGTCAAACTGGCTAGCACGTGCTCGGGCAAGATTACCTAAATGCGTTACCTCTCGTATAGATGGATTGATGCTAAAACCAACGATCCAGTTCCGCGATATATTGCCGAGTACAAAAACTGGGAGTTTGAGAATGTGAATATCAGGCTGATACGTATCTCACAAAGAGAGGTGTATTGCATTTGAACTTTGCACAACCTTATTGCGATCATGAACGCTCGATCGGTGCACATTGGCAACCCGCTTTGACATCCCCGCGGCAAATCGCAAGATTGATGGCAGGGTTTACCAAGGACGTGTCTGTTTTGGCCCCCAAAACAAAACTATCGCATGAGACTTGACATGGGCAATTGGGCGCCTAACAAAGGCTAGATGTTTTTGCTTTGATTTGGAGCCGTGTGTACGTTACCATCATGATGGAGGTAATGGTGCGAAACGCTATGATCGCAACGAGGTACTTGGCCTTTCAAAAGGTTTTGTGCGGTAAGAAAATGTCGGACAAAGGTATACCTCCTGGTCGTTTTGAGGTTGTCAGCTTTGCTGCATAATTTTCTTGACGATAGAAAAAGGTCCCAGACTCAGGTCACAGACAGCATCCGGAACATGGAACGAATGTTCTTTCGTGACTTTAGAGACTCTGATGGTCACCACCCAAGCCATGAATTCTTTGTTTTACTCTCGACAATAACAACAGCAGCATGTGCAGATCCAGAAAACACACCACTTGCAGACCAGTCATGATTATAGTTCGCCTCGATTGTGGAGTTTGCAACTTGCGCATGATTCAATCACGAAAATCGCAATAGGGCTGCGTGTCATTGTGGGAATATAGATCACGATGAAGCGGCCATCCAGTTGTACTCTGAATCTCGCTCTGTTTGCGAATATGAATAGGCGATAGCTTCATCAAACGATCCGTCCACTCGATGTGAAAGAGTAAAGAAAACTTTGCAGGATTGATCATCCTTAAAGAGAGGGATGAGAGGCTCATGATATGCATAATGAAATCTAAAAAAAAAGACGATGAGCCACAGGGTGCGGCAATCTGCTGAGCCACCACGTGCCGTTTCAGCCGCCAGTATGTCAAAAGAACCGTCTCCCGGATATCGGAACATAGACGCAGACATGCTCTTCCATGATGGCGTTTTATGTGGGTTAATGCAGGGGCAACACAACAATATGAGGGTGTGAATAAGGACAAGACTACATGGTGGCGGAGCAGGGCCCGAGGCAGAGCGGCACCGGACGACGCGGGGCAGTGGCGGGGCAGCTTTTGGCACCTCGTGAGTCGACGGTCGACGGCCACCTCCGACGGCTAGCCATGGCTCGGATGGTACAATAGAAGTCTGCCAATTTGCCTGCTTCAACAAGACTCATAGCACCGCAAATTGTTCCCAGGGCCTCCTACTACATCGACATGGCCGTCCAAATTGCACAGGGTCTCACGCCAGAGCAGCTTGCTTTCTTCAATGAGAATGGATATCTCCTGATACCAGACGCGCTGTCACAAGACACCGTCAAAGAGCTCCTAAATGACACCACCCAAATGCTCAATGACTTCTCGCTGGATGACCATCCTATGACCAAGTTCTCGACTGGTGGTGAAGACGGCGCGGACCATGTAGGGGACAGCTACTTCTTGGAATCCGGGGACAAAGTACGCTTCTTCTTTGAAGAGGGTAAGTTCTGCTTCCTACGCCCAATTGACATCACATCCATGGGAGATCAATTGGGCTGACACAACGACAGACGCTTTTGACAAATCCGGCAATCTTACAAAGCCTAAACATCGCGCAATCAACAAGATTGGTCATTATCTGCACGAGCTTTCCCCTTCATTTCGCAGCATATCTCTCTCCGATCGCAATGCCGCCATTGCCTCGTCATTGGGGTTTCGCGATCCACGGGTTCTCCAATCCATGGTCATTTGCAAACAGCCCGAGATAGGCGGCGCTGTGCCACCTCATCAGGACAGCACGTTCTTGTACACTGACCCACCTAGCGCGGTGGGTTGGTGGTATGCCCTTGAGGATGCTACAAAAGAAAACGGCTGTCTGAGCTTTGCTGCTGGGAGTCACAAGCGAGCTCCTATTGAAAAGAGGTTTGTTAGGACGGGCAATGGAACCGGCTTCATCGACAATGACGGGGCCAAGTTTCCGAACAGTATAAAACCCGAGAGTCAGGGTGAGAAGGGGTATGAGATGGTAGAGAAGGAGGAAAAGTATGACATGGGCGAAGTCAAGGCTGGAACGCTAGTTCTCATCCATGGCAACATTCTCCACAAGAGTGAGAAGAACACGAGCGAAAAGAGCAGGAATATATATACATTCCATGTCATTGAGGGCGACCAAAAGTACGACGAGAGGAATTGGCTGCAACCACCTGCACAGGGTTTCTCGAAACTATATCAGAAGACAACAGCGGCGAATGGAACGAACGGACCGGATTCGAGCAACAGACTTGCAAAGGATTGGTAGACATGTAATAATATGTTTTATCTACTACGACTTGCTTTGTACGCACAAGCCGATGCCTCCGAGCACAAATGCCATGCCTATCCAAGTGTCTATGGCATGTTAGCTTCTGAGTCGCACAATTGTTACATGAGCTGAGTCAACACGTACCTCTACTTATGACCTTTTTCTCTGCCCACCATTCACCTAGCACAGTGAATAGAAAGGCGAGTGAGTTTGTGATGGGCACCGTGAGACTCAATTCCGCTTTGCCGATCAATATGAAGAACCACACACTTCCGGTGACATTGAGCAATAGCGGTATAGCATAGGCTGGCCGGCTCAGCACTCCAATCACGGCATATAGTACACCCAACACTTTCTTCTTGAGCCATGAATTATTCGGATCTGTAAGGGCAGGACGTTGGGGCGGCGTGTAGTTCCTATGATGAAGTCAGCAAGGTCCGATAGGCTACTGGTCCGTAAAGTAAGACATAAGGTTTCATGAAAGAAAACTAACGTACATTGCAGCTTTACGCATAAAGGGTGTCGTGAGTCCCCAGCATGCGCCAACCATGAGGAAGCCCAGGATCCAGCGAAAGATGGAGGGCTGAGGCTCGTTGGCAATGGGCGCGTCGGGGTCCATGATGCTATAGTAAAGCCTATCAGAGAACAACTACAGTCGGGATAGCAACCGACAACACGAATAACGTAATTGTGGACGCTATTGCTATTCGATACGTCAAGCTGCTGGCATGGGATGAAAGCAACGAGCTGGTGCTTGGCTGGCGCGCTACTTAGCACTTGGGCCGTGCGCAGGTACACACAACATCACATTACCATCCCTTCCCCATCATTTCGTCCCGACAACGATTAACCAACATTGCTCGGCATTCATCCACAAACAATGAAAGACCTTTATCAATCATCTGAGTTCACAGCCTTCCGCGGATTAATTTTCTTGGACCTGTGCCGACGCTGTCTCGAGGGCGAAGAGGAACCGCATCCCACAACTCAGCCGCGCTTTGGATTTTTCGACCACTGATTGACTGTGCGATGATTACCACCGCTCTAGTACCTAATTTACTCACATGTGTAATTTTTTGTGCCGTGCCCGACATCCTCCAGCGAGAGTTCTTGGCTAGAACTCATATAATGGCGTAGCAGGACCCTGCAGAAGCAGGCGGTTTCTTTGACCCACCCTCCCGGGATCCGCCCTAATCAAGCCATGCCCCAGGTTACCAACCTATTCCTGGTATCCATCCACACAGGCAGTTTACCTGTCTAGTACTATTCAAAAATATCGCTATTGTTGGGAGCTATTCTCGTACGGCAATGTTGTATCCATCGCCATGCACCGGAATGATGTGGCCATCTCCCGTAGCAACTGAACACCTGCAATTGACAATATTGTGGATGACTTCATTAATAGGCCTCATTAATGGCCTCACATGGGCCAAATCATTATACTTCGAAACAGCAACTACGTTTTTTCATTTGACCTCACATGCGAGTTGGATATCCCTCGATACAAAGAAGTCGCTTGTCGACAAAGCAGTAGACTGCAAGCTGATTGTTGCATAACAGGTACCCGCGGACTAGAAAACCTAGACTAGACGAGTGGCTCAGTATCATGTGTATGACTACATACACTATGTGCCTACCATTGCTATGGATTATCTAGACACCCCGGTCACCTCCGAATATGCTACTGTTGACACGCGGGCAGTGCAGGCGCCCCCAGGCTACCTGAAACCAAAGGGCTGGGGCTTAGTTTATCGTCTATCCAACCCACCCTAGGTCAATCCAATATGTTCTAGCGTGCTAAGTATAGACTGGATGCGCATTGCGTGAGAGATGGCCGTTGGAAGCCACTGCCATGTTTGGACGTGTGAGATCATATATCTCTCGTAGGGTTTGTTCGAAATGTTCGAGTCTTTGCATGATTAGCGCGTCACAGATCTTGTTCCTGTAGGCCTACGACTACTCCCGCCTTTGTTAATAAGCTACAAGTACCACGTCGCAATTTCCTATTTACGCTCCACATTTTCATCCAGTTCGTTTCATGACGTACCCCGCTTAGCCTCGAATACATCGACCGCATCGATTACTTCTCAGATAACCTTTTTCTGTGACCAGTACTGTATTGCCTTTTTGACAGCATCATGTCAATGCAATCGATTTACAAAAGCGAGTCAGAGGGTGTGGACCTGGACAATTTGTTAGAAGACTATGTCGACACGGATCTCCTACGCCCCTTCAACAACTCTTCATCTGCTCACTCCAGCCCAGACGTGTTGGCGTGTCTCCTAGGGATCGCTTCGTCGAATGAGAGCGACTTGTTCGGGGCTGAATCTATACTCAATCGGGAAACAAAGACTGCTTGGCACAAGCCTCTCCAGGAGTGTGACCAGAGCTTCGCCTCGCCATGGTCCGATTATTCTGCCTCTCCCTCATACTTTGCTTCTCCTTCTGCCACAGAGTCTTACAGCGACTCAGAGTCGTTGAACTATCAAGGGTTTATTGGATCGGTCGGAGAACAGTTGCGGTCTATGTCCCAGCCTTGCACACCGCGACCCTACACATCCCGTCGGTCACTCGAGAAGGCTGTAGCCTTTCAGAACCAAATGAAATATCGTGGCACCAGGAAATCATCAGAAACATTGCCGACAAGGCCTTCCAGAACGATGCAGGCCTCTCATTCCCGCCCTTATACTCCGGATCTGTGGAACAACCAGACTACCCCGATACACATCGTTTCGAGAACTGCATCTGAAGAACCCAGTTCGCTCGCTACACTATCTGAGCTTACCGAGAACGAAAACAAAGACAGTCTTCTTGTCCAAGACTATAGTCAGGTGCGCACTCTTGGTCACTCGTTACTTCCGACGAATGACGAACAGTATTTTTCTCACTACCAATCAACCACTTCAGCCTCTTCATCAATGGAAGAGCCGAACAGAAATGACCACGCTGGAAATATCGACCTTAGTTTCAGCTCTGCCAACACATCTAGTGCAGTCATCTCAGCCTTGTTGACGCCACCGGTATCCCTTCCATTAGCCAGCAAGCCATGGGTTCCCGACACAACACCCACCCTAGACTTTGACTTCTCAGCGTCACCTGACCTGATTGATACCAGCAACACAGCTAGCTGGTGGAACGGCGAATCTACTGCCACCACCTACTCCGCAACAAACACCCTGCACTTCAGCTCAAACACAGAACTCCAAGGCCTAGGCATAACCTGCGAATCCACCCCCTTCAACTACACCGCCCTCCCCACCCACATCTTCCCCTCCTCTTTCACCCCCTCCCCAACCTCCCCACCCCACAGATCCCACCCCCGCCTACGCACCCGCCCAAACACCTCGCGGCCCCGTTGCTCCAGAACCTCGTCTCCCCACCCCGCCACCTCCCGCACCACCACAAACAGGGGCTTTGTCAATTTCACACCCGAAGATAGCAGGAAAATCCTAACTGGTGTGGCGCCGAGCGGAAGCAGCAAGACGAAGGCGAGGCGCGAGAGGGAGGCAGCGGAGCGGCGCAGGAAGTTGAGTCAGGCGGCTATGAAGGCGGTGTTGGAGGCTGGGGGGGGATGTAGAGAAGATTAAGGGGTTGGAGGGGGAGGGGTTGTTGGTTGTGTAGTTTGACTGGGGAGTATGAAGCTATAAAGTGCAATGAATATATAGATTTGAATTACTTGTGCTTATCTCTATGGTCATGTTTGGGCCGAAATAGTGCATCAAGGAGAAAACGCCAAGAAAGCTGCTTTAGCAACTAAAACTGCAAAAATTTCTTTCCTGCAATAGAACAGAAAATCGAAGAACGGACTTTGTTTTAATGCTAAATCGTTTTCTTCAGGGACTATGTATTTGTTTGCATTTTGATTCCAAAGAGAGGGAAAGAAGGGGAATCAAAATCTCGCCATCAGGACTCTGGTATAAGAATAAAAAGGCTTCCCTGAGTGGTAGAAGAATCATGTGATTTCCAAGATTCTCTCGATTATTCTAGTGTACCTGCGGGGCTCTAGATGCCCTTCTTACTCGGCTGCTACCTGTGTCGAGAGGAAGAAGAAGAAGGGTGAAGCGTACCTCGTCTCCTTCGCAGCTCGACTCGTGACTCGAACACTAATCTACACCCGTCCACTATCCACTATCCTCTCAATTCCGTCATGATGTTGACTTTAGTCCCCGCATTTCTCCGCACCCAAAATCGTTTTCACCTACTCCCCAGCCCCAAGTTCCAGCCTCACCAGCACAGCCTCCACCAGCGCCGTGCCGCCAGGCCCCCTCTCCATAGTCCCCAACGTCTTTTCCTCGGCCTCAAGCTCCACCGCTCCCTCATAAACCTTGACAATCATGTCCTCGTCCACTTTGGTACCACATGCCACCATACCACGGATCAGCGTGCTCACCATCATGATTTCACGGATAAGACCCGGTTCAATATCGTCGTTTTGACTCGAGTACAGCGTCTCGATTGCGCTCTCGTCGAGACTGTTGATCCCGACTTCCTTTGCGTCCGCGCTAGTGGTGATGTGCTTGCAGATGAAGACGTAGCCGTTGACACCGAGGATGATGTCGATTTCGCCGGCCGCCGTATTCAAGGTGAAAACCTGGCGTCTGCTGCGAACTACGCCGCCTTTCCGGCTGAGGATACCGCCGCCCGCACCGGTGATGCTGGTGAAGACGCCGTTGCGTAGTTTGCCGTATTTGAGAGAGCGCGTGTGTAATGAGGCGGTGCCGTCTTGATGTAAGCTCTGGACTTCTGCGACGAGCAAATCGCCTTCTTGGAAGAATGTCCGGATGTTGAGCTCATCGACGGTTGTCCGTCGACGTAGTACTCCGCCTGGGAGGTTGATACTGGACAGTGGGAGGTTGGCTAGCATGGGCGCGGCGATATCTACGTTCCATTTCTTGGTTCCAACAGTCATGATCCGGCCGACGACTAGGTCGCCAATCTCGGGCTGGTAGCGGGCGCGTAGTGGCTGCACAGATAGCAGCTTGTTAGTTTTGTGCAAGGTGCCTGCAACAGTGGATATTATTGTTGTCGAGCCGGCTGGCTGTGAGGGAATATATGTGCCATGGCCACGCATCCATTGCGGATCGGACGTTATGTGTTCACCGGGCGTCACGATGGCTTTGGAAGACGAGATTGCGAGATCGTCGTCGCCCATTTCAATGTCGGAGCCAGATTCGTCGTTTGCATCGCGCCGTGGAGGCAGCAGTGCGCTAAATGGTAGGACAGAGACTGGCATTTGGACTGTGCGCGGATACTCTCGACGTGAGTATGGTGGTGGTGATGATGTCGTTTGGTTTTAAAGCTTTGGAAATTTTGGCAGGGATTAGTAGCTCCATGGGGGACCCTTGCAATGGAGCTGTTGCACCACCATCTGCACCATCAAAATCTCCACCCTTTCAACACGTGATAACCCCAGTACTATAGTACCTCTATCAAAAGCGATTAGATGTAGAAGGTCAGCTTTCATACCGTATAGCTGCAAAAAAGTTAGTATTAATGTCACAATATGAACACGCTGGCATTCAAAGAGAACTTAGTCGCATACGTACAGTACCCCCCCCCCCACATTACTGCGTTTCCTCCGTTACACAAACCCATCAGGCACCCAGATCAACTCCATAACCCCATATTGCAGTTTTCTAGCTACCTCCTCCGATAGCAATAACGACCGTCTCCTCACCCTCATTCGCATCGTCACAATCATTACACCACCAGTTGAGCTTGAATAGAATAATCTCACTTACAAGTAGGTGCAATTTCCAGTCGGGGCATTAAGAATTTATAATTTCTCTTCAAATGCGCAAATGCTGAAATGCTACACATGACATGTTGACTACACTTCAATGCTTTCACAGCGCGTTCAAGTCGCCACTCGACAAGACCACGAAGAAAGAAAAAACTCCACTCGCGACGCCCAACATTCCCCACAAAACCCATCACCAATATAACCAAACTCCCACCTCTATTTGACCTTTACAGCCCCCTTCCCAGCCTTGGCATCCTTAACCTTCTTCTTCTCTACCTCCGTCTGCGGCTCCTCCATACTCTTCGTGCCAAACTTGGGTAGAAACATGCTTACACGCTCCTGATAAACCTTGTATTCCGGATACTTGCCCGCACTCAGCAACTCAGTAAGCCAGGTGCTGCCCTGGAACAAGGCCAGGTACAAGACCGCACCGATAACAGCCCAACTGTAGTACGTCTCCGTCTCTAGGCAGCACCATTGGTACAAGAAGACCCAAAAGGCTTGTTCGGCGGCAAAGTTGGGGTGGCGGGACCAGGCGAAAAGGCCAGTGGTGTTGAAGCCGCGATCGAGCTGTTCGCGCGTGTACTTCTTGTTAGCCGGGACTTTGGCCGTGTTACGGTATTCGTCTCTAGCAGCGTAATAGTTCCATTGTGCTTGATCCGCGAAGAATTCCAGAACAACAAGGGCGACCATGGATCGGCCGAAGAGTGAGTCGTATGAAGAGACGGTGTTGCCAGTGATGGTATTTGCGAGGAGCAAAATGTACGTGGGCGTTGTGATGACCCAGAGGAGAAACTGTTTACGGTCAGTAAGTCTTGAATTGCGTGTCAACCGGGCATATATGTGCGCCTACATTCTGATAAAACGAGATGAAAACGACGTTCATGACGAACATGGCTGGCCCGCCAATGTAGTCTTTTACAATGTTCCACCTGTAATCCTCACTTCCAATCGTGTATCCGCCCTTGCGCCAGTAGTTGAAGGTCAAGCGAGCGCTCCAGATGATGGAGACGGCCATGACATGGTCTAGCTTTGTTGCTGGCAGGTCATTCAAATGCGCCCATGTTGCATAGTGTATGTTGTACAGAGCCGGTAGTAAGCTCCAGATTCGGTCGACTTGCGAGTAGTTGCGGTTGATTTCGGAAAGGACAAGGACAGCGGGCGAGAGGAACAGGACGGCAAAGGCGAATGAAGATATGAGCGGGTTGGTGCTAAGATAGAGCTCCTTGAGCGCCTGGACGTCCGAGATGCGTGCTACAACTTGGTACGGCAGGTCATAGAGTTGCGGTAGGTACGGCTCGACTGTCTTGTGGAAATCGGCACACTCGGGAAGTGTACTGACCACCGGAATCGCCATGTCGAGGTAGGTGCGCGGGTCAGGCATTGTGCTAGGTAGCTTCAATGTCTCGCTCGTGAAATGCAGACAGGGGATGTGTATATGTGTATGGACATGCAGGTATGCAGTAAGTATGAAATCTGGAGGCGGGGATGACCTCATGAGTCGCTGCTGTCCTGAAGCAAGAATGGCTTAGCGCCCTGCAAGAGCGCCCGTGCAGCTTTGCGACACGCTCTGCATCGGCCTGACGCGCTTTCACATGACCGTGAATATCTTTGCCTTGTCCATGTTGCCTCTCTTTGATGGAAGTACTCAAAACTCAAAGGCATGACGCGGGTGTTGTGCGTGGCAGAGAAGCCTTCCATCGCAAAGGCAGTCGCAGGCCATCTCGGTGGGCAAGCCCGAGCTGTGAGATGTGCACCCATCATCAGGCTTAAGGCAGATGGCTGATATTACCTACCAGGAAAGCGTTCGGGGCATCCAATGGGTCAAGAACTACAAGTTTGATTTTCGCTTCAACAACTGGGGCCAGTGTTCTGTCACCTTTACCTGTGTTGCTGGGCACATTGTCGCCCAAGACTTCAACGACAGATATAAAAAATGGCACTCATGCCAGCCCGTCTCTCTATTCGAAGCACCGATTGTGTCTGGGATAGCAGAGGTGCGTGGCGAGACCGTCGTTTCACCAGTCTCCACTGACCAGTAGCCAGGACAAGAAAGTGGTGGCGAGTAACATCGAGACCCAGGCGAGGTACGCGTCAATTCTGTTCATATGGACCGATTGTGACCGCGAGGGCGAGCACATTGGGACCGAGATCCGCGACATTGCACTCAAGGCAAATCCAAACATGCAAGTGTGGCGAGCACGTTTCAGCAACATCGAGCGAGCGTCTGTATTACCCTTTTTTCGCACACAAGCAATGGACTAATTTGTTTTAGACATGTCATTCAAGCGTCACAGAATCCAATCCGTCTGGACGAGGCACAGGCGCAAGCTGTCTCGGCGCGGATTGAGCTGGATCTGCGACTGGGAGCCGCATTTACGCGAATGCAGACGCTAGCGCTCCAGAACATGATCCCCCAGCAAGGCGAAGAGCGAGGCAAGCTAATCAGCTACGGCTCTTGCCAGTTTCCAACTCTGGGGTTCGTGGTAGACCGCTATCTGCGAGTGCGCAACTTTGTTCCAGAGCCATTCTGGTACATCAAGGTGGCACACGAAAAGGACAGCATTGATGTCAAGTTCAATTGGCGGCGGGGCCATTTGTTTGACCGCATGGCCGTCGTTCTCATCATGGAACGCTGTCTGCTTTCCAAGACTGCAACTGTGACGAAGATGGCAAAGAAACCTACCAAGAAATGGAAGCCTCTGCCTCTGACGACTGTTGAGCTACAAAAAAACGGAAGCAAGTTTCTTCGCATGACGTCGCAGGACGTTATGAAGGTGGCCGAGGACTTGTATACCAAAGGCTGGATCAGCTACCCGCGCACGGAAACGGACCAGTTTGATCGCGGCATGGACCTGCGAATGCTTGTGGGGCGGCAGACTCAAGATGGTCGCTGGGGGCCATTTGCACAGAATCTGATGAATGGCGGATTTCAGCAGCCTCGCGCGGGGCGCAACAACGACAAGGCCCATCCTCCCATCCACCCAGTCAACTATGTGGCACCTACACAGCTCAACGACCGGGAGCGTGTAGTGTATGAATTTGTGGTTCGCCGGTTCCTTGCTTGCTGCTCAGAGGACGCTGTTGGTGAGGCTACAGATATTGAAATCGAGTACGGAGGGGAAGTGTTCCATGCGCACGGTCTGCGGGTCATAGCAAGAAACTACCTAGACGTGTACCCATATGACAAATGGGAGAGTAGTCAGGTGCTGCCACAGTATGCAGTAGGAGAGAGACTTGAGCCGACCGAGGTGAACATGGTTGATGGTCAGACGACGGCGCCAAGCTACCTTACGGAGCCCGAATTGATCGCACTGATGGACGCCAACGGCATTGGTACGGATGCAACCATGGCCGAGCACATTGCTAAAATCAAGGAACGCGAATATGTGATTGCGCGACCCAAAGGTGGTGGGGGCGCTGGTGCTAGTGATGGAAATGGTGCAGGAGCAGGCAGAGGGCGAGAGCGAGGGCGAGGAAGAGGTTCGCGTGGAGGGCGTGGAGGGCGAGGCGGCGCAGCAACAGGACAAGCCGGGGGAGGAAACACGGGCGGAGTTCAAGAGTTTATCCCGACGACGCTGGGGGTTGCGCTCATCGAGGGGTACGACAATGTGGGGTTTGAGACGAGCCTGAGCAAGCCGTTTCTCCGTAAGCAAGTAAGTAATGGGGTTGCTGATGCACGTGGGGTGGTGAATGGCGAAGGCCCAAGACGCTCGCTAACAAAACCCGGCAGATGGAGGAGCAGATGAAGGCGATATGCGAAGGCCGCAGCACGCGCAACGACGTTGTTCAACAAAACCTAGAGCAATATCGGGCGGTGTTCAATCGCACGGTGCAGCAGATCAACGTGCTGAAATCGGTACGTGTGGGATTTTCTTTGTTGTTATTGTCTGGAGCCAAGATTGGCATGCGTAGTGAGATGGCTAACGTAATGCGTGTCGCTAGGCCATCACCAAGTATGTCGTCAACGCGAATCACGGGTGAGGGCTTGTCCACGCGGGGCAGGGTATCACAGTGCTCACGTCACGCCTCGGACTATGGGAGGCATGTTGGTGCGTTGCGGGATGGATGTCTTGCAGAGTGAGCCTGTCGGACAAACACGTGTGTCGAGGCTGTTGCTACTACGGAGTTTTGTCACGTCCATGTGCGCACAGCGAAGTCGGACCTTTTTTCGCGGCGGCGTGACGACCCCCGCGGTACGATAACGCCAATGGGGGGTTGTGGGTGCGAGGCATGGAAAGACGGATGGCGCAGCGTGAGGAGCCGATATGGAGGGTTGCTGATATGGGCCTTGTAATCGGCTGCGAACGGGTCACGACAAAAGCCAACGTCGGAGCATGGGCGCGGCAAGTGTTGGGGGGAGAGGGTGCAGCGGCGTGGGATTGCCGGTACGTACTGAAGTTAGTAGTATGCAGCATGTATGTACATGAGTAGATACGTAGGGCATGGAAGTAAGTCGGTGCTAAGGCGTGTTGCGTAGTGTTGCCCTGCTTCTACGCACCGAGTCCCTGCTTGTGGGCGAGGGGCCAATTCCCATGATTCCCATGATTTCCATGACGCCTGCGAGAGGTGAGGGTGCGGTGGGAAGCAGCTAGTCGCTTCCGGGCCAATCAGCGGGCGGACAGGGGGGGCGCCGGCCGTCGCTTCCCGCCTGGGAGGTTGTCAGATGCACCTGTGTTCCTTGGTTGCAGCGGCCCTGGGGGAAGGCCAGCGAGAGCGAGGGCCTTATCATGGCGTAGTCCCTGCCTGCCATGTCGAAGACTCATGACACATCGCACACTCGAATATTCAAACCTTCTGCTACTCTGCTGCTCTGCTGCTTCTGCTATACACCATACAAGACGCTCTCCCTCCTCCCCTGTACGCTCCGGATCCCGCGCTGCTGCTGCCCGAACACGCTATCGGCTTCGTCCCGACACCGACTCGCTGATCCCCATCGCCGATCGCTAAGACGTCTCGGAACGGCCATAGTGATAGAGTCGAGCTCCACAGCTGCATCCGGCTACAACAACACACCGCCAGCACCTTTTTTTGTCCTTTTGTCGCTTAGTCCTGTGTCGCGTAAGGCAGTTCTATCACCGTCTTAAATTTCAGGCCTCAAAATTCACCTCCTGTCCCCTAACCAACTTGCCCTCGATACCAGAGAGCCCATATCCGAGACTCCCAGGTATGTCTATTACCAACCGCTCCATACGAGCATATATACTCGCCTGCATACCACTGCAGGTCCCACAAGTTCCCCTGCTAACTCTCTCTGGCCCTCTAGTCCCCAGGATTCTGCTTCCAGTGCGACTTCCTGAGCAACCCGCGCTTTGACTCACCCAGTCAGCCCCTGCCTCGCAACTACAACCATGGCTGCCGCTGCTCCCAAGCCCGTGTCCAACATTGCCATGGCCTTTGGGCGAAAGGACAGTGGACATGCTACCTCTACCGGCACTCTGCCTACGCCCCCTAGTTCCATTTCTCCCACGCTGCCTGCACACAAGCGACGCGCCATGCCTGTGGCTGGGCGCGTCCATACGCCAGATGATGAGTCTATGGAGATAGACCTTCAGGACGCGGTGGAGCATGCGGCGGCCCAGGACCAGCCCTCTGCTCTTTCCAAGGAGGCGCTGGCTGGCTTGGACGCAACGCGCCAAATCACCGCGCTGATGCTGGCCAAGCACCATCTGCCAGACATCCTCGTCGGTCACGGCGCAATGCCCATTCGCGAGATGATGGCCCATTTGACTCATGCCGTGCCTGGCTTCTCGGGACTCCCCCCAGCAAAGGCTCGCAGGCTAGTCGTAGCCGCGCTGGAACACCGCGCGGGCGGCGGCCTCCACGGCGAGGTCAAGTTTGAAAAGGTCGGCTGGGGGCGCTGGAGTGTGGCAGGCTCTGGCGCAAAGGCCCAGGGAGTACCCATCGGTGGCAAGCGCTCTGGAAATGGGCAGACTCCGCCGGACAGCGTCGATAGTACAGGAGGTAGTCTGCAAATACCGAGGCTGCGACAGGAACGTGACGTTTACGCCGGTAGCTGGAATGCGAGCTCGTGGTCACCCCACCGACAGGATGACGACGAAGAAATGGCGGACCAGATGTCGCTGGACGACTCTGAGGGTAGTTCCGAATCTGATTCGGCCTCGGACATGGAGCTGGAGGAAGAGTTGAATGACGACACGGATCAGGAAGACTGGGCGACCATGGGGCCTGAAGCTCTTCGCGAGACCCGCTGCGGTCCGCGCCGAGAACACCGTGACTACAACTATCTAAGCCGAACTCAGACGAGCAACCCGCGCTACCGGAATCCATCCGCCCAGGCCCACTCTCTGCCTCAGCACTCGCTCGCGCGCACTCAGACGCCCACCACTTTGCATCACCAATCTTTCCTTGCTCCTCACCATGCATCCCGCGGTAATCACGCCGTGAACGCGGGCTCTTCCCTCACGACTGTTTTCAATGCATCCTCTACTACTAGTCCTCTTACCGGTTCCGGCGCTGAGCGTGACGCCATCGAAGCCCTCATCGCAATGGGTTCCATGTAGAATTCCTCCGCTCACCCACATACCCCATGGAGCAATGACGCCTTTACGAGTATTACATTCAACATTCAACATTCATCATCTATTTTTTTTATCAAAGCTGCCTGCCGGTGCAGCCAGCACATATATCCTCATCAACATCATCAGCACCACTGCTATATATACATACATAAAGATCAGATACGAAACGGAGATAGCTTTTTTGGGAAAGGGAGTAGGGGATTGAGGAGTCGGAGGGTGAGCTATTATTGGGCTTAGATTACCTTGGCATATAACTCGAACTAGTTCTCGCCTTTGCATTTGGGTTTGGGGAACAATGCAATGGGGAACGATCCGTCAAGTGCTGATGTGGATCATGTGGACAAAAACTCTTTTTTTTGGTTCGTGTTCTGGTTGTTCTTGTTTTTTTGGGGGTGCGGGCCTGCTTTGTGGGCAAATTCGGCACCAAACGCGTTGGTCTTTGCGCTGCGGGTATCTTCACCGTTTGTTTATTGTATATACCGGGGCTTGGGCCTACTGCTCTACTCTTTTTATCACACGCAGAAACTTAGATGATATATAATGACGCTGGTCACGATGGATGGACTTTTTGGATACGAGGGAAGGGGAAATTAATAATACGTAATCTGGCACTTTCTTGTATCCTACATCTATTCTGTCTATCCTCATGCCACACAAGAGAAAGCATACCTTACTCAACACCACTATCAAACACCACCTTCCCCCTCCCCCTCCCGCCCGCCTCCACCGCCCCCAAAATTCCACTGACAACCTCCTTCCCGAAAAACGCAACGCCGAGCTCTTGACTCGTAAACCAACTCGCACGATCCAGATTTCCTGATCCAAGCACCACTACCTCCTCATCTACACTCACCATTTTAAAATGCGACTGCTGCGCCTCCCCTCCTTCCTCCCCTCTCGCTTTCAACCCGCCCAACGGCGTCCAATACGACACCACCAGCCGTCCCGGCTGCCCCGCCGCAATCGCCGACTCCTCATCGATCAACCCCTGGCGCTCGGACGATAAGGCACGGTACCGCCGTATCAGCCTTCGTACGCACCGCGTGGTAGTAGTTCCAGCGGTGACCAATTGCTCGAGGATCATGAGGCGTTTGGAGGTTAAGATCCTGACGTCGACGCCGCGGGCGAGGGCGCGGAGGAGGGCGGAGAGGACGGGCGGGGACGTTAGGTTAGGTGTTTGAATAGTGATTTTACGCTCGGCTTTTGAAAACAAGGTGAGGACAAAAAGGTTTAGCGGGGTTGGGGGGGCTTGTAGGAGGGAGGAGGAGGTGAGGGGGGAGAAGGTTGGGTTGCGGTGGTGGGGGCTTGGGAGGAAGACTGTGGGGGCTTCGGGAGCGGAGAGGGTGACGTGGGATTTTAAGGAGGAAGTTTGTTTGGGTTGGGGGAGAGGGGTGTCTGAGGAAGAGGAAGGGGGGCGGGTGGATAGGTCATCTGTTTTGCGTTCCCAGAATGAGCGGTAGAATTTTAGGAACTGCGTGACAATGGGGCCGGTGAGGGTGATGGCGCCTTCGAACCATTCTTCCCAGCTTATATTGCAGCTGGGTAGGATGGCGGTTTTGCGGTCGACGATGATGAATTTGGGGTGCATTACGCTGAAGGGGAGGAGGAAGATGGATTTGATTTCCAGGTTTAGGCCGTGGAGTTCTGATGGGTCAGGGAGGCCGAGCTTCTGTACCCATGTCGATGGTGGATATGTCTGGCCTGTGACGCCTTGGCTGTGGAAGAGCTTCTGGAATATGGAGCTAGAGGAAAAACAAAGTCGGACTCTGATCTTTTGTGTTCCTCGTATTACGGCCTTGGTTGATAGTTTTCTTAGCACGCTGTTGAGAATGTCCAAGCTGGCTGATCTGGCCCAGAAACAGGTTACGAGAATGAGCTCGTGGTCTGCTGATTCGAGAAGGGGAGCAAAAGATTCATATATGGATGAGCCGGTCCCGGTCATGAATGTGTCGATATTAGAGGTAGTGATGAGAGACCGGGGATATCGGGCATAGTAACTTGGATCGTCACTTGCATTGCTGGGTGCAGCAGCATCGAGGGCCGATATGAAGGGTTCATTGAAGTGAGATACAGAGGGAGACGAGGCCGCTGGTGCCATGTCTGTACGTGAGGATAGCAGTGCTGGGAATGAGTCTGAATTCTTGATGCCATGACGTTGAGCTCGTCGCGACCGCCAATGCATGTCTGACGCGTCGGGTCTAGGCTGAATACGGGTACTCTCGCTGGTCAGTGCGTGCAACAGTTCATCAGCCAATGCAACACCCCACAAAAATGAGCGCCTACCAAAAAATGAAGCTGTATTGATAATTTAATGTATTGAGTGATGTGGCCAGTATTTGAAGTAGCTAGACACAGAGATGTTTTTAAGAAAAAGGTGCAGTGATCAATCAGGGAGAAAAGTTCAAGAACGCTTCTTCAGTACTAAAACTTAGAAACTCCCTATGTAGTACTGCGAAAATCTCGAAAATAGAAAAGGAAATAATTATGATGTTGAATTGTTCTCCAGTATTCAGATGTTTCTTTTGGTTATGAAGATTTATACCACCACCAAAACGTCACTATGGCAAGATCTTTCTGGTGGAGTACTGGAGTGATCGTATGTCGAATTTTTATCTACTCATATTTGCTAAGTAACCGCACGCTGCGCCCGCGCGTGGTAGTTTTAGTGGATACTCTGCCATCGTGATGCTTCAAAATCGAGCAACGCAGCTATCGTAGGATTGCTATTCTGCAAAAACCGAGGCATAATTTCTCACCATAGATCTAGAAAGTAGTAGCTTGCTCGCTGATAGTTCTTCTAGATATATTACTAGCTTAGTTTCTTGTAGTCGAGTACGTAATTGCCGTTTTTGTGGTGGGCTGTAGATGCAGTATTTGGTGCGGATCAGTGGGATATATCTAATGGATTATTTGGCGGATTATTCAGGGAGGGAGGCGTCGGGGTGGTGTTTAGCAGGCTTTATTTTTTAGTATGGATGTGGAATTTGTGATGCGGTGAGGCACGTAATGGGTTGGAGGTTTGTGGGATATTAGTGCAGTGCTATGCGGTGGGATCGATAATGGCATTGGTGATGTATGGGCCTGGTATGTTGGAAGAATGCAGTTGCATTCACCACGGAGGGTGAAGTGATGGAGTACGTGAGATACATGTGGGGTAGAGTGTGGATTCATGATGTTGAAGTAGGTTTGCGAAATATTTGGCAACGTGTACATGTCGGGTTTGCTTGATAAATTTACTTACTAGAGATAGTATGCCAGTCCTGGAGATATACAGTGGTGTCAACCGAGATATGGAGATGTTTTTTACATGTTTGTGCTTGTTTTGTTTCCAAGAAAATGTCGTGGCTTAGGACAGAAGCATGATGGGAAAGCATCAACAAGATACCTACGCGAGTCTCATTGAAAGTGTCTTCCTCAAAAGCCATTAAGCCAAAAAAGCCCCGGGTCTAGGTCAGTGCTATCAGACATCTTCCTTGCTCGTATTGACGTCGCGTATGGTGTACCAGCCCAGTCGAGACTAAAACTTAGGATGTGATTACAGCTTCCATCGGCAGTTGGGTACTAGCATATGCCGAGTAGTGAGTGGCGAGTGGCCTTATCTCAATCAATTCAACGCTACTCTCAAGGAACTTGTATTTGAAGGTATCGCTTGCACGACTCACGTCAGCCTCATCCCATTTCGGCGTTGTGGTTTTGGCATAGTACGAATGAAGCTGTACTAATCAGCACGGCCGCACCCATTCTCACTGTGTTAGCGACCGTGTTAGGATAGGGGTAACGAACAAGGGGGGTAATCGAGGCCTCTCGTACGCAAGCCTCCAAAGGTCCAGGCACCGCTATTCCTCAGCTATGGTCAGCTATTCTCAGCTACAATGGCATTTCAATCGTGTGGGGACATGTTCGCGCGGTCGAGGCTGAGGGTTAGGCGGCATGTAAGAAAGAGGCTTTATTGGTGGCGTTACCCTTAACTTTGGTCGCCTTTACCGAAGCGAGCGGAGCAATGTCCTTCGCCCTCCCCGACCCAGATCTTAAGGTCGGTGCAAAATCTAGATGTAAGGCAAGTGTGGATTGTCTCGACGCCATCTTCTCGCACTCACATGTGTGTGTGTGTGTGTCGTCGCCTACAGAACATACAGGGGTATGGGCCAGGGTGTAAGGGTCGTTAATCTGAGTAGGACCCTTGTATATTCTATCGCATGTGGAAATATGCAGTATAGCTTTGCATGGGTTTATACCTAGAACTTATCTTAGACTGTACCATAGGTACGTTTACTACACTCAACGACTGGTAAATCGTTATACCTTGACTGACTATTGTTGTTGCTGTTTGTGGATTGAACTAGCAGGTAGCTCTAAGCCCCACCGCTGAGGTTGAGCCCAGATTAGATGCCCCTCTTCACCCAACTGCTTTTTTTTGTGACACCCCAGATCTCGCTATACCTTGACCAAAACCGCCAACTATGGCAGTGAAGGCGTCGGGCTGGTGCCATATCCGAAGGATCCCGCCGCTAGTCGGCATCTCCGCCAGCCACAACTCGGCTCTCCTCTCCTAGGAGATTTCAGTATGGAGAAGAAACATCAACGGTCTCGTCCGTTACTGCTCTGATTGGAGATTTTCAATGCGTGATTGGCTTCTTACCGCCTTATCACACCGGGCCTACCCGTATAATCAGCTAGGAGTGTGCAGGTGCACAGCTGTCTAGAAAAAGCATTATCAAATGCACGGACGTAAGTAGTGCAGTCGTTTCCGTTCAAACCATTCCTGACTCACCATTCTTCCCATCATCCTGCAACATGGTGTCGTGTGAGTAGAATTCTAGATTTCAATGCCATTCATACCTCGCCACGTATATAACGCTATGCCTCCACTCCTCTCTTGCTTGCTTTTATATAAGTGCGCTATCAACCTTCTCACCTACCGATGAGAGCATACCAAGAAAGTCATTAATCCCAAGTATTCCTTGGTGTACAGGTTCAACGATTCGTTCTTTTATACCCGCCGTCTCCTCCCCTCGCTTTCAGTACTACAGCATATCTTTTTGCTATCTGAGGAATACATCACTCCCTTTTACTATAAGAAGAACAACTGCTACTATGCCCCATTCCACTGAACAAAAGCCGAGGAAGCTCGTTCTATGCTTCGATGGCACGGGAAACGTCTTTAATGGCAACACCTCAGACACCAACATAGTCAAACTCTTCGACAAGTTTGACAGAAAGGACCCTTTGCAGTACCACTACTACCAAAGTAAGCAACCTCCAAACTCCCTGTAGTGTTATACTGACCAGACATCCAACTCCACAGCTGGTATTGGCACATACAATGTCGATGGAGGTCCTGTCAACAAGACCTTTTTGGGCTCTATCCGCTCAAAAATCTCCAAAACCATGGACAGTGGCTTTGCTACAACCTTTGACGCTCACGTTATTGCAGGCTATCGCTTCATCATGCGGTACTACAAGGAGGGTGACAAGATTTACATCTTCGGCTTCTCGAGGGGTGCTTTTACAGCCCGCTTCCTTGCACGCATGATTTACAGAGTTGGCCTACTCTCTGAAGGCAACGAAGAAATGGTCCCTTTCGCATACGACCTCTACCAGGATTATGAGAAGGGAAAGTTGGAAGTCCCCGACCAGGAGCGAAGGGATTCTTCCCCTGCCACAGGATCAGCCAATGGAGCGCATGGATGCCACGAAACCGACCCTCTCATCAACGGTGGCCCTGATATGCACGAATGCTCGGAACCTGATGAGCAACAGCTCAGAAAGAATAAGCTCAATGCATTCAAAACAACGTTCTGTCGTTCAGAGGGCGCAGATGATTCGGGCATCAAAGTGCACTTCTTGGGCATGTTTGACTGCGTCAGTAGTGTTTCCGTCTTGGACAGCCCATTTGGCAAAGCTCCCAAAGCCGTCTCAGTTGCGGGAACCGCCCGTCATATTCGCCATGCCGTAGCCGTCGACGAGCACCGTGTCAAGTTCAAAGCCGCTTTGCTTCATCAAGACAAATACCACCCTCACACTGCCGGTGAAGATGTCAAGGAAGTTTGGTTCCCCGGTAATCACGGCGACGTCGGTGGAGGATGGCCAGCTGCGCAACCCGCGACGGCCGACAAGCCCAAGGACGAGAGGAGCTGGTGGCGCAGAATCTTCACATCTTGGAAGGACCCGAATGCATCCAACCCTGGCACTGATCCCTATCAAATGAGTGACGTGCCTCTTGCTTGGATGATCCGTGAATTGGAAATTATTGGAGAACGGGAACCAGCAGCGGCGATCACATGGAACAAGAGGAAGGACGGATTCAAGAAGCATTTCTTTATCAAGCGGAATCAGGCTTACGATGGTCCAATGCACGACACTCTCAAGGTATCAGGTGGCGCGTCACTATTCAAAGTCATTCTCTGGAATTTTATGGGTAAGTCACGCGCATGCTTCAAGTTTGCACTCAGCTAACAAACCTAAACAGAATATCTACCAATTCGACGCTGGGAATTGCAGCTGACCGGTTTGGGACATGAGTGGTCTTATATCGCATTGCCTTTCAACAAGGGATCGGCACGAGACATTCCCGACGGCGCATACTTACACGACTCTCTTCTCAGGCGATTAAGAAATCATGCCGACGACTACCGTCCATCCAACAACCGAGGCGGAAAGTCAGCTGCCTGTCTGGATCCTAAGAAGTTTGTTCTCAAGGAAGAAGACACGGGCGTGACCAAAAATTCGGTAACTGGCGTCGCTGACCCTGCTGGCATTCATAGCATCTACACACTTGGGACAGACGGGCAAAACGGTAAGGGACTTCTACGCGTGTAAACAGGACTTTTTCTTTCTTTGTTAAATTGTTAAACCAATGTAATTATACCCTACAGAATTCAACTATGCCCATCTCTTGCTAGTAGCATTACCGCCCCCAATAATGTTTACATCCGGCGGTCCTACAAGTGCCAAATTTTCAATCCCCGCAACACCGTATAAAGCCGCTGCATTCGTACTAACCCACGTCGCCTCATCAACCGCACTCAACACATCACTGCCATCGATTCTAACCGCTTTCCACGGCGCATTAGGTGCAAGACCATCTTTGCTTCCATCACCCAAGAACTCAGACCACACGCGCGGCACAAGCGTAGCATTGTTCCTATGATGAGCAACATACGCCGTGAACCGCGAGTGACCCTGCTTCAAATTCAGATTTCCAAAGTCATTTCCGTACCGCGCCTTCTGCTCCGCCTTGCTCGCGCCATAGTAGTAGCAGTAATCCAGGAACGCGTCGAAAAACGGCTTGGTCAAGTTGCGTTGCTCGGGGCCGAAATGGTCGATGAGCTGATCGATGGTTTCGAGGACGCCAAAGACGCCAGAGAGATGGGATACGGTGATTTGGCCTGTGTTGTTCAAATCAGTGGGAGGAGGCGCCCATTCGCCAGTTAGGCTGTTGTAAAATGCCTCGCCGGTTACGAAACCGTTCTTTAACTTGGGATACGAAGTAATGGCTTTGACGAGCTTGTTGTACGAGTCCTGCCAGCGGGGTCCGCGGCGCTCCCACTCGATGAGGTAGGCTTGAGCAATGCCGGCCCAGTCGGTGCCGAAGTTGAGGAAGAGGGCTGTGGGGTCCGGGTTGTATATGATGGATGGATCGCGGACTTTGCGTCTGGCGTCTACGCGCAGGAAGGCTTGATCTGCGTCGAGGACTTCACGGACGAGGTCGCCTGTTCGCTCATCACCGCCAGAGATGTAGAAGAAGGTTTTGCGGTATACTGGTGTCGAGATACGGGCTTGTTTGGCGCTGTCGCTCCAGTGCTGGACGCCGTGCCGCGTACCGAGACCGGTGAAGTTGCCAATGTGGTATGAATCAACCTCGCCACCATGGCGCACTTGGTCGTGAGCGATGCGATAGGCGTCAGGGCTGCCAGTGCGGAGGAAGTAGTCCCAGAAGAAGAGATCGGGTGATAGTTCCGAGTTGTCCCAGGCGTATCCGCCAATATCGTATCGCCACTGATGGCGGTCATTGTCATAGGTGTGCATAATATCGCCATGGTCAAGGAAACCATACCAGCGTCTTTGCTCAATTTGGTCTTTGTAGAAATCGATGAGAAAATTCATATTCTTTTCAATAGTTTGAGCTTGGGCAGAGTTAACAGCGCCTGGAACGCCCCAATAGGATCCAAGTGCTTTGGTGTCAGCCATGTATTTAGGTTCTGGAATAAGTACTGGCGGGTTATTCGTAAAGTTAGTGAGCACGGAGAGTTTCTCAGCCGAGGGAGTGGTGTCGAAAGCATAGATGTACAACTCGTTGGTGCGCGCAATACCTACTGGACTATCGTAACCCGATTCCCAGTCCTCGTAGGTGATTTCGAGAGCATCAAGCTGCTTCTTATAAGTATCTTGACCAAGCCCGTCGTGATACGGTCGGAGATCCAAAGGTCCTGCTTGCGGGCTGTACAGCCACATAGTGATCGATCCTGTATCCGTGGCAGCATTGGAGATGTCTAGGCTAGTCGGATACTTTTTCCAGAAATCGCGTAGGCCAACAGCAATACCACCAGAAGTTGCGCCACCGAGGTAAGCAAGACCACCTGATCTCGTTCCGTCTGGGATCTTCACCCAACTCTGGCCGGCCTTGGTGCGTTTCTTGAGGTTGAAGCCATCTGAAGAGAGTTGAGTGAGGCGATAATCACTCCATGTCGGGATCCATTGTAGACGGGTGGTCACGCGCTGGTCCCAAGTCGAAGGGTCCGGAAGTTTTGTGCCGTTGTATTGCGCTGCTCTGATATCTTGGCCTGGATCACGGCGGAGACCCGTGATGCCCTTGACCGCTTCATGTAAGATTCCACCATCGACACCGGCGATACGAATATGCCGATCATAGAATTCTTCTTCAGCCAGAGGCACATCGAATCGGATACCAATGCCAGAAATGAAGTCGTTGTACATATTGCCATCGTAGATAATCGTATGGATGATGCGAATCGCTTCAGAGTTGGCATAAAGGTAGAAGCGCACAGCAAACGGAAGCCAGTCCTCATGGGTACCATCTCCACTTATGGTGTGAACACCATTGACTGTGACCAGCGTACGAGCAGTGTTTTCCTCAGATACAGTGACGTTGGAGATTTTGCTAGTAAAGCTAAAGTAGTCGATGCCAATAGGTTTGCCGTTGTCATCGTCATCTGGGGTACCAGTTTGTGATCGCAAGACAAGATGCCCATTTGTCCCAACAGTCTTGCCATTGGATTTGATGCTAGAAACAAGCACATTGCCTGATCTAGGGAATGTTGCAGTGATTTTTCCATTCTCGACTACGATTTCGTCCTCGGAGTTGCTGACTTGGATACTATCGCCACGCTTCGTAGAACGAGATGAAGATGAACCACTTGAACTTGTTGCTGTGATGGTATATTGATCTAGAGGAGAATCGCTGGCTCCTAAAGCATGTCCAGTCCATTTTAAACTGCCATCAGGCCAATACGCAGTGACCCATGACTGGAGGCCCGCATCGCCATTTATTGTGAAGGTTGTTGTATTTGCCGGGTGCTGTCCGCGAGGCCAAGGTACACCAAATGTAGTTCCATCCAGGTATCCGGGTGTGCCGTCAATCCAACTGACTTTCACAGAGCTGGTTTGTGCGAGTGTGTAGCTGAAAAGGCCAGCTAGGCCGACAACAGCCCTTCTCATTTTGAGAGAAGAAAAAAAGCGGAAGGTGTCGCAACCAGATAGAAAGTCTGGCCTGTTTCATTTTGGCACAAAATACCGGCGATATGTATCTGGATCTTCCATCCGTTTACCCGGCTTCGTGTTCCTTTCACCGAGCAAACTTGTACAAACAACCGGTCGACCATGACGTTTGAGGTAGCCTAACCGGTTATCAATCTGCACACAAGAACCTATACTTGTGGTGTGCTTCAAAGACACTTACTTGGAATTGCCTGGCGTCAGCTCGGCAAACCAGGGGCGCCAGTGTAAACGAGGCTTGGAAGGGGATCTTCATGCATACACGGTAGAGTGGGGTTTTTCCGTACATTACCCTCGGGTTAGAGACGGCCGATGTATTGTGTATTAGAAAACGCACTATGGACTATACTGGAAGGTAGCAAAGCTTATAGGAGTAACTCTTCTATCGCAACGCTTTGATATTCTGACCTACCCGGAGTATCGCAACCAAAGCACTTGACAGCTGATGCGCTTCTTCACTCTGCGCATTCGTTGACCACTGTGTAGCGGTTATTCTCTGTTGCACTGATAATAATCTCGGCGCTATTTAGGGATATTTTGCTCTAGTGTAAATTGTCAAACCCTTTTCGGGCGATAACCTGATCAACGTTATGCGCGACCACAAGCACGCCACCAATAGACCCACAAATAACCCCGCCACACGAATCTACCCGTTCAAGCTGACCTAAGATGATTCCCGAAGTGTCATGTCTTTCCGGTTCTCAGAAGGTAACTTTTGGCCCCTCTTGGGTTGCAGAAGACAATTGGTGGGATTGCTATGACTATGAACAAGGTTATGACGCGCAGTCGCTGCTCACCACACGGTGTCGGATTCGTAATTCTTGGTGCAATAGTGAGGAGTGTGACGACGAACGTGCGGAGTATCATGGCAACTTCCCCCACGAGCAAACCGATCTAGCAATACCATCGTTATGGGGTGTTGGAGGCAAGGGCACCGCCAATCAAAGCCCCATGATGATGAAAGTTCCGAACATTGCGCTAATTAGGCTGCTCATCACTGGGTACCGGCTTAGTGGCACCACGCCAGTTATTGCGACAAACTATCGATCGGAGTCGTGTGGGACTTGGATTAAACAGAGGTTGCACTCGACGAATCTCCGAAAATGCCGGATGCCCCTACTAGCCCTGCTTGTTCGTAGGTGAGAGCGACCAATTTGGAAGCGGTCCCGCAGATAGCCAAGCCTACCTCAAACAAGGAGATTTTTATGGGCAGTGCGAATTCGACACGGTACCTAGAACAGTTCTTTCTGAGAATGAGGCTGCGGTCAATGCTGACATTATTGAGGATGACTTTTTAGTCTTGGAGTCTTTGTACTGCATTGCTTGGTACACAACGGATGTGTTGCGAACAAGACAAAATACAGTGAGATTCAAAAGAAGACACTTTAGACGTCTCTGTTCGAGCATTAGTTTGATTCGCTAGTGATACCTAGTAGATGAAATACTTAACATGGTCTGGCTACAAAGGTCAACCCAGAGGAACAATAGGGAACGTCTTCTAGGTACCCCTGCGCATGCCGAGAACAAAAGTGGGATTCGAGAAGGATTGTAACATGCATCCTTTCGTCCATATAGGCTACTTGTTAACATTAGAAAGAGAATGATCAGCAGCTAAGCTTTAGATGTGAAATATCGCTTCCGGATATCTCAGTGCTAGCTTTTATCTAAATTATCTTTCGTTCTATGTATCAGAGACTGATGTACGTACATGATGTGTTTTCCGGAAGTGGTGCGCATTCGTCTGTAGAGCAAACATTAGCTAAGTAAGATCACATCCATCGCTACTATACATACTCAATCTACATGGATTATTTCTTCTTCTTATTCAATATCTATCTCCATATCCCTTTTGGTACATTCATCCAACGACTTAACGGATTAAACGCTATTCATCTAAACTCACATTAGCACCTTTACTACGTGTCATAATGATGTAACAACATTACCAAACAATGACAAAAAGCAATCTACGTTTATAAAAAGTAAGCAAACACAGGGAAAAAATATTCCTTATCAATACAACAACCCTGGCGAGCGCATAGCTACAACGGTCGGTATGTACTTTCAGACTAAAAACCTGCTACTTCGCTTTACGATGCTCGCGCCCAGCATAACGCAAGGACTGGGTGAAGCATCAATACATCTTACTTTACGTACACATCTTGGTATGTTTCTGTAATTCTTTAGAGCGAGGTAAACGCAGTGTGCGGCTCCGAATAGAAGTCTTTGTATGGCGCTACCAAGGGGACACCACTGGAAAGAACGACATCATACCACGTAAATAGCGAATCCAGTGCATTTCCATGACAAGGCTCTCATGCAACCTATATAGCCGGGAAATCAACATAACTAGCTACTGCCTACTAAGACGAACTATCAATAATATACAATATAACTACTTGTTGTAACTTGCTTATTCTTGTGTAGAATATATACAGTTTGATACGTAGACCTGACGTCTATTCCCTTTAAACTTTGGAATATTGATTTACACTAATTAGAGCTACAACTGCCTAAGAAGTAAAAAAGTAGCGATTTGGCTGTAGTTTTTTGGTAATTCTTCACTACTAGGACCGGCCGCGATTTTCCGGTTTTATTCGGCCGAACCGATCCGGATGATGTAATCTTGCGTTCCCGCTACACTCCCCGCATACTAGTAAAAGTTTACATGCAACGTAAAAACTGCAAATAAAAGATTCTTCTAGTCCCTTCATGTTCTTCTAAAGCTCTCAACCAGCATCGCATTGACCCGAACTACCTTGTCACCACACTTACCGAATCTAAGCAATCTTTTTATCGGTTGTACAAAATCTCCTAAAAACAACTAGGATATTACAAAAGGCTTCAACAATCATGTCTCTTCCATCAACTTTCCAGGGCGCTGAAGTGCCTGAGCCAAAAGCCCAGCTAGCCATTGCACAACGCAGCCTATCTGATTTGAAACCCAATGAAGTGGGTATCAAGATCACTGCCACAGCCATCAACCCCGTCGACTACAAGATACGCGATTACGCTGTTTTCATCCAGAAATACCCTGCAGTCCTCGGTTCCGATGCAGCAGGTGTAGTAGCCGCTGTCGGTTCTGAAGTCAAAGACTTGCAGATCGGCGAGCGTGTGTTCTTCCAAGGTATCATTGGAAACTACGAATCATCAACATTCCAGCAGTATTGCAAGATGCCTGCTGAGCTATTGTCGAAGACACCCGACAACATCAGCGATGAGGAGGCCGCAGGTATCATGCTAACAACCGTAGCTGTCACGACTGCCTTTTACGCCAAATCAGGGCACGGCATGACACCACCGTGGCAGGAAGGAGGTCGAAATGTTGGAAAGGGAAAATCCATGATCATCATCGGCGGAGCGTCTTCTGTGGGACAATATGCCATTCAACTGGCTCGTCTATCAGGCTTCGAGCGGATCGTCACAAATGCCAGTTCCAGCAACCACGAGTTTCTCAAAAAGATTGGCGCCCATGTCGTTTTGGATCGTTCCGAGTCCACTCCGGATGCGCTTTTCGAAGCAGCAGGAGGACTCCCCTTCGACTTTATCTTCGATGCAATTTCCGGTCCCTCCACACAGAAGCTTGCGATACAAGTTCTCCAGAAAGCAAAGGTGTCTGGAAGCCATGTAGTCGTTGTTCAATCCCCCGACCCTGAAGCCAAGGAACTGGGTCAAAGTGGAGAGCCTCGCATTGAAATCAAGCCTGTTATGGGGTTGGGAAGTTCCCCAGACCTACGACATTTGAGTGAGCCTCTTGCCAAATCTCTGGGCGGACCCGATGGGTACATCGCGAAGGGGCTGTTTACGCCGAACCGGCCGCATGTGGTTTCTGGAGGGCTTGCCGGACTCGAGGAGGCTTTTTCTTTGAGCAAGAGCGGAGTATCTGGTAAAAAGCTTGTCATTCGTCCCCATGAAACGAAGTGAGTTAGGTTAGTCTGCTTAACAGTTGTTTGAATGTAACCATCTATGTAACAATATCCAATCCCAAAAAAAATGTATCATATTAGCAAGAACGCACACGCATGATTGAAAAAGAGAATTCAAAGAGTAAGGCTTGTATTTATACCAACTACCACATTTGTATCCGCTTGCAATCCGTAGCAACAAGCGGAGCAGAGCTGGGCAACCGCACCATTTATGTGATTGCAATGTTTCTATATACATGAGGTAATGGGCTTAAAATGATTCAAGAATGCATACCAGCAAGCAGATTCAAACGACTGCGCGAGCCGTGTGCCTCACATCCAGAGATCCTGCTACCACTTTCTTATTTAGGGGGCTTGTAAGGAGCAGGAATCTGGGCCGAGACGAGAATATGAACACTGCCAACTAGGGTGTTTTCCTTGTGTCTAGGCGAAAATTTGGATTCACCCTTGATAATCAATTGGTAGGGCTGCGCAACGCGCTGCTGAACAGAAATGGCTGTTTCCCAATGGGTCAGTAACTGCATATAGTACTTTTCTCTCTCAACTTATACGAGGGGGAATAGGAGCGACTTACTCGAAGCGGCCAGGTCAAAATGGTAGTGGAAATAGCTAGGATCGCAGTTGGAGTCGAATACTCCTTGGCCATCATGGTATGTCGTTTTGCAACGGGACTTGAGGCCGTTGGGATACTTGTCGGAAATGAATTTGGAGCCAACGGTCTCGGTGAAGCCGCCGTCAAAGTATTCGCGGACGAAATCGATGTCCCAGAAGGCTACGGGGTCGCGCTCAGCAATTGAAGCGCGCTCGGCAACCACCTCTGGGTTGGATACGGCGGCAGCGCTGGCGCAGACAGCCAGGGTGAAGAGAGGGATGGTGAGGCGCATATTGAAAAGAAGTGTGTACTTTGTGCAAGTGACTTTGGAAGATGAGTTGATGATGAGTCTCTACACTGTTCTCCCTCCATCCCTTATATACCTTTTTCTCTCCTTTACTAAGCTCGATCGCCCAACACACAACGTTAACGAGAGGACTCGTCATACTAGACTCGAAGGCTACTAGAGTTCGTATCCGGTGCTACTCATCCTCCACCAGGAGCGTAATGCGAAACTCAATCCAGTCATACAGCAATGACGGTATGTTGTTCACTTAAGATCGGGATGTAAGCCTATAATGGGTATAGTACCGTGTAGAGCCGCAATGATCGCAATAACGGGAAACCCCGCTATTCCCCCAAGTGAACTAGTATCATATGTATCATACTTCTTTTAATTTCGCAGCTTCATCATGTATACCTATACCCGCCTCAACTCCTACACTTCTCCACGTAGTAAGTGAGTCTTGACCGCTGCTCCTCCACTGCACTGTTGATATAACCTAGAAATAGATCACGTAGACACCCGCGCATTCCGAACTTTGAAAGTTCTCGAGGCAATGCAAACGCATCAGACTTTGTTTGCGTAGTGAAAACAATCGCCATCGAAGAAAACCAGTGTCGTCTGCCTTTGGGCGAAGATCACCGGTAATAAGACGGGAAGTGTTCCCTATACCTCGATATCAAGAGTGCTGCGATCGAGCTAGGACAGAAAAAGGTTTGTTGTATGACATAAGCTTAGCTACAGGAATAAGCTAAGGTGCAGGCGCGTTGTTGCTATCCACGCGGGAAATATGTGGGACTGGAGGGGCTTGGAAGCGCTCATAATCTTGTTAGAGTTTGTATAATGTCGTTGGGAGAGGGCGGTATGGTGACGCAGGCTGTTGTGTACGTAGAGGTTGGCGACTAAATTTAGTAATTGGCCGGGAGAACGACGGGAGTAAGCAGTACAATGATATGATTGGTGGGTGGTACACTGGCAAAGGGTTGGATTATGCACAAATATGCGATGTTTGGTGTCGATGGGTAACGAGTCTCGATGATGAATACGTCAGTGTAGTCATAGACCCACTTTGACAAGTTTGCTTTTGATTGCATTTCATGCCGGTAGTTGTTGTAGGTGTTGCTATCACAAACATGAAACAAAATCACGCTCGTGTGACTATGTATAGTACCAGATGGCGATTCCTGGTGTTCTGAAGAGTGTTGCTATACTGAAGTGGCGTGAGACTTGAATACCTATAATGAGTGGAATATAAATTAGAGATGACCAACACAGTCAGCTCGAGATTCAGAACACCGACTTCATGTTTTGCTAAACATGGTCTCGGTATCTAGACGATATTGCACTCTCCAAACATCTTGTCAGTGGAAATGACATTCTCCAGCTAGCAATCTCGAATCCACTGACTGTCTCTTGCATAACTCTCATCGAGGAAACACAACATGAAACACGCAAGTTTGCGAGCATGTATACCTGAATAGTACTCTCTACCTTCCACTACTTACATATAACTTTTCTATAAAAGCCTTCTCAACATCTTCCAAATGTCGTCTTGTTGTCAGCATACCTGCCATGAGGTAAATGACATTACCCAAGATACGCGAATGAATCTGAACTTGCCGCGCTTCAGAGCTACCTCGCAAGAGCTCGTCACGAAGTCCCACTGCAGCAGAAGAAGTGTATCCTGCATTGCATTAGGTAAGAAGTAGAATAGAATCAGCGTAAGACGTACCTGACCCGTGTCCATCGACAAGCGACACGGCAAGAACGGAACCCAGCGCATTCACATGACCAACTTGCTCGTGCCGGGATAGATCCTCAACAAAGCCCTTGGACCACATGCTCCAGGAAGCGGTGCTATTGTTATTAGAACTGCTCCATTGCTTCTTGTACTGCTTCCACTCGTCACCAACGCTCGCGTCCTGCATTGTTTGCAGACTCGTATTAGCGACATGACATCCCACCGCATGCGCAGTGTAGCTATGTCCATGCAACAAAGCCTCTGCCTTCTCGTCGCCCCAAAAAGCGTTGAAAATGGACTGACTTGCCAGCGTAACAGAAAGGGGAAGAAGACCACCTGTAAGTAACTTCGCGTTGACGCTAATATCCGGGTGCGTCTGGAGGAATGAGGCCGAGGAGAAGCGACCTAGGCGATACAACCCAGTGAATACTTCATCGAACATTACAGGTAGTCCTGACCAAGCGACATCATTCTCATCCGGGAAGCGAGTAGCTCGAGACCCATTGCCAAAGTCGTAACGGCGCACGACACGGACGAGAGTCTGTTGGAAGAGCGGATCAATAAAGAGCATGCCTCCCGCACCCAAAACAACAGGCTCCATAACCAACGCACCGAACTTTCTCCCCTGTTTCCTCACCAGCTCATCCAGCGTTTTCTCAATATACGCTTCATAGCGCTCAGACCGGCCTCTCGCGGCCAGATCGAAAACGGCATCTTGTGTTTCAAAGTACTGCGTAGGTCCGAGTTCGGACTCCATGTTCTCGGGGGGCTCAACAATCCACTTGCCGTTTTTGAGTTTGAAAGTAGGGAAGTCGAACCAGAAACCTCGACCACGGTACCAGTCTACTTTTTCGTTGAAAACACATGGCTCGGATGCGTCCATGGCGCCAATCGTGTCACCGTGGTAGCTTCCTTTGAGGCCGATGACGCCAATATTCTCTTTACTGCTGTCCCAATCGTAGTACTTGCTAGCTGCCCGAAGTGCCATTTTGATACCGACTTCAGTCGCCGTACTCCCATTGTCGGTGTAAAACACCTTTTTAAGACGCGGATTCTGTGAGTCGTTCAACATCTTCTCTGCAAGCTCGAGAGCGGGCTCGTGGGTGGCTCCGGCAAACATGACGTGACCATATCTTCCCGCGGCATGTGCTGCTTCCAGAGCAAGACGGGGATTTCCATGACCGAGCCCCTGAGTCCACCATGAGGCAGATCCATCAAATGCCGGGTACAGCGCCGAGCGATCCTCGTGGGTTGCTGATGTTTCACCAGTTTGCTTGACTTGGAAGTAATCACCGTATGCGGAGTCAAAGACTAATATGTCGTCGGCACTTTTCAAGTGCTTGTGTTGGGTGAAGGGATGCCAGATGGCTTCGTTAGTCCGAGAAGCCATGGTACTTAGATTTTCGAGTCGTTCGCTGTGGCGGCCAAGCAGCCTCTTAGCAACTTGGTCAATGGGCTCCTTGCTACTCTGAGAGTTGTAGTAGCCTTGCATCAGATCTGTTTCCTCCTTTGTGCCCGCCTCAATGCCCTGCATATTCGGGATCCATGGCAAGGCAAAGGCCGCAATGCCCAAATTCTTGAAGTACTCTTGCAGGTACTCAGCATTCTCATACTTACTCTGGTCGTTGAAACATACGACAGCATCAATGTCATAGCCTCTTAATACCAGAGACTCTGCAGCAGATATCGTCGATGCAATACCGCCTAGGCGATGGTCGCCGACTAGTACCGAGGGGAGTCGTAGCGGACGGAAGATGTCAGCTTGCGGAGTACCTGAAGGTCCCGGGCTAAGCACACCCCCAGCAGTCTCAATCACAGCAAGGCCCATTGCATCTGCCTCCCCCGAGACTGCTTTCGCTTCCTGCTGAATAGTCTTAAAGACAGTCTGACTGATGAGCTCATCGCTAGGCTAGGCCGATCAGCAAGAGCAACCAGCAGACCCAGCACAAAGACCTTACAATCAAGTCTGCACCTCTTGCCGCAACATGTGGACTAACAGCCTCGTTGAACTTGAACAGCGTCGAAACACTTCTCCCGCTGTACTTTTGCACATAACTATCTCCATCAGCTACAATTGCAGTAAGCAGCAGCAACCTCACCTATCATCCGCCTCATCCGCAGGTCCCGTAGAAACAGGCTTAATATACCGCACCCTCCACCTCGTCCTACCCGCTCTCCTCGCAAAATGCGCACCAAGCAGGGTCGAAAACACTGTCTTCCCAACTCCAGTATTCGCCCCATAAACCTGCACCGCAACAAGTCTCTTCCACAGTCCGCCTGGAACCCTCGCCATCCTTGCTCTTCTTTCTCAGCACCAACAACCCAAAAAAAATCAAGATGTCCAATTGCACATGAGATCTCTCATCAGAAAAAGTCTTAATTGCAGCGGGGAAAGAATGGGGAGAGCTACTGCGCTAGTTAATTAACGTAATAGTAGTAGCCAGACACAATGGTAGGGGGGGGGAGACTTTGTCTTGTTCCCCTCCGAACCGAACCCGACCGCCCCGTCCCCAGGTAAGTACCTGTACAAATCGAATTAGTCAAATCAAAGAATCCACCCGCACCCGCATATGCACGTAGCATGCAAGTGCATAGTGCATATTATCCAAAGATTCCATTTTTGAGCTAATTGATGACTAGAAAATCCCCCCCGAAGCGCTCATTGGAATTTCCCTTTTTTCCAACGGAAATTCGCGGCTTAGAAAATTAGAAGTACCCCACGCTTTGCGTCTCTACATATCGTTTCTTGACGCGTCTCCCCAGAGAGACAAGAAAAAGAAGAAGAAGAAGAAGAAGAAGAAGAAGAAGAAGAAGAAGAAGAAGAAGAAGAAGAAGAAGCGTTTTTTTTTGTTAGCAATTCAACTCCGACAAATCCAATTCAATTCTACACCCATAAAAGAAAAGGAAAAAAAGAAGAAGAGGAAACCCCCCCCCC